ACTCTGATTTATTTGTTTTTCCTGACCCGATTGGAGACGGGGGTAACTGGCTGCCCATCCATTTAGATCTGGCTGCCCATAGACTAACATTGGGCTTCCAATCAGATCCGCATGAAAAACTGATGGACAGATCTGATCAGAAAGTCGATGTGAAAAGGCTCTTTGGTTTTATCCAATGCCTTGATGTCCGTCTCCTCCACTACACCCACTGGATTTATTTTACAGCATGGAGAGTACAGCAGTGCGACTAAGACTCTTGCTGCTGCAGAGACAGTAACTGAGGAAGCAATAACCAAATCCAGAGTCCATGGTAGATACAAGCCAATGGATAATTCAGCACACCTATGTCCACTCAAAAATGTGAGTATTTATTAGGGATACTGATACTAGTATTGGTGCCTATACCGAGTATTTGGGCGAGTACACGTACCCAACTCGCCCAAATGCTCCGATATTTACCTCCGATAAGGGAACTTCTGGTCAAACGGAGATCTCCCTCTGACCAGCAGTGCCGAGGAAGCATGGAGCCGGCTTCCTTTCCAATCAAGAAGCCGAATGGTGTGTTATGACCTGCCTCTCGGATTCCTGATTGGCTAGGAAGCCGGCTTCATTTGTTGCCAAGCAGCCTGGCTTGCTGACCAATCAGAAAGCCGGGAGGCAGGTCATTAAGTGCCACCCAGCTTCCTGATTGGTTGGGAAGCCAGGCTGCTTAGCAACACGTGAAGCAGGCTGCCTAGCCAATCAGGAAGCCGGGAGGCAGGTCATGATGTGCCGCCTGGCTTTCTGATTAGCTAGGAAGCCAGCTTCACGTGTTGGTAGGCAGCCTGGTTTCCTAACCAATCAGGAAGCCGGGCAGCACATCATGACTCGTGTACCGGCTTACTGATTGGTCAGCAAGCCAGGCAGCCTCTGAAACCGGTGTTCTTTTGCAAGAACACTGGCTTCACAGGCAATCAGGAAGCCGGACGATGGGTCATGATCTGCTGCCCAACTTCCCGATAATTGGGGCACAAGTACTCTGTACTGGCGATTATCGAAAAAAAAATATCAGTACTTGTACTCCGAAAAACCGTATCGGTGCATCCCTAGTATCTATTCTGGGTGGACTGACCATTTATTGTCCTTACTTGGCTCTTGATGGTCTTGTAAGCAGTTTATTCAGAAATCATATATGGGATTCTATGGTTGCTCATGCAGCCTAGTAATAAAAGACATGCAACATACTCAATCATACCACCTAAAATTGGTGGGAAAAAAATTCCAGCACAAGGGGCGAAGGGGGTTCTTCACAGTTAGAGCAGTTAGGGTCTGGAACTCACTGCCACAGGCGGTGATTTCAGGAAAAAACGTGGAATTGTTCAAGAAACTTTTGGATGATTTTTTAAGGGACCGTAATATACAGGGGTACATTTACTCCTAGAACGAGATCCTAATAGGTTGGACTTGATGGACTAATGTCTTTATTCAACCTCAAATACTATGTAACTATGTAATTTACGAGAAATCTGCCAATGTTAAGGATTAACTACTGAGTGCTAAACACTTACAGGCATTGTGAAAGATTGTTAATGCATAAAAGTCTGTAATCAATCAGCATTTTTCCCTTCTCTCCCCTTCTGTGCTGCATCAAAATGTCAGATGAGCCATGCAGAAAAATGCTGTTCATTCATCCTAATGGTCGCATACACTATGTATCCAAAATTGCAAGGGCATGATGAAGGGGCACAGCCCCAAATCGTCAATTCTTTCCACCTCTGACTGAACTGGGCTCTCTCCCTATACTTCTTGCTTATATCACTTTCTCATGTGTTCCTAATTATACACCGTGATCCCTGTGACTTCCAGCCTTATCATGTGTATTGTAAGCATTAGCTTTAGCATCTTAAAGGAGAACTATGAGGTGAGTGAAAATCACTTATCCTCATAGATCGAGCCAACTTGTGACAATGAAACTGTCACACATCGGCTGAATAGATCGGGAAGTGATCGAACACATACCGTCGCTCATTCACTTCTCGTTCATGTCCCTGCAGGGAGCAGTGACTGTCAGCCACAGCTCCCCACAGAGATTCCCCCCTCCCCGATCTGATATATTTTGTATCACTTTTGTTAAATCTTGCTCAATACAAATCAGAAAGAAAACACTATGGGCCAAATAAACGAACATTGTTAGTTGTGGACGGTCGCATGTGACATCTTATTTTGGCACACTGCATGTTAAATTAACTTATGTCGCATTGCATATGGTTAATTTGGTGTATAGTACAATGCGTAACAGTCATCCTCTTGGAGAACCACTGCATACTTCTTTTGTACCAGATATTGAGACTCGTGGGAGTTTGGGAGAAAGCCCAATATGACGGTAGCCCTGTACCCAGAGTCGGGTTCATGAAGACATGGTTTGGTGTGAAGGAAATGAGTGGCTTGCCCAGAGCCCTGACCTCAACCCCACCAAAAACCTTTGAGAAAAACTGATTGCAAGCCAGGTCTTCTCATCCAGCATTAGTATTCTTTGAATAGTGAATGGGCACAAGCTCCCACAGAGACACTCCAAAATCTTATGGAAATCCTTCTCAGAAGTGTAAAAGCCGTTATAACTTCAAAAGGAGGCCAACTCCATATTATTGCCCATGGTTTTGGAATGGGATGTCCAACAATCTCACATAGGTGTGATGGTCAGGTGTCCGCAAACTTTTGGCTGAATAGTAGATTGTAAATGACCAGATCAATTATCTGGCCTTCAATAAATAAGGCAGTACAGATTGTAATGACTATACACACATTGCAGAAATCCTTAACAACCAATCTGAGCTTATTTGCAACTGATCTAAGTACAGCAACTTAAAACTTAATGTATTACCATTGGTTAATGCACTTTGGCCATTGTGGTCACACTATCCACAACCTTCATAAATAAGCCGGGTTGATTTATACTGCTAATTAGGGAAATGGCACCTCTAATAACTGCTGTCATGTGAGACTACCTTAAAAAAACAACTCTCACAACAGGCAACAATTTTACCACTGAGTATCCTTTATCTAAAAATAACACTTTTTAAAACTGCCCTAAAAGCTTTATGTAGTCATTAAAAGGGTAGCAAAAAATGTATCATGAGCTAAGCATTTAACGCGTGGGTAGAAATGCCACGCTGGCTGGCAATAACACATTATTTTCCTTCATTAAAAAGGAATGTGCGTACAATGATAACGGAATCGGTCACAATCTCTTTATTGCCATCTGCTCCCATTTAAGATTATGCTGCAGGAGGCCAGCCAATGCAACCTACACTTTACTGCGTCCAAAGACGTAATTCACTGAGCATATTAGTCACCACACGCCATACATAGGCACCACTCCAATGTGAAGCCTGCTACAGAGCCCAGATATCGCCATGTGATTAACACAGACTTTTCACTAAAGGTCAAAAAAGTTTACTTTGTTTTAAAGGTTTACATGTGTGTAACCATCTGATTTTTAATATCATTTGATTTAATACTGATTTATTCCACATTCACATTTGGTCATTTTCAGGCAACTTTGAAGCTTATATGAGCTTACGCCTGGCCAAAGATCAGCACATGATCTCAATACCATCAGATTTGTGGGCATCTCCTGTCATTAGAGACTGCAGATAGTCTATTCTTCCTCCAACTGTCACAACCAAACTAGGTATACTATATACAAATGATAAACAAATTTTACAGCTTGCTGGGTCTCTGAGGCATGTAATACAAGGTATAGGTGTGGGTTAACTACCTGGACTTTAACTCGCAGCATCCCTTGCCATACAGACAGTAGGTGATATGCCAGACATAGAGGGGAGGGTTTCTACCAAGGTACTGTGCCAATATTGGGGGCGTTGGCATATGCTTCTGTGGTTCTACGGTGCATTGCAGATACAAGGGTGACAATGCTGGATTGCCATTTCAGTAGGACTGTGTCAGCGCTGTCACCTGATCCAAGGAAATAATATACCAGAGTGGTTTTTGGCAGTATTAACTGGTTTATTTACTTCACATGGCACATTGAGAAGGTAGGCTGTACCGGCCCCCTCTCATGTCCGTTCCTCCAGTCAGTGATGGAGGATCGGAGAGGGGAAATCCCTGTGGGGAGCCGTGACTGACAGTCACCTCTCGCTGCAGGGAGTTGATCAGGAAGTGAGCAAGCGACGGTATGTGTTCGCTCACTTCCCGATCAACAGAGCCAACGTGTGACAGTTTCAATCAATCACTCAACTCATAGTTCTCCTTTAAGTAAACACCTGACAGAGATCCCAACGCTTTCCAACCTAATGGACATCTGAAGGCTTCTGCATGACAGTCTAAACAAGTCTTTAGTTCAGTTAATATGTGATTCACAAGCCTAAACAAAAAAACTTCCTTTACCTTCAATGACTGAGCTAAATCGTCACTCATTTGTGTCTCACGTGATTCTCTCCCAGACACTGCAGATCACAGTGGGAGGGTTTCAGCAACAGAGGAAGTGCTGTCAATCTAGAAAGCAGTGAGCGGGACTAGGTGTGGCCAGGTGCTCAATTACAATCTACAGGCTTATTACTTACCAGTAACAATGCTGATAGTGACACCCCCTGCAACATCTTTTCATCCCACTGGAGTGGAAGTAGCAACTCTACTCTGAATTCAGGAGCAGTGCAGCTTCGTTGTCACCCCATCACAGAAAACTGCATTAGGTTGCCTTCACTGGCTGGCTCAGTATTTGTAGAACTTTGCAAGAGGACAAAGAACACTAAGTGCAGATGCCATTATAATGAAGTGTTACAAAATATCTGTTTTTCTAAATGGGAGACCAAAATTCTACTTTAAACAAAAAAAAAAAAACCCTGCTTTTGGCAGGAGGCTTTAAGGCTTTGTCATCAAATTTAAATGGTGGCTTTTGGAGTGTAAGAAATGCAAAGCAAAACTGTCCTTTTCATGCATGCTACGGGTGGTTTGCTCTATAAAGAACATGACAGGCGGTCGTGAAGCAAAACAAACGGTTTCTACTTGTCAGAATCAGCGGATGAAGAATTCATTGAGGAAGCCGCATTGTAGCTCTGTGACCTGCACATACAAGCCGCGCTGTGTGCTTAACCGCAGAATGAGCGCTCAGACGGTCAGGACTCCGTCTCCCACTGTCCCCACATCCAAAAAAAAACCTCTATTAAAACTTGAAAAGTGAGCCTGACAGAGGCTTGTTGACTTTGTTCCAGCGCAAACCCAGTAGGAAACCATAGGGACAATGATTTGCCAAAGCCAGGAACAAGAATGTCTTATTTCAGCCGTTCGGTCCAGACTGGAGGATTGCCGAGCCAGCGACTTACAGCAGGGAAGGCATTAAAGCAATCACAAGCTGGTCAAAATAAAAGACAGAGCCTTTTCTGTTTCTGTCAGCCCAAATGTACAAGCATCCCTCATTATTCCTAATTGTTGTGTGCGTACGATTTAGGAAATCTTAAGAGTTAATGTTTCCTGTCAATCCTCTGCACTGTTTCCTACAATACAAGACTCAATTTGTTCCATTGCTGATGGAAATATAGCCGATCTTAAATGGAGCGTGGACTGGCTTTCCGCACGCATAAGTCCTTCAAAAACAGAAAGGAAGCAAGGTGGTAGAAAAAGTAAAGAAGCAAGTTTTTATTTTCTGTATTTCTTTTTTTCCAGGAACAAGGGGAGATCCACCTGTTCAAAATATGTCTTCCAGTAAGTGTCAGAAAGAAGAGGCTGTTTAAAGAAGAACACCGCTCTAATGGAAGAGGGGGGATATGGTTTTGAATGGGAGCTGTTGTAATTGCTAAGTGAATGCAAATTAAAGTGTAAGCCAGGGGAAAAAAATAAAATAAACAGTACAACTCTCCAATACATAGTAATTTCCCATGTTTTAGAGCCCATTCACACCATATGCTTTCAGGCTGTGCTGGCCCTTTTTTCCAGCGCAGCCCGAGCGCAATACAAGGCACATTTGCCTTATTACAGGTGGGTACAATTCACGGCATCGTGTTGCAGTGTTGTGCACTATAAAAAAAGTATGGCATGCAATACTTCTATTAAGCACACCAATTGAAATGAGGTACAACCGCATTGCACCACTTTGTGCCCATAGAAAACTTGTAACGTTTCAATAAAGTTATAACAAAAACTGTGTGATGTGCTGCTAGATTAAAGTGGACCTTTACCTCCTTTGACTAAAAATCACATCAGTATACAGCTCTGCGTGCTGATATGAAATCATCTTACATTCATTAACTAAACAAATATTTTTTCTTTTACTTACAATTTCTTTTTTTCTACTTCCTGGTCCTCTTTGGCAAAATTGATGTAATTGTGCCAAAGCGCTGCATTCTGGGAAGGTTACATCAGCAGAGCATTGCTGGGAAATCTCTAAGATCACGAGATCTCCGGGAAAGGCATTTAATTCCCTGAGATGATTATGTGCATGGTCACACGTTCTAATCACATATGCCAGAGTTACAGGAAGTAAAGGGAGATCTAGTAACCTGCCCTTAGTAAAAATGGCCCGTCAGAAGACTAAGAGAAAAAAAATGGTATGCAAAAATAAAAAGCCGGCAATTATCTAGAAGTATGTGTTTGTAGAATGTCATTACTAAACATTCGTAAAGGTGTCTTTGTTGTTATTTTGAAGATATGGGTAAAGTTCCTCTTTAAGCGCATCAGCACTGCCCGGGCACACGCACACCAGTAGCCATGCGGCTTTTACCTTAAAAGACTCTGCAAGTACACAAAAATACCTACTGATCTGCTAGAAGTGCACACAGCTCCCAAGTCCTGCTGTATGGATGTAGATGTACTGGACGCATTAACATTTTCTCAGACATACATTTGAATGATTACGCCTCTTTAGAGAGAGAGGACGAAATCCAATATGTCAGCAATGTGTGTGTTTGCAATAAGCTTGAGGAGGGGCGCGCCACTGGGTGTGTCGATGGAGAACTTCTCTGAGCCTTTGCCATGGATGACAGAATGTCTAGCTTCCCCACTGAGTGTATGGGACAGGTGGAGACAGGTTGGAGGAACTGGTCTAAGAGCCAGCCGAGGTTGGGGTGAGTATAACTTTTTTATTCTACAAACAAGACGAATACGAGCACTTTACCTTTGCAGTGTGGGGGTAATCCTACTGCAAGGGTGAAGATACATTTTTCCCCTTTAATAATTTAGTCCTGGAATACACCGCTCTGACCTCGTATTACACCCCGCACTTAACCACCATGGTGCAAGGAAACAATCCGCTTTCCAAGGATGCACATCAGTTTAAAGCAGGATGGGAGCAAACAAGGAATCTCCTCCAAATGCCTCTTTATTTCATACTGTAAAGTCCATAAAAACACGTTTTAGTCCTGCTAAGCCTTAGTCATAGCATCACTTTAATGATTTGCCAACAGATTCTTATGGAGGATACTTTGTGCTCATCTGGCTCCTGCAAATTAGTATTTTAGCCTTAAAATCCGCATTGGTCTTTGCAAGAATGTGCCCTCCATACTTGCCTCCATAGAGATTGATAGCAATAGGGTGATAGGCAAGCAAAGGGGTTAAGATGTGTTTGGTATGAATATACCCTTTAGATAAGTGTGAAAGGGTTCCTTATAATTTTAGAGTCACGCAGCCAGATCTTAAATCCTTTTTCTGCACGCAGTAAGAAGAAAAAGCATTCATTCTAGCCGATCCACATCATCAATCAAATGAAAAATGGTCGGGGCCATTCTTCCACAGACCTCAAATAAACGAAAATATTGCATCGGCCAAAAGTAAAAAGTCACATTATAGAAGCAGTCTCTGTGGGTTTGCCACTAAATAAATAATAGGGCATTAAATCACTGAACACAGCTGGATAAACTGAGCAAAGACTCGAGCGTGCCACAAAGACCAAAATTAGACATAATTTGTACCAAAGTCTCCACTTTGTCTACAGTACATTTTTCTGCTAATGATAAACTTTCTTTAAATGGGTTATTTCAAGAATAAAACGCATTAATAAATCACATTTCTTCCTGAAAATACTACTATAAGTATATGTGAAGAACAAACACTCAAGTAGATAGGGTTTCGAAGAACAGCATTTGTGATGGGAAGGGTTTAAGCACACCTTGACATTAGGAAAATGACATGATATGATTTACGAGTTTGGTGGTACATAGAGCAAGAAGGATGGAGAACAGTTTGCTTCTGGTCTGGGAGATGTAGGGGCCATGCTGAAATAGGACTAGATTACAGGTGTACCGTATAGAGTATTTGAGCTACAGAAGTGATTTTGAATAGCTTAAATCAACCTGCAAAAATTGCTAGTGATTAAAGTGACCCTGTCAGGTTCTTATAAAATGGAGGTAAATGGTTTGTGCAATAGAAGAGGTATTATATATGCACCCCTCTTTAACAGCTCAGTTCCCCTACCTATCCTCCTTTCCAGAGCTGCAGCTTCCACCACCTTAGTATTCAAAACTTCCAGGAGGGTCGGATGCCGCCTGTGTCACCTTTTCCCTCCATGACTCTCCCCCTTCCCAAAACCACCACCAGCGTGGTTCCTTACTCCGACTTCCTAGTCACTGTAGAACTCAGCGGTGACATAGTGCTTGGTGCATGGAGCCACAGTGAATGGTGGAGCACACAGGCATCCAATGCTCCTACATCGGTTCAATGCTGAAGAGACAAATGCAACTACAGCTCTGTAATGGTGAAGAAGACGACATAGGCTTCCAGAGAAGTACAATACCGGTTCTCCTGCAGGGGCTCTATTTTTTTTTTATAGCCCTGACAGGGTTGCTTTAAACAGCAATATCAGCAGCCAGTTGCTACACAGGTGGAACAAATGGTTTCCTTTGGAGTAAGCTACACAAGTAGCAAGTAGTAGCGAGAAATCACACACCACTGTAGGCTAGTACAATCGCGTGTAGCCTAATCCATAGGAAGCCAATTTTCCCATCTGTTTAGTGATTAATCACTACAAATTATAGCAGCCTGACTGAGCCAATGAATATTGCCCATGTAACGTAAACTGAAGGTGTTCCCAGATCATGCACACTAAAGTATTGACAAATTCTCAACAAGCAGGAAAAGTACTTTAAAATAAACCATCAGCCACCTCGGTCTCTATAAGCATTGTGGATCAATTTAAAGTAAACTAAAGGCATTTTTTTTTTTAGATTTAGAGTGGTGAGCAGAAAAAGCGCCCAGTAGGTTCTGTTGATATCTGCAGGGGACTCCAAAGGTGAGATGACTCCACCTTCAGGATATTTAGGTGCAGAGAGATCACTACTGGAGATCCTGAGAAATATACTACATTTGGCATGCTCCCATCCACCCAAACTGAAATCGGTTGTTATTAGAATAAAATAATTAGCAATATATGTCAACAAAGAGAAAATTAATTTCTGTACATGCTGTATCTAGGGAGAAAAGCAGTAATCAGACCTGCCTGACCTATTCTTCTGCTAAGGTACTCATCTGAGCAAAACCCATATACAAGTAACCAGATGGACTATGTGACAATCATAAGAGCATCTACAGCCTTACTAGTAAGATGCAATTGATTTATTAAACAACCTCTTTTGAAGGGACTCCGCTTGCCAGCTGTAGTTTTACAACATACAACAGGTAAACTGACCACTACAAAAGGTAACTATACTAAACATTGGGCTAGTATCTGTGGCATGATAAAAACCATTGCTCCATAGCCACCAAATCAGATTCAGACTGTCACAACTGTCATTTTCGAGGACAGGCATGAACCTAAACCACTGAACACTGAACAATCACTAGTCAAGCATGCACCTTGAGAGATGGCTGTATAAGCCTCCATTCACAGATTAGTGTTTTCCGTGCGTAAAAGCGCAAAACCCAATAAAACAATGCAATCCTGTGGGGCTCTTCACACCTGTGCATTTGTACGTGGGCACAAAAATGTGCAACATGGCAAAAAGTACAAGCGTGTTTTTCCGGGCGATGTCAGCGGGTTCTGTCCATAAAAGAGTATAGTTGTAGCGGCAAACGCGCAGAAAAACATGCGTCTATATAAAATTGCTGAATTGCAGATGAGTGGATGGAGCCTGAGGGCTAGTTCACACCAGCCCCAGTGCGTTCTGGCCCGATTTGGTGCCTGAACGCACTGGATCGCATCCTGGCTGGCTCACTGCGTTCTGGGGCATGATGGTGCATTGAAGTCAATGGCTCCGCAGCCTCGCCCCCGGCCGCAGTGAGATCGCCTGCACCGGAAGGCGTGGCACATCAATACCTGCGTTGCGGTCCGGAGCGGTCAGAAAAAATAGTGCTTGCAGCGAATCGGGCCGGAACGCGCTGGGGCTGGTGTGAACTAGCCCTAAGGGTTGCATACCTTCAACCAGGGAACTCTAAAGATGAATGCCCAAATCTCAACCATCCATCCCTAAAAGTGGGGTCACTCTTATGTCTATTGACTAGCTATGGTGGTTAATAACGCACGTCCTCTTCCTCGTACACCTCAGTATTGAACGGCAATACCATCTATCAACATTATGGAGCAGGTGGGGGAGGAGGCAGGGCAATATGGCCAAGCACCTCAGCTCAAAATTTATATTGGGGAAGGTGTCTGCTGTTCATACCTAGTGACATTTTAGAAAGTTTAAAGAAGAACTCCCAGCAGATGAAATCCCTAGATAAAAAAATTACTAAACTCTTGCAGTGCGTGGGTATCCCCACCACAAGGGTTAAGTGCTCATTTCCTTCGAGGGTTACAAATAACAAAGAAACACTCACCCAAACCGCAGCTGCTAGACCGGTCCCTGGGGGGAGGGAGACTGCAGGGACTAGTTTAGCAGCCAGCCAGATCCAATGTTGGGGTGAGTATAATCTTTGTTATTTGTGATCGTAGACGAAAACGAGCACTTAAAAAGGAGAACTACGAAGTAAGTGATTTACACTCATCCTCATAGTTAGAGCCGACGTGAGACATTGAAACTGTCAGGTGTTTACTTAAAGAAGAACTATGAGTTGAGTGATTGAAACTGTCACAAGTTGGCTCTGGAATAGATCTGGAAGTGAGCAAACGCATACCGTCGCTCGCTTACTTCCCGATCATCTCCCTGCAGAGAGTGGTGACGATCAGTCACCGCTCCCCGCAGGGATTCCCCCCCTTCCCGCTCCGATTCTCCAGCACTGACTAGAGGAACAGATGGGGGAGGGGACGGGCACAGCTGGCTCTGACTCTAGATAGGCAGAGCCCGCTGCCAATCAGCCAGCCCGGTGGATCTCGACAGTATTGTCGGGATTCGTCCCGGCTGCGGCGCTCTCAGTATATGGTGAGCTTACTGAGCTTTGGGTCATGGGAAGAGGTTAGTATATGTCCTCCTGTCACCCTATGGAGATAAAAAAAAACGTATCCCATAGTTCTCTTAAGCCTTGCAGTGCAGGGATAGCCCCACTGCAAGGGTTAAGATTTATTCTGCCCGGAGTTCTTCTTTAAAATGAACATAGGGCCTCTTAAAAAAAAAAAAAGAAGAAGAAGAATTAAAAACCTATATCAACTAAAAGGGCAAACTGAGACTGTTTCCTGGCTTCCGCTGTTTTCTCAAATAATGATATTTATTTTCTCTAGTGTGGAGGAGGAATCCAGATTGTTCCCTTGGTTTTCCAAGTAGAACACTGACTTTTTATTTTAGACACTTCATACATAAGGCCAAAGGTTGATTACATGCAGAAACGTCTGGAGTACAATGTATTTGTGGCTAGATAAGAAATGGTGTTTTATACAGTACAACCACTTACCGTTCAATCTGTTCGCCTGCAGAGGAACAGCGTCGTAATAAAATAAAAATACGTTTTTGCAGAGAATTTTTGTTGCAAAATATATTGTTTCTTGGCACTCAATAAAAAATGTGACTAAAATTCTTAAAAACCCGCAGACAATAGGCCAAAACCACATTGGATGACTTCAGCGCGTGTCGTTGAAGAAACAGTGCTGCCATCTAGTGGCCAGCTCAGGGGTTGACAGTTTGAATATCTTACACATTCTTTCAGCAGGGGTGTCTGACACCTCCAAGCAGAATGCACTTTCACATCAGTGTCAGAATACTTAGCATATGCATAGCAAAACTTCCTCTGCCAAACCTCTGCCTGTTAAAACGAAGACAAACATTTACCTTGAGGAAGATCCTCAGCTGACTTAACGCCGACTTGTATAAAGCGGGTAGGCACTGGTTGATGTTTCTTTTGAGGCTGTCCGGGACCCTGTGATAATTATAGTATGTGTTAAAAATTGACAGAGAATGGGAAGCTGAAGGAAAAGAAAAAACAGAAAAAAACAGTGCATCCTATAACCTGACAACTGGTGGCACTCTCCTTTCCAGGAAGGGCCAATAAGCACTATGCCGGCAGCAAAGCAGTTAAAGCAGCCATAAAAGATCTTCCCTTATAAACACCCTGCTTACTTGTAGCATGATGCAAGTGTAAAGAAAGCCTCACTGTCACTTAAAACCCAATTCACACTCTCGCTTCTGAACAAACCATCTAGGGCCCTTATGTAGCAAGCTAGCCTATAGACTGCTTTGCAAATCCCCGAGACTAATCGAGCTTGTGATTCACATCCTGTAATATTTCATAAAAGAGGATTTTGTATGAAACGTACGGCAATGGCAAAGATTAACCCATGAGGGTTCAGCACATGCCTAGTGGATGGTTTGTCCTTAAAGGAGAACCCAGGTCTGTCTGGGGTCACATGAGAACTTTCAATAGCAGCAATGTTATACCGGCATTTCTACCCAAAGAAAACATGATGCAATTCTAGAGAGATCAGAGTGTTCCCCACTAACTGCCATGTGGAGATTATGCGGGATCACTCTGAACAATAAGTCTGTGCCCAACTCCCTTTACAGAATCATGATAATTATTAACACCGATTACATAAAGGAAATTATAACGTCTCTCCTGATTCAGAATTTATCTGCACATGGATGCACACAGACCCGACATCTGCCTTGCTGTTAGAGGCATGGGGGCCCCTCAGAAGAAAGCTGCAGGATACTATTGCTGGCTACTCATTCTACAAATGTAAGTTGCTTGGGTTCAATACCTTGAGTTATTAACCTAATTATGCAGAATATAGACTTCTGACTTTCTTTATCTGCATGCTTGTGCTGGGTCACCGACGTTAGGTATCGAAGCCGGCATGTCAACCAGGCAACTCACATTTTCGAAATAAGGTCAGTAAATGGTAGCCTTCCGGCCTCTCTTAGATCAGATCGACTTTTAAAAAGACCCGAATCCAAAAGTAAAATGGAGGATTGTACACGTTCACGCAGCTTTTCATGTACCTTTGAACTTGCTAGAAAATTTGACTTCTTCGGGAGCAGTCAAATCCCCAGCATAGCATCTGTGCATGCCCAGTTCTTCTGCCCCTCACTTCACTATATAAGTTTTTGTGTAGCAGCAGGTGGAGGAGTGAAGGAGAATACTATAGATTGTAACTTAAGTGACAGCCAGCAGCAGTCCCAGGGCTTTCGGACGTCTACACAAGGGAAGTTTTTACAGGTAAATAACATGCCTAAAATATGCTAAATGCAAATAACCTTATAGAGAGATTTTTGCTGAAACTAATGGTCTGGTAACAGGGTCTAAAGTTTAAAGTTTTGCTGAAATTATGTTAGAAGGCCTGTAGAGATATAAAGAGTGTCGAATGGCCTTCTCCAATGTTCTGTCTGGTAAATACAGTTCAACAACAGCTGCTGCACTGGAGACCGTCTATATTCAAACGAGTCAGTTGCATGTATCTGTTAATTGGCTTTGACTTGGTGTCAGTTATGTGCTAATACACATGAAGATACAGCTGACATGATCTCTTTCCCCACCTTTTCCAGTAACAGCTCGCAACAGGGGAGGAGTTATATTACAAATACTGGTCATATTACAAATACTGGTCATTATTTCAAACTTCAAAAATGTCAGTTTTTATAAAGGTGAGTAAAAACTATCAAAAAAGGGACTTACAGCCTCCTATGGTACCCACATACATTGCACTCCAATTTGATAGTATGATTGCATTTATGAAAATTGAAATTGGGCGGCGTATTTGCAATGATTTTCAATCAATGATTTTAGGTAGAATTAAAAGAAAATAACCAGACAGGAACTCTTTGGATAGTTGTTAATAGGATTGTAGCCTGTGTAGTGTAACTAATTTGTTTGAGAGCAGGCAACAAGGAAAAAGCATTTCAAAGAGAACTATAACCAAAACTTTTTTGGCCATAGTTCTGTTTAGGGTCACAGGAGGACATTTACTAATGTCCTCCTGTGACCCAAAACTCTGCATATAGCGGGCTATTGCCCGCCTTTATGGTGACAGTGCAGAGCCACGCTGCAGCCAGGAAAGATCCTGACATTATTGTTGGAATCCACCCAGCTGTCTGATTGACAGCTGGCTCTGCCTCTCAAGAGACAGGACCAGCTGTGCCCGCCCCTTTCCCTGTCTGTTCCTCCAGTCAGTGCTAGAGGGACATACAGAGGGGGGGTTTAACAGTCACCACTCTCTGCAGGGAGAAGATGGTGAACTAAACAGTCAGCGGTGCTGTGATAGTTTAGTTCTCGATCTATAGAGTTGAGGTGTGACCGCTGCAATGGTCACACCTTGGCTCTAACTATTGGGATGAGTAGATTCCACTCATTCCAAAATTCTCCTTTAACCACGCCCTGTCCAGCGTTCTTTTGTTCTTATTGTCCAGTTTACACCAATCATTGTCAGTATAAACCTTGATGAAGGGGGAGTCGTGAACTCCTTAAACCCGTTGGATATTTTCTATAGACTTCGTGTCAAGATTATTAAAGTTGTACTGGACTAATTATATGGTTGTGGAGCTCTCACTCTTTCCCTTTTATATTTAGACCAAGGCGGCCTGCAGCTCCCTGGCTAACGAGCACAAGAATGACACTCAGCTGACTTGTGACCACGGCTGCAATAAAACAAGACCATCCGCTAATCCAACGTTTGGAATTAGTAGACGTTGAAAAGGTCCGACTGCACTGAAGTCTGAACATTCAAACTGGACATATTTGTATAACTAAAAGCAAAGGGCAACCAGAGTACTTGAAAGGAATTGGCCAGCTTAAGAAAGAAGAATATTAAAAGCATAAATATTTAGAAAAACCTCTATAAAAATAGTTGTTTTTGAGTTCTGAGAGTTGGAAAAACAGGTCTTTATTTTCTTGGCAGATCATAAAATGCAATTGGAGACCCTTGTTTGTTCCAGAAGTAGAAGCAGACCCAAATGTAAAGCATATGTTGGAGAAAATAGTGTGTACAGAACAAAGCATTCATGTCCTCACCTGCGAGGTGTGCCTGGGCACAGATGGTATTTGGTATGCATTGTCAGCATGTGGATAATGAACAGACAAGAGCTGTGCGTCCAGATCCCTGATGCTCATTGGACCAGAGCTAATGTTATCTCCATCATCAGGCATCACTCCTGTAAAGTAAGACAATTGATTAAGCCCACATATATACCATCATATCATGATAGATACTTTAGGAACCTGTTTTGATGGAATAAAACCTCAAGCTGGCCATAAACTATACAATCTAATTGTACAACCCCCCATACAACCTCCTTTGGATTCAACAAAACTATGCATTATAAACAATTCATTCAAGCAGGCCCTTGTACTACAGTGTGGATGGCAGATCTCAAGGAGATTTTACAAACAGATTGTTTAGTGTATGGTCACTAAAGCCCAAATAAACTTTCCATTTTAATCGGCTAAATACATTTTAGGTGCATCAAAACTATAGGTGTTAAACATCTAATAGTTCTTTTTCTTTATAAAGCAGCTGCAACCTGAGTAGAAAAGCCTGCCCCCTGCCATCATGCTGACCCGTGCTCTCTGCGTGGAAACAGTGCCCACCCCCCTTTGATTTAGACCTAAAGCTGTCCAATCAGCAGGGAGTATTAGTTCTGCGGATTGCAGAGCTTTAGGTCTAACTTAGCAGGGGGTATGTCTGACCTCTGCAGAGAGACCACTGATTCAACATCGAGAGCTAGAACACTTCTCTACAGCATCTTGGCAGTGGAAAGGTCTTTCAGCTCAGGCAATGACTGTCTTCCAAAGGAAACAAACTATATAGCTGACCATACACATTACAGTCTGACTGTAAAATGTCCTCTTAAAGGAGAATTATGGGGAGAAATACACTCTTCTCCATAATTAGAGCCGATGTGTGACACTGAAGCTGTCACACGTCGGCTCTATTGATTGGGAACTCAGTGAACACATACCGCCAATCACGAAGGATTCCCCAATCTGTTCCTACAGTCCCCACTGCAGGAGGGGGAGTTACAGCTGACTCTAGAGAGGCAACTGTCAATCAGGCAGCGGGGTGGCTTCTGAAAATATTGTCAGGATCCACCCCAGGTGCAGCACGGCTCTGCACAGTCAGCATATAGCAGGCAATAGCCTGCTATATGCTGAGTTTTGGGTCACAGATTGCATATGTCCTCCTGTGATCCTAAAGAGAACTATGGCCAAAAAAGTTTGATCCAGTTCTCTTTTTTTTATTATTTTGTGCCTTACCATATGCAAATTGAATAGATTGTTTAGGTGGGCCCTATTAACAAAAGTTTTGGTAAATCTAAAAAGGAGATTACACAATCAGATTGTAGCATGTATGGATTTAGATTTCAGAAACAATTTTTCACAGGTATATCACTGCAAGTCATTTCCTTTGACGGGCCCCTTTTTTTCAAACTCTTATTGATTTGTCCACATGACTGTAAAAATAAGCTTTTCAATTTCAATGCAGTGTCTTATTTTTTTTAAGAAACCTCTGACAAATTCGTATCAACGTTTTTCCTCTGTGGGGTGTATGCCACACATAGGGCTGATGTATAAAGGCTTTATCCAGCATGTAGCTGTGCGAATGCCGTTCGCATGGCATTACAGCTGCTAGATGGAGCATAGGATTTTCTTATGCTCCTCTGCAGCATCTAGCGGCTGTAATGCCATGCAAACGGCATTCACCCAGTTATACGCTGGGTAAAACATTTATACATCACCCCCTTAAAATGTATTTCCACTTTTGCAGTACAATTTGAGAAAGCCCCCACTAGGTTTGTTGTGTGTTGCCATTCAAACAGCATACTTGGGGGAAAAAAAAGTTGTTTATTTGTCCAAATTGAAAGTGGAGAGGGACACAGTGGGGGCAGGCTCCATTTCCTCTCATTAGCATAATATTCACAACATAAGTTGAGCTCTTTAACCCTTTGTTAAGACAGACAGTCCTGCACATCTCGTTCACAACTGATAATGACATCGGCCAGAACAGTACAGACAGGTTCATTATGGTAAACATACCTCCCTAGCTTTCATAGCAAAAGAAAAACATCAGTGTTGGAGTTTTCAGAAAGGAGTAAGTAAAAAGTTAAGCAGCTTGGGTGTTGTCCCAGTCTGGCTGCAAAAATGGAAATACACTTTAAGCTGGTTCACAATGGTGCCAAAAGTGTAGTCTGACAAGTGTAATCAATGCCTGCCAAGTGACCCCCAGCCGGTGGGTATGAAAGGATGCCAGATTTCCACTTTTGACATTAAGTTTCTCCGTGCCGACCTGAACATTGCAAGGAACACAATGAAATGCCAGTGGACCCCTCTCTAGAGGGGAGACAAAAAAAACATAACAGACCATGATGCAACCCTTCCCCAATTTATCCAAAAATCACAAAAAGAAGTAGCAGTTATCTGGAGTTCTCAGCCTTAATGCTTTGCAAATTCTAGAAGACGTGTATAACCTGGCACATTGGTGTATTGTCCCGGGGATGATGGACGGTTTTGAGGATGTCCCGCAATCTGACCAGCATTAGGTCTTCCCATAAACACAGAGTGTCCCACCAGGACTTGCTCCGCAGCCGTGGTCAGTCCTGGCCTCTGACCTTCACTAATCTGCCCCGAGCTGCTGTCCTCTCCTGAGCTCTAAGAAAAAAAAGACAGACAAAGAGCAATATAAACAATCTCTTCCAAAGGAAAATGAAAACTATTCTGTGGAAGCGGGTGGAAGCATGCCATGTGGGGATAGAGGCATGAATAACAAGCTGCTGTTAAAAAATCTGCTAAAAATAGAGGTGAAAATTGCTAATACATGAAGGCCACACACATATATTTCCAAGAAGCTATCAGTTTACATAACGGTGTTTTATTGCTGGATGCCAGAGTGGAGGAGCGGAACGTACCTCAAGATGGTAGAAAGCCTCATGTGGTGCAACAAGATCCTGATTAAATTTGGCTAAAAGCGAGAGGACGGGGTCACGATGTGCTCCTCTGTGAGGTCCCCGTATTACCTGTCCTTCACTTGGGGGGTCAAATTCCTGCAGGAGGAGAACAAGGCAGACTGTTATTGGTAGTATGACTTTCTCACTTAAGTACTGCTGCAGCCAGACAAAACTTCAGTTGGAATGTTAATGTAAAAACAGTCACATGTATTCATATGAAGAATTTAGGTTTAATGGATTTTTACAGCTACACAACCGAGTTGTCAGGAAGTCTGGCAAGAGTATCCAATAATACAAGAAAGCTACATGCTAAAGTCAATGAACAGTATATCACAACTCATGATATAGAAGGAATCCACACTCACTAGTGCAAATTAAAACAGAACTCCAGGCAAACCACTTAATAGAAAACTCAACTACACGGATGTTTATTGCCTTGGGGCCACTGACGATGGGTAAACGCTGCTTGCTTTAAAAATCATGTTGGGAAAGGCTTTTGAGATCACTAAAAGTTCACTGACAGGTGCATTTATTATTATTATACAGGATTTATATAGCGCCAACAGTTTGCACAGCGCTTTACAATATAAGGAAGACATTACAATCACAATACAATTCAAGACAAGATGGTATTTAACTTGCATTTCACCCATTTCAAGCTGCGTTTGCATTCCCATAGACTTGTATGAGTAAAGTAGCAGTTCTAATGTGCCAGTTGACAATGGCCCTTACCTGCCAAAGGATTTGTTATTTTGGCCAGGGACTCTTGTGGTATACATAACCTCTGCCAGTCAAAATGATCACGTTGCTACTTCTTGGTATAAGATTCTGTTTTCTGGGTCAGATCTCTGCTCATTGGACAAAGGTGAGGGTGCCAATGGCTAGAGGTGGAAAGCAGTCAGTAGCAGCTACAAAGCTAAACCAGGATGTGTTACCTATCTGGTTGTGCAGTGGGCATATCATAAGACTGCGTGCACAAGATTACCAATCCTTTGGCAGGTAAAAGAGTAAATATGTATAAATTCCAACTGTGCTATTAGCAGTTCCTCTTTAACATCCTAGATGCCAACCATAAAGATGTGATTTGTAGGGCATATAAATGGCACTGCTAAGGTCTTGACAACTGTGAATAAACTTTGCAAAGGATGCCAGCTGTGAATGTATGTTTTCATTATGAGACATATATGACAGTCGGTGAAAGAATTCGCAAACCAGGGTTCCGTGGTACCACCGGGTTCATCCAGAGATTGCTAGGCGTTTCTTAAACTGTGGCTGACTGACCTCCTATTTAATGGTGACTGCATACAGGGCCGGCGCTAGCGCAAGGCAACATGGGCACTTGCCTTACGGCGCCAGGGAATAGGGCGGAAAATTGACAGTCGGCCGCCCGGCATAAGTCCGGCTCCGGCCGTCCGATCGAGACCAGTGTGGGCTGCCTCTGCGGGCGGCATCTGAAGGACGAGTCCTGGCCGCAGCGGCGCTGACCTGTGCAGTCCTCCGAAATTCACGCCATACAACCGATCGGTTGTATGTGAAACAGCCGTTGACGGCTGTAGTAACTAGCGGGTCTTTCCTGCCCGTGCGCGCGCGAGCAGGAAAAAAATGCCGTCTGGCGACGGCAACCCGCAGATAGGAGTCAGCCGTCCGTCCGTTTTTTCTTAACGGGCGGACGGCAAGAGGTTTAAAGCTTAATGGAGCACAGATATAATGTATCCTGTATGGGGATGTTGGAGTGGTGTGTGTGCGCGTGCGTGCGTGCCGGGAAGGGGGGGGGGGGTGTCAAAATGCAGCTTCGCCTGAGTTGGCAAAAATCCTTGCACCGGCCCTGACTGCATAGTTCTAGGGCCAAAGCCATTTGGCAGAGCCAGCAGCATGACACCATACATATTTAGTTGTATGGAAGGGTAACATTCTGATCACCACTGAAAGTGTTGCATTTTTTCCACTGATATGGTTTTAGTAGGAGTCCCCCAAGACATAAAAATAATTTTAGGGGTTCCTCCTCTTTAGTGGTTTTGATCCTCTTTAAAAAGAAGGTAATTGATTAGTCAGGGCAGGGTTTCTCAAACTTTGTTCAGTCATGGCACTCTTTAAAATCATGCCACCTTTTTGTAAGGGTCCTCCCGCCTTTGCTTTAGAGCCCCCCTTTCCACATCAGGAGCCCCTTTGACTTCAGAGTCCCTACCTTTCACACCAGAATCCCCTTAAAATCAGGAACCCCCTTTACAGATGGCACGCCAGTTGAGAAAAGTCGAGTTAGGGGGCCTCTTACCATATCATTGGCATCCCGTAGCGTGCTGGACAAGCTCTCAGTCAGGTTCGGATAAACAAGACCACCTTCTGCTAAGGCTGCAAGAAAACACAGAAACTGTAAATCCACAATGAAGATGAATGTACAATAAAACATTCTGTACACAAAGGTGGCCAGTTAATCTAACAATATGTCCAGTGCTGGGAATCATGCTAATCTGAACATATACTTCTTAAGGAGGTTAATCTGTATAACAGTCATTAAAATTACAGCTCCTGTAAGGAAATTAGTTGAAGGATAAGGCTTGGAAATTATATTGTTTTCCAGACTGTGTGTAACCTGAACTGGAAAGATTTGTTCAGTAATTTTTTTTTTCATTCAGTCCGAAGGTTTAGCAAACAAAATAGAACAGCTAGCTTAACTCTCTGTACTCATTAAGCTGCAGCTCGTTACACTCAAAAAGTGTTCACAAAGCCATTACTTCCTGCGCTGCTCCATGCCTTCCATGTAAATCCACCATCAAACACCCTCTGTAATCAGCTGGTCTCAATGTGCTTAGCAAGGGCAACTCTGTAGCAGCTACGAATCACTCTGGCTATATTGCTTATCTGTAGAGCTACAAATCTCTGGTGTGCCATGGTCAGCAGCAGCTGCACTGGATAACATGAGCAGATATGGTAATTGAGCGACACGTATCTTTCATTGCCTGCGATTCGTTTTTTTCCTAGTAAGAAAATGCTAAGGAGAGCCAACATGCCTCCTTATCTACATAATCCGAGGGATCTGGCTGACTTATGAAGACTGTTTGCACAGATAAATTGTACGATCTCCATACAATGTCCTTTACATTTACCAAAACTATGTAATGCAAGGACTAACACGGTCAGGACACTATCTGCAAGGAGTTTGCAAGTTCTCCCTGTGCTTGCGCGGGTTTCCTCCGGGTACTACGCACAGTTTCCTACCACACTCCAAAGACATCCTGGAAGGTTAACTGGCTCCTGTGTAAATTGACCCTGCATGTATGCATGTGAGATAGGGACCTTAGACTGTAAGCGCCTTGACGGCATGGACTGATGTGAATGTGCAATGTGCAAATGTGTGTAAATTGTCGGCGCTATATAAACACCAATAATAAATCAATCCATTCATTGTATGAAATTGGGTAGGCCCTTGCATTACATAAAGGAGGGAGATTGTGCAATCAGATTGTAAAGTGTGGTTAGTTTTTTGGCTCTTTTTTCCCCAGGCAACAAACAGAAGAACTTACCTCGAGCAGCAGCCATCTGTCCATAGCTATATACAATCTCCCCTTCTGAGATGGGTTTGTCTGTGGTATCCGAGTCAGTGGCAGTGACGGTCAGGCTGCTTTCATCGGTTGAGGGTGCAGACACGGATGGAGAAGGTACAGGTGATGGGGTCCTCTGTTTCGGTGATGCTGGGAGAGATTTCTCTGATGAGGCAGCAGAGATTAAGCTTCTTGGTTCTTCTTCTACAGCCACAGTCATTACACTAAAAAAAGAAGTATTTGTGTAACTGACCCAGGATGCAGCTCAACACATACGCACTTTTCCAGCAAGCATGTATGCCATCTGCAGACAACTCTTTAAAGTGTATGTAAACCTTAACATTGAACTTCTCTTATTTGCTATATTTTGCTCTGTTAAATATGCCAAAGTGTTTTCTTATATCCTTTGATACGTGCAAAAAAATACCTGTTGATCATGTCAGGAATCTAGAGCTGTCCTGCTCGCTCGGCACCCTTTCTGCGTTACCTCAAGAAGAGTAATAACCCCTCCAAATTTTTACCTTGGACTACAAAACAAAGTTTGTATCACTATGTTGTGTAGAAAGAGACAGTGGGAGGGAGTTAGTAGTTTAGCAAAAGACAACTGGGCAGGGCTAATGTCCAAGTCCCATTGCACTCCTGACCGGCAAGTCCCTTGTGGAATAGGTGGGTGCTACAGTGACAAATGGATGGCGCCGCTGAGTACCAGAAAAGAAGTGGGTCACTGGAACTCCAATGCACCTTTATTGACGCATGCTCAGTATCTCATAACATGATGTTTCAGGGCTACGCAGGGTCCCCTTCATCAGGCAAAACAGTGATACAGTGGAGAAAAAAACAACACTAAAAAGCGCCAGAGAGGACTGCTCAACCAGTACAAACCAATGTACACATGAATATAGTCAGAATCAAAGTCTGTTTAAAATTTGATAGATTAAATAAAAATTGGTGCATGAATAAAAAACACGTTTCAAAACACGTTTATAAAAAATGTCTGTAGGATGCTGCCCCAAATCAGCCAGGGAGACTGTAAAATCTAGGGAAAAAACACAAACAAGGGGCGCCTTTCCTGGTGCAGACAAATTTATTAAGATCAGGATTGAAGGTAAATATAAAACATACTCACAAAATTCATGATTGAAGTATAAAAAAATATAAAAATTAAGTCCATGGACCCAAGGAAAAGTCTATGAAAGCTGCACAGCCGTGTATATGTGTCAGCAGAGGAGACTGTGCGATGTGTGATACAGTGGAGCCTGCGTGCCAGAAACGTTGTGTTATGTGAAACCAGGCAGGGCTGACACCATACAATCCACAAAAAAATGCTGTGTGTTTAGGAGCCGAGTGCATTTCTGGCAGATTAACATGTATTTCTTGCACTTGCAGGGTTTTTAAAGAGATGCAATATGGGGAAATATTAAATACAATTGAGTCAGGTATATACAGATTTTTTTCAAGCCAATAAAAGAATACATTGGCCTGTTGATATGCATGTCTGATTGTATTCCTAATCAATTAAACATACATTGAACAAGAAAAATCACACAGTGTGTGGCTAGCTTTATACTCTAGTCCTCCCTGCCACTAACCCTCCCTGCCAGTCTCATACTCATGTGCCCCAGATCCAGGGAGTTATTGCTGACTGGATTGCACAGCTGCTTATCAAACTCTTCCAGACTGGGTCTATGCATGTGCTCAGCACTCATATTCATTCGTACAGACAGCTCTGGGGTAAAAGCTAGTACTCCAGATTAAAGCTGGCCATACATGTATAGTGTTTTTTATTGTTCAGCTAAAGAGCATGAATGTAGAAATCCCCCTGCTGACTATTGTATTCTGACAGCAAGCACTTGCGGCTGTCAGAATGTCTGAACAGTGACTGCAGTTAAATGGATTTTCCAGTTGCAGTTTGTTGAGCGGGTTGGTGCCGGCAGAGGTTAAACACATTAAGAATTCTAACAGTATATGACAGCTTAACACTCTGAAGCCGGTTTTCAGTCCCATCTGCGATAACTCACTGGATTGGAGACAGGAGGGTACAAGACTGGCAGGGGTCTGGGAGCAGGGAGGACTACAGTATAAGTGTAACTGCAATTATGTTTTAATTAATGTCAGTCTGCCACCATAAAACACGTGTTTGTCCATTGCTGCAGTATGGATAATAGACAGCTCCTGAAGGCAGGAGCTGTCTATTATCCATGCTGGATAATAGGAAGCAATTAGGAAGCAATATAATGATCTAGGTTCTCAATGAAATATCTCTCAATGCCTAAATAAAATAATAGATTACACTGGATGTATGGTAATAAATTCATATTAACAAAGCTGTAAGTGAAGACTTTAGAAGAAATATAGATCTAGAGTATGATATGGTAATGCCCAGCAGTCATCTAGACTTAGCGTTGGTGAAATTTATACTTACGCTGCATCATTATACTCAACGTCTTCCATGACAGAGTGTGGGTTTTCCTCCTCTAATGGGAGTTCTGTTTCGCCCCAAGGATTAGGAGGAGGAGCCTGAATGACAGATGGCTCTTCATTCTCTTCTGATGGGACAGGTGAGGCAACTCGGGGGGGTGAAGGCACTGGAGTTTTTGGGGGTGTGTCAACATGGACCGGTAGGCTCCTCTCTTCTACAAAGGAAAGATAAGGAAAAGTTACATTATTCTTTCTTCAACCAAATGTAGACATTAGAGAGATTTTGGATGTGTTTGCAAAATCCAATACCTAATAATCATAATCATGTTGTGTGCATGTTCATGCCTATGGAAGAAGGGAGACCGAATAGTCATCACAGGCATCAGCAGTAGCCTCAGAAAACCATATTGATTTGTAAAATTAAAGGCTAGTTTACGCGTTAGAAGGCAGTCGGACATGCAGGGATGATCCAACCATCTCCAGGCACCCGAGTAGGTTCACGGACATGAAAGGTGGACTTTGCTAACCATCAGTGTTTAGCCTATTCAGAGGGGTGGAAGACATTTTACAATGGCAGCTTGAAGAGAGAGAGTGTGTGTGTGTCCTCAGGGGAATAGCAAAGTCTACGGGTACTCCATAGACTATTGATCATCATCCAATCTGTTTGAAGAAGCACAAAGAGGAAACTCTATGGGTACCTCCACTCTGCACATTACCATTTCCTATATGAATGATCAGCCAAGATGCCTGCTACTGTCTGCCAGTACCCAAAAGGTGTGAGGACCATCAGCTGATACACGTACATTTAGCCAAATCTGGAGATGATCATCCAATATCTAGGGGCAATGTTGGCTTCAATTGTCCTTCAGAAACAGCATAAACTTTATGATGCCATATTCCATCATAAATTACAATATAAAAACATAATATACTCCTTGTTCGGAAATCACAAATATGTGAAGATACCAAAAAAAGCAAAGTACTTAAAATCTGGCAGTGTGCAGGATTTGGAACTAACCGGGCTCATCAAGCTCTTCCTGCTGAACGTCTGGCTCTTCCACTGACGTCTGCACGGACAGTTCAGGAGTTTTCACAATGGATGACTCTCTTGCAGAAGGCAGGGGAGAGGCAGAAGGTGTGCTCTGAGGAGTGGGAACTGGAGAAATCTCATCAGGTACAGGCTGTAAAGAGTGAAAATGAAGTGTCATTTTTGTCCCTGATTAAGACCCTCCCAACTGTAGTTAACACGTCATTTCTCATTTGTTTTTTATATTCCTCCAGGGGGCCGGACTGTCAGAAGGTTGTGAACCCCAAAAACAGGGGCAATATTTCATTTAGAAAAGGGGCTTATGCTTACCTACAATAACATTGGGGCTGTGTCACTTGGTCAGTTTGAATACAAACGTTGCTCAATTCCTTCATCTTTAAATCTGAACTCCAGGAAAACAGCTAAACATAACAATGATGTCTTCCACACAGCACAGTCCTGCCTGGCAGGGGATGGGACCTGATCTTTCTGTGCTGCAGCTTCACTTTCCCTTATATGCATCCTCCCACCCTGTGACTGGACAGTGGAAGGAGAAGCAGCAGGCTGATGAGCTCACTTCTCCTTCACTCTTTTTGTATTGGATGCTGTTGATCTGGTAGCTTTTTGTTGTGGACTGTGACCCCCCCATCTTGTGACATCAGGGCAAGAAATAAGGGGGAAAGGTATCACTGGTATAAGAAGACACCCACAGCATTAAAAACCAGACCGTGGTTCTAATCCTTTCCACTTGAATAAAAAGGTGCTTTTGTTGCTTTTTTTGTCCCCATTGGAAAAACTTTCCATTTCTTCCAGGTGTCCCAGGTTTCACCCACATGACGAAAATATACTGGCGAGTTAATTAGATTCTACCCAAAATTGCTTACTATATACCCGTCAGTGGTAGGGACATCAGACTGATGAGAATGGTCTTCATAGATAATAATATAATGCTTTAGAACCTTACTGTTATATAAAGGAATAAAGCACAAGGATAATATATAATGTAAGAATGCAATAATTATTTACCTGAACATCAGGCTGCTCCAGAGGGGGAGTTGGCACAGCTCGAGTCTCTCTCTCTCTCAGCATGGTGGCTACAATGTCTGCCAGAGTGTCCTCAATGTACTTGCGAATCAAATTGGAATCCACAGGAGATTCAACTAGAATACATTAAGAAGACATTAGAAACACAAAGACCACCAAGGTTTTTATTTTTGAGATGCTAGGAGCTGGTTGTACATTATGAATGTGTAAAGAGTAATGTGCTATACACTATTTAATCAAAGGTGTGAGGATCATTACACCTATATGAGCTTGCTGGACATCCCATCCCAAAACCATGGGCATTTATATTGAGTTGCCCACAACTCCTTTGTGGCTTTAACAGCCTTCATTTTTGTGAGAAGGCTTTCTACAACATTTTGGAATGCAAATGTGAGAATTTGCACTTATTTGTCCAAAAGAGCTTTTGTAAGGTCAGGTACTGATGGTGGACTAGATGACCTGGCTCACAATCAGGATTCCAATTCATCCCAAAGGTGTTCACTGAGGTTGAGGTCAGTAGCTTTGTGCAGGCCACTCAAATTCCTTGCACCACTCTGGTCAAACCAGGTCTTAATGAAGCTGACTTTGTGTACAGGGTCACAGTTGTGAGACAGAACAGGGCCCTCACCAAACTGTTGTCATAAAGTGGAAAGTATGTAATAGTCTAAAATGTTTTTGCTAGAGAATTAACAGTATCCTTAACTGGAATCATTTGGAGGGATGTCCACATACTTTTGGCCATATAGTAGATGTTATGGTCAGATGTCTATAACTTTTGACCATGTAGTGTAAATGAACAAAAATAAAACACATACATACCAGTATCTGAGGCTGCGTCAGACTGGTCCGCACTGGAAATGGTGACATCAGGGACTACGTCTCGTCTCACTGGATGCATCTCACTTATAACACGAGCCATTATTTCTTGTTCCACCCTAACATAAAATACAAGAGATGGTAACTGCTTGGTGCTCCAACCAGTAGATATATTATAGAAAGGATCTCATTACTCAAAAAGTGTCCCCTGCATAACATCCAATTCACCTGGCATAACACGGCTCTTTTCTCCCTAAGGGGCATACAATGCTCCTCTAGTTTATCTATATTCATCTCTGCATTATGCTGTTACTTTAAGACAACAGAATCATCTTTAGGTGATGCCTAAGTTTAGTCATTGCTACACATAGTGCAAATTTGGACTTTTGTAGGTGACTATACAAATGAGACCTTACAAAGTCATTGTAATGTTATAAGAAGATACTTATTAATTTATTGGATCTGGGTGTACGAGGAGGCGTGGCCAGGGCCGAGGGAGAAGCGGCCCGGCCGTCGGAGGCTGCGATGCCGCTCCAAGAAGCGGGTGGAGGAAACAGACAGCGATCAGCGCTGCCGAAGCGGCGGAAGTCCCCCCCCCCTGGATTTCCACTCGCCCCCACGCAATTTTCACTCGCCAATTGCGAGGGGGCGAGTGGAAATTTTGAGCCCTGCTGTATAGTGTCCACAGGTTGCACAGCGCTTTACACAATAAAGGGAGACAGAGCAGTTTTAATACAATTCAAGACAACAGGGATGAAGGTTATTATTTGACCTTCAGAAGTGTCTATACTCTCACTATGATCATTGACTATTACAGTAACTGGATCAAAGTACTTATTGCATGTGTTAGGACACACAGTCTTCATATATGGCCATTTTCAGCCAAGTCTGACATTGGCATCTTGCTGACACCATATCAGAATATGATACAGCTCCAAGACTGCACAGGTTGGCTCCATATACTCTTTAAAATCTAAACTACAAGACCTGGCATAGGTTGCACATAGAACAGCAGAACACGCTGGAAACATAGTAGGTAAGCTGCCCCTTACCCTTGAGGTTGGATGTGGACCAGTTTACGGCAACTCCTGTAATGGCAGCAGTTAACTGAAGTTCCTAACATACTATTGCTGTGCAAGATAATCATTTAATGACCCCTGTTAACAGCTTGAGTCATAGGAAATTGCTTCATGCAGAGAAAATGTGTGCAGGCCTCTAATACAGAAGGTGCAACCTTTCTAAATACAGTGAGATGAATGTGTGATCACATGGGAAGCTGGGGACAAACACATGGTGATCTCACTAGTCGAGTATCTGAGAAAGGAGACGCCAATAAGCGCATCATCTTAGAGGCATACATTAAAAAAGGGAAATATCAGGTTTTGTGTGGACATACACAGATACATAATACATGATAGTATACTCAAAATATCAGAATGACTTACCAGCTGATGACCTTGTTTTCCAGGGTCTCCTTCCTACTAATGATCCCTTCTAGAATGTCAGCGCCGGTTTGTAGAGGGGGTACAGGCGGAGGGAATGAAATTCCACCATGTTGGGGTGCAATTGTCTCTCCTCTACCACTTAATTCCAACAATGGTTCAGGTGCATCGTCTTCTTGATCATCCTAACAAAAAAAAAGATAACTCTATTGAAGGGAGAAGAGGGTTAAATGCACATAAGTGAGGGTAAAGGCAAATACAAAAGATGATCTTTCTTAATAGGATGAATAACAATATTTCGTAACAACGTTTTTGTCCATTTTACATTCAGCAAAATTGAAAATTAAAATAAAGAGGTCGTGTAAAAAAAAAAGCATTTTAGGTAAATACACAGTTCAGATCCTCAGCCCTGCAGATCATATGTTCCAACCAAAACCGATATAAAAATGCTTAATTCTATACATTTACCTATTTGGATACTATTGAGCCCAGAGGATGATGTGCTCTATGTGTCTGTCAAATCTATTATTAAATGGGATGTTTCATTTGTCGTCACTTTTAAGTTAAAAACTGGAAGTGAAACTTCCCAATCTGCTGTTATTTGGCAATTTGTTCAGGTTTCTACTGATCAGGTGATCACCCCTCTTTTCTTCCCAGTTTTGGCTATACAGAGGAGTAGAATAGAGGCCCTCTGACTGTAGTGAAGATCACCTAAGAATTGCCCAATCTGAGGGACTGTGAGATGTCGTGTCTGATTTTGGGACAGGGAGAGCACTTATGCAAAGCGAGGATTTGCCTAAAGGAAACCTGAGACGTGAGAAACACAGAGGCTGCAATTGCTGAACTCTCATCTGAAAATGCTAGCTGTGACATTTGAGCGCCACCATGTACAGGATTTCCACTGTGAGCCCAGACACAGTAATGATGTCAGCCCAGGGGGTATGTCCTTGACAGCCTGAACTCACAGGAAGTAGCTGGATGACTCTAAGAAGCAGTTAGGACCACCAACAACATGTGACCACATGGAAGACACCAGGATTTAAAGTACAAATGCTTCAATTTATAAGAAAATATAGGTGTAGCGATGGGTGCAGCTTGAATTATGGAGTTGGGCAATGAGGCAGCACAGCAGTATCTACTAGGTCTTCCTGGAGATATTAGGAGCTAATGTACATACTATAGCACAGTGTTGCAACAACAGCGCATGTTGAAAGAACACATAAATAATGTTATACTGATCTTTAAACCTGAAAATTGCAAATCAGGCCATTTCACATGCTACTAATGGGGTGATTTGCAAAATACTTATCTATCTACTCTGTAGCTTTAGCATGGGTGCCAACCACCTACAATATGTGAGAAAAATAAATGTGGTCACAAGAGAACTGCATATATGTCTGGATGTAATGCCAACAACTGTATTTTCCCCTCTCAGCCGCTCGATTTATGTCACCCCACTGTCCGCCAAAGATGACCTTAACTGGAAGATAGCAGGCCATGTCCCGCTGTGTTGTGCTGTCACAATTCATAGTCATGGTAATATTCATATTAATGTGAAATGAGAATCACATAGTTAATTTTCCTTAAGCCATTATCTTTGGTAGTATAGCTGGTTATTATACTGCCAGCTGGTGGTCATTCTGGTTATTGCAGCATGTTTTCTGTGTTCCCTCCAATTTATTATGTATTTCCCTTTCTGCATGAGACTTGTCTTCTGGCATCAAAATGGCTCACTGTAACATGGTATGCATGCATGCTTGGAAACATTACCATCTCTGATCTTCAAATACCATCTGTTCATTCATCTGCTGTATCCCGTTGTCTGCTGTAACCTGTTGCATGCAATAAAGCTCTTTGTGGATGAAAAGGTATTTGGTGAGTTCAGCTATCTGATAAGGATTGTCCACAGTGATTATATCTGCTTATACAGGCCAGGCATAGAGGTCTGAGCAAGGGATAAATCGCTATTACAAGAATCGGAGTCAGAATATGTGTATTACCTCTGGGAAATCTGTTCCTTGGTAAGAAGTGCCAGGCATAGCCAGGATTTCTTCTTCAGTTTCCACATTTAAAGGCAGCTTAAATAAAGCAAAGCAGAAGAAAAGGATGAAATGAAATATCAAGTGTAATTTGGTGTAAGGGATACAGACACAAAAGCCTCTCTACTCCGCTGCAGCGGTCCAAGGTCCACGAGTCATCACATTCTATACACAGTGTATAGGACACAAGGATGCCAAGGAACAAACCATTGGAGGAGACAGGCAAGAGGGAGCATTGTCAGAGCCGGCAAGCTTGGAGGATCAGGCGAGTATAACTTTGTTATTTTTGACCTTAGGAAAAAACAAGCACTATAAAACCCTTGCAGTAGGGCTACGCCCACGCTACAAGGGTCAACTACTCGTTTGTGTCTAGGGAGGAGAATAAAGTTATACTCACCTGGAGCCTCAGAGCCGGCCTGCTCGGTCCCTGGAGCCTCTCACCCCCTCCGCTGCAGCAGTCTAAGGTCCCATAAATCATTACACTCTATACACAGTGTACAGGACATGAGGATGCCGAGGGACATAACATTGCTGCAAGTTGGAGGGAGCGCTGTCACAGCCAGCCGTCTCATAGGATCAGGTGAGTATAACCGGTATTTTCCCCTCTAGACCAAAATGAACAGTTAACCCTTTCAGTGCGGAGGTAGCCCCACTGCAAAGGTTAATAAAATGTTTACCCGGAGTTTTTCTTGAAATTACCTTTTATACATAATTCTGTAGTAAATACCATAAGAAGCTTTGTGAATGTTTAATGGGTCCATTGTATAAGACAAAAAGCATTAAACCATAGCCACCAAATATGGAACTCTTGACTGGAAAAAAACAATGCTGTGTTTCAGTTCACAAGCTTTCTTGCAAGAGTTCAAACAAACGGGCATCTGAGGCTGTACAATGTGAACTTTTCCTGGCCAGGAGCCACAGGTGCTGCCCATATATATCAATGGCTGAGCCCTAAGTTGTTTTCTTGGTGGTGCAGAAGAAGATGAGAGGGAATGTGTGAGTGGATAGGTGTATGTGTGTATTGTTACTGTTGTTGTTGTTGGCACTGATAATACCAAATCAGTGAATGTTCATTTTCTTTATAAAAACCATAGTCACCAATCAGACTTCAGCTTATTCTAGACCCTTCAGCGAGGAGAAGATATCCAATTGGTTTTTATGGGTCACAGAACTGCTCTGCGCACTGCGTTTACTGCATACGTTACATACAAAAACTGGAGCAACGACCATTTAAATGTATCTAAAAGTGAGACGCAGATCTGTTCCCGGCCGTCGGAGTTTAATTCCAGTCCAGCCTCATTCTGTAATTGAATCTGTTGTCTTATGTTATGGAAACGGCTTGTTTTATCACAATTCACACAGATGTTTTCCATTACTCAGACACAAGGTTTACTGACATTATTGAAAAGTTGCCAGGACCTCAATGAAGAATGAATACATTACCACTAAAAGCAGGCGGTGCTCACGGGAAGTATGGTTGTTATGCTGTATGAGTAATTAAAATATGAATAATTCATCAATGCTGGTTCTAATGAGAGACGTTAACCCATTAGCTTCTCTGCTATACAGATTACAGATGCATGCAACTCTTTCTTGTCATGTAAACTAATGCAAAAGGTAGAGATTACACAATAGGAGGAATAGCACACATGATCTCAAACCACCCCATGTCCACTCATATGGATCACTGCACTTTATTCGACGGTCAGAGTAAGTAAGGCAAGGTAAACAAATCAATGGTTAGTGTTTAATATCCCTACCTGTATGTTGGGCTGGACAGGGCTGGGGGTAGGAGTCACCAATTCTGCACTTGATGTTCTTTGGCTTGTGCTTGGGCTGTCACTGGCTATACTATCAATATCAACACACGGTAAAACCTAGAAAAGGAGCAAGCATGTTAGCACAGATGTCAGAGTAGAATTTTTTTATTTAGAAAAGGGAAAAACAAGGTTAAAGACTCTTTAAAAGGCCCCTAAAATCAAAAGTAGACTTTAGGTTTGGCATTACCCCTTAAAAGGAGAACTATGGGGTCAGTGTTTTTCCCCATAGTTCTCCTTAGGGTAACGGGAGGACACAAACTAGCGTCCTCCCATTACACTAAGCTCAGTATAATACTGAGACGCCGCAGCGGATCACGACTTAGATGACGGGATCCGCCCAGCTGCGTGAGTGACAGCTGGCTCTGCCTATCTAGAGGCAGAGCCAGCTGTACCCGCCCCCTCCTCCGTCCGTTCCGCCAGTCCGCGCTGGCAGATCGGAGCGGGGAGAGGGGAATCCAGCCCCTCCCCCTGTCACGGCAGAGAGCCGTGACAGGATCGAGAGGCGAGCGAACCCGGTATGTTTTCGCTCACCTCCCGATCTACTGAGCCGACCTGTGACGGTCTCATTGTCACAGGTCGGCTAGAACTATGAGGTGAGTGAAAAGCACTCACCTCATAGTTCTCCTTTAAGGCTGTCAACACCAAAATGCCCCCACCCACCCCAGATCTTTACTTCCTAGCAATCGCTATTTGAAACCTAATCACAGGAACAAAAATGTAATACATTTCAGATAAACAGTCCTTAGATGTGGTGTCAGCATTAATTTCCCTTGTCATGCTTTTTTCACCTGGTGATCTTGCCAGTATCACACTTTCTGTCCAAAGATGACAACACTCACTGCATTGTATCTATGTAAGAGCAGCATTGTCACCCCAGGACAGGACATGTGTTAGGACTACCAAACACCTCCCCCTCTCCATATTATTAGTGGGGGGGCGTGGGGGAATTCCGTAGGACAGAGAGAGAACTGGGAACAATGCTAATTGATAACAGTGCAGCCATGGCCGAGTGGACAGAAAGTTATCAGCTCACAGGATTTCTGGCAGGAGCAACAGTTTTTTTTTGTACTTATCAAACAGATATAACAAAACACTTTCAATGAAATATTTAACAAATCAAAAAGAGAGCAAATACCAGATTTTAATCGTTAGGGTTTACATACACTTTAAAGTCTTGATCCCTAGGCAAAGGACCAGATCTGAGCGAGACATAGGCTCAGACACTGCTCAGGCAAAAGCAGCCAATCGTGGCCTCTACCCCATACACTCAGACTGATATTTGAGTATAACTATGGCCTCCCATTAAAAAAATGTGTTGCAACACGTAGTTATAATTGTAGATGCACTTTCAGTTTCCTCCAGTTGGTCATACACTGTGTGAAATTGGGCTGGTTCTTGGTGAACCGTTTGAAATTCCCAGTGGGTGGCCTTGTCAGGAACCTTTAATAAAAAAAATTTAAAAATACGAAGGAGCCGGATGGAAAGTCTTCAGGTGAGCAGCGACGGCAGCCAATGAGTTGCTGTCACTGTTCGAGTATTCCGACAGCTATCAGAATACAAAGGACACAGCGGGAGATTCAGCCATCAACACTGTTTAAAAGAATCCACTATATTTTTTTGTTTAGCCCACAGGCGGAACGAAAAAATATAACACTGTCTGGCCAGCTGTAGTCCCCCTGAAAAGTCGCACAAATACTTGTTGATCCTGCCAGTAACTTCACCCAATGAAGCTTAGCTAAAAAAACATAATTTATTAGTTTAAAGGACTTTTTCATAAATCAAAGAGCAGAACAAGATAAAACACGAAAATGTATATTTTTTTAAGATGATACAATAAGAGCCATACCTGGACACTGAGTTGTGGCGGTTCCTTCTTCTCAGACTTCACCTCCACCACAGCTATGTTGGGCTTCACCACTTTGGGCTGTGCCTTAGGGGACTGTGGTGGGACAGACACATTGACAACAACTGGTTGAGGTCTAGTGCGAATTACAGCTGAAGGCAAAGGACCTGCACTAGACATCTGTGGTCTTCCTGAAATTAGAGAAATATAAATGGCGTAACAAGTTCCTTTCTATGTATGTGGATGCATACTTTTTTTTTTATATATACAAGAAAATACATAATATGCATGTCATGTTAGGATTGAAATTCCAGAGGGCAATAATACAAACTGGAAAGATTCGTAAATAATAGAGAAAATACATTTCTAAAATGGCAACCATGGTTAACATTACAAAGGCCTCTGGGCTTTGACATAAACCATTCATTTTGTTTTCCCCTAGATGGCGCTGAGTATAATTTCCTTTACTCATCAGCTCCATCTAGGGGCGCTAGTGCCCTGCGATTGGCAATTGGCTTTCAAACATTATATATTAACCCTTAGGGGGTCATTAACAAAGCTAGCCGAAGCATTGGCTGATCCTTCGGCTAGCTTCGGTTGCGGGAGCCCTTCAGTTCAGTCGAACCGAAGGGCTGTTGTACGGGCTATTCACTATAGCCCGTACAGCTCCTGAAGGCGGCCGAGCTGGCTCAGCAGATGACAGCTGGGAGGAGCCAGCTGTGATCTCATGACTGGCTCCGCCCAGTTGCAATGACAGATCAGTGTCCCCAAATGACCTGGGGATACTGAACGGTCATTAAACAATGACAACTGGGAGCAGCCGGCTGTGACGTCACGACCAGCTCCGCACAGTTGTTATTCATTGGCCAGGACCTGCTAGAAGACTCTAGAAGGTGCCGGCCAATAGGACGCAGTTGGGCGTCGCGAGCTGTCATTTTTTTACATTTTTAAAATCTTTTTTTCAACTTTTCTTTTTTCACTTTTTTCATTGATTTCCTATTCTGCTCGGTACCACGGAGGTACAGAGCAGAATAGCCGAGCCGAATGCCGGCTATTCACTCACTGCCGTTCGGCCCCTATGTGAAGAGGGGCAAATGGCAGCGATTGAGCTGCCGGAGCTTCAGCTCAGCCGATCCAGGTGTTGGATCGGCTGAGTCGAAGTTCTTCGAACATGCTCGGCTGACCGAAGTGCAGCCGATGTACGGCTGTAATCAGCCGTCCTGAGCCATAGTGAATAGCCGAACGTTGTTCGGCTCACTTAACTACGGCTCGGTTAACTACGGCTCACTTAACTACGGCCTGTTTTAGCCTTTCATACAGCCTGTGATGAAGCTGCGGTTGCGCTTTGTAAATGGCTAAGCAGAGGGATGGGGTTGAAGCACAACACTACAATTATCTGTTTGTAATGGACACTGGCTGATGAGGCTGGAATCTAGTATTCCAGCATCCGCTCAATAGAGCTTACACACGCTTATTTTAATAAGACATTTGTTACTGGCTAATGGGAGTTTTGCAAAAGTATAAAATTAATGAAAACTTTAGAAACCACTCCAGTCCTATAGGTTTGTTTAGGGCCAGTGACACACTAGGCAGTGAGGTCAGGATCAGGATTGCATCCATTGCACCTCTAAATACATGTCAGAATGGAAGCTCCCTCCTCAATACGAACTCTATAGGCGATACACATTTTAAAGGTCAGGTACTGGAAGTAATAGCACTCCTGTGTTGCATGGCTCTTTGTGTTAAATGTCACCAGAATGTATTAACCAGAACATTTCCTTTTTTCTTACAAAAGACAATTTCTTCCCCCGTTTATTATAACCCTGCAAATTACTAAAAATAAGGTAATCCTTGCACTATAATGTCACAGAGAATTTTTATGTGCAACACCACATCAAAATCTGTGATTTTCTCCATCTATCCAGAAATGTTTGCAGCTACGTTAAAGCTGAACTCAAGGCACAACAAAGTTCATTTTTGAACCCAGATATTACTTTAGAAATATGTGCTGTACGTAGCCTGGGCAGAGAGCAGAGCTGTGGGAAGGACCCAGCAGATGCACAAGGTATAGGCTGCCTGTGGAAAACTACAGGAGGGGGCGGATACAAGACCAGTCACCCTGCACGAGGAGAGAGAGCAGCAGTGACTGGTCTTTATTACAGGAAGCTCCTGCACAGAGGCAAAGTGCAGGAAAGAGTTTTATGATGGGCTTGAAGTGGGAATACAGATGGCTCATTTTTTTTATAAATCACTTGAATGCCACACAGCAAGAAGGCTGCATCTCTTAAGTCAGTTCAAATGCCAAATTCTCAATGCACAATTATGTTTTTGAACCCAGATATTACTTTATAAATATGTGCTGTACGTAGCCTGGGCCGAGAGCAGAGCTGTGGGAGGGACCCAGCAGATGCACAAGGTATATGTCCATCCAAATGTTTTGTTGTTGTTGCATGGAGTGGAGAAGGGTTGAAACCATATCAGGATACAGAGCAATAAAAGCAGACAAGGGTTCTAGCCTTCCTCTACTATGCAACAAAAAACAAAAAAATAATTCAGTTTATGTTGCTGTCAGAGATTCACTGGTGAAACCATTGTCATCCAGAAAGGCAAATGAGGTGGAAATTGCTCTAATGGAGCTTTAGATAAAATTTTAAAGCACAACAAGAGTTCTAGTTCTTCTCCACTCTATTAAAAACTGAAAAAAATGTTTTGGCTGAACGTACACTTTAATTTTTTTTAGAACTGTGGGACTCCCTTATAGGGAAGAGCTCCTCTAAACCAAGAAGGAAGCTCATTCTGCTGATGATCAATAAGCTGCTGCTGAGGAATTTCGTGCCCACAGCTGCATGTAAGCAAAGGGGTGGGATGTTGTGACGTCATTGACCTTATATGGCCACAGGGCTATATTCAGTCGATGACAATGACCTAATATGGCCTTATGTCACCAAAAGCATCCCGCCCCATTGTTTATGTGCAGCTGTGGGGAGGGAAAAGTCCCAGCCCACAGCTGTTTGGGAAGGTCGCCCCATATCCCTTTCGGGTTCGGAGGAGGTCAAGTTCGGACTGGGTTCCCCAATACCAACTAAAGCAACCAGTCAGATAGAGGCCAAAATGGAAAAGGAAACATTACAGACCACTGATTTCTAGGGTTTAACACCTCCACTTTTACTTTGGCTGTGTTTAGAAATGAGACCAGGCATCTGTTCAGTTGCAAAAACAAAAAAGCAAATTTCGTTGGATTTTTCCCACTTTCGCTGCAGTTCAGGATACTTTACCTAGAGGAATGGCAATTGGGATAAGGTGTCCCTCCATAGGAACAGATGATGTACTGGGTTCAGCAGAGGGAATGAACACATACTGAGGCCTATAATCCTTCGCCACAGAAAATTCTGGTGCTTTCGCTTCGATAACCGGTTTCTTAGTCTCAGGAAAATCTGTCTGCATCTTGGCTGACTTTACCTTCACACCTGTAAAATGTATACAGAGAACATAAGATCTTAGTTAGAATATAGTGTGTGGGAATCCATTGAGGGACACAAAGATCTTAAACCTTCGTGTTATACTGCCACCCATAGAGGACTGGACACTGGCAAACAAGAAAAAGGCAAATTCCGCTAACAAGAACAGTTCTGGAAATGGCCTTCAGTCACTTATTGGTTGGGTCCCTAAATGTAGGAGCATCTTTGATGGGTATACTTGTCTTGTTATGGCAAAAAACATTTGGATTCACAATGGGGGAAAAAACACTTGAACAAAATCCTGGAAACAATGACTGTTGTGTCCAATCTTTGTACAGAAATAACCACAAGAACAGGTTTAAAGGGAAAGTCTTTGTGGCCTTAGGAGTTCTATAAGACCCGAGGCTAAAAACATCACTGGTAGAAGTAACAGGCTGATCCTCTAGCTTTAGAGTGGTGTGCACCGCACCAATAAGAACCCAAAAAAGGTATTTAGCTTAATGCTGGGGTTCAAAAGTAAATGTTATTCACAAAACCACAAAAAAAGAAAACTATGTCAATTTTAATAAATAAAAAAACACCAGTAGTTACAGGCACAGGATCATTATTGGGCAGTTTTGGCATAAAGAAGACAGATCTTTTTTCTGACTGGAAGCCACTTACCTCTTACAGTCTCCAAAACCTTAGGCCTCCTTGGTTTGGATTTGGGAGAGGGAGAGTTAAATCTAAGGTACGGTCCTTTCTTGAGGGTGCTACGGTGTCCTCGATACACTGGAGTCCCATAAACCCTGTTTATGGTTTCTTCATCAATCAAGGAGGACTCTTCAACCTTCTGAGGCACCTAGACAAATATATATAACATTTTACCAGGCTCTGCTTATTGCTTTCAAGGGCAAAACAATGGGGATGATTAATATAACCATTTATATAGTATAGGGCTATGCAAACAAGATTTGCAGCTAGTTCTCTTCACTAGGTGGAGTCTGGAAGCATAGGAAATTCCTATGCTCCTCAGCTCCACTTAGCAGCCATAATACACTGCAAATCTCATTCGCATAGCCGTTTGCTAAGCGAACAGTTTATTAATCCTCCCCTGGGGTTGCAGCTTACTGCTCATTTTCACAATGACAAAGTCTATGGGTAAGGGTCAGCTGGCTAATTGCAAACTATGCACATCCTATTATCTCAACAGTTAATAAGCAGTATGATGAGGGAGGCGGAGTCAAAGTGGTTAATCCCTATATCTAATACAAATCCCTATATCTAATATAATCATAAAAGAAGTACAAGCATGTAGCAATGGTAAGGTTGCATTAAAGGTTATTTTAAAGGAGAACTATGGGGTTAAGGCTTTTCCCCATAGTTCCCCTGAGGGTAACGGGAGGACACAAACTAGCGTCCTCCCGGCACCCAAAGCTCAGTATACCGCGACCTGCAGCTCGCGGTATACTGAGACGCCGCAGCCGGAACGGATCCCAACAATTCTGTCTGGATCCACCCAGCTGCGTGAGTGACAGCTGGCTCTGCCTATCTAGAGGCAGAGTCAGCTGTGCCCGCCCCCTCCCCCGTCCGTTCCGCCAGTCAGCGCTGGAGGATCGGATAGGGGAGGGGGGAATCCAGTCACTCCCCTGTCACGGCTCTCTGCAGGGACAGGATCGAGAAGTGAGCGAGCGCCGGTATGTGTTCGCTCACTTCCCGATCTACTGAGCCGACCTGTGAGCTTCATTGTCACAGGTCGGCTCAGATTATAAGGCTGAGTGAAAAGCACTCACCTCATAATTCTCCTTTAAGGTAAATATTGCTATAGTAACTTAAAATCTAAGCTCACTAGAAAAACACATACCCTTAATTACACAATACCCTTAAATACCCTTACCCTTAATTCATTATCTTATCTCAGGGTTTATACACAAGTGCTGGCTAATATTTTTCAATAATGACGGGCATTAGAGAGTTTTCTGCTGGTACTTAAAGAAAGGCACATTCATTTAGCTTGAGCTATTCTGTTCTGTAAACAATGGGCTTCTTTTACATGGTGGTGTGAGGGGTGAACAAACAAAAATGACCATCTGGCATGAGAATCTTATCTATTACTGCAAAGATGACAATATGTACAAGTTGAGGGTCATGCTGTGGCTGCCAGAGTTTTGCAATCCCTCATAGGGCTTGTGGCTCCATAACTGCTGGAATGCCATAGTTGCCTACCCCAGCAATAATCGCTTTATAGCATTTGTGGTCTTTTGAACTCCAAATCGATTTCTGCCACGAAAAGTGTAGACCTACAGACAAAGAGAAGGTAATATAGCACATAAGCAGTTCACATAATCAACACATAATCAACACTGATGACACATCAACACTAGGGCCCCATGGATCTCCTTCAGTAATACTGCTGACAATGATTTACAGGCTACCTTCTGCAGGTCCTTAATAGCTCAGGCTTTATCTAAACATCTCCTGCACTGCGGATGTCAATGAGTAGAAGTGTTGGATGGATTAGTGATGATGGATGGCCCCTGTGTCATGCGAGGGCAGTGTTTACCGGATTCTAATGTATTTTCCACCACACAGGACCTTCAAGTGGCAGCGGCTCTTATAAGTGATATGACATATAGAACTATCAAGCAGAACTGGGGAATAAAATAGATTCCCAGATCCATCCATATTTAATATGTTGAACGTGGGGGAAAAAAACATTAGCAATTACAGGAGAACCAGGAAACAAAAATAGCTGTAGAAGGAATTTTGAAGCAAATACAGTATGTCCCTATTTTTAAAAGATCAAATAAAGTCAAACAAACAAACTGACCTGCATGGCTGCCCACTCCACTTAATTCCCCTCGGTTGAAGAAATAATCTTGCTCAAAGATCTACTGTATTTGACAAGTCTAAAAATGCCTGATGCTGGCGTCCTCCGATGTGCTGCAGGACACAGGGGCTGGTATAAGCAACCCCAAAATGCAGTGTGGGTCAACACATCTGACATATCCAGAAAAGGTGCCAGAAGCTGAAGATTTTTGAACAAGCTTTAAGCCAGAAGTGAGGGCATCATGATGGGTAAGTATAAACTGATTTCTTTGCAGGGAGTACTTTATTTCATCTTTTGAAAGCAGCTACAAAGTTGCATTTAAGGGAAACGTAATGCTTTTAAAACAAGGCATCATCATGTGGACTGGATGTGCAGCAGTTCTCACACTAAGAACAGAAGGTTTGAGGGCCAACAGCAGAGGGGGAGAGCGGGAAATTACAAGAGGGATGGATTGCTATAAGCAGCTATAAGCAGCTTAGGACACAGAATATGTGTTGAAGTAGACCTGTGGGGCTGGAGTTCGGCTTTAATCTAATCCAGCCTACTGTGACAGCGCTGTCTCCGCCCCCACACCGCTCTGCCGCACTGTGATAGGCGGCCGAGTGGTGTGAGAGGAGAGACACCGGCTGCTCACAGCGCTCTTGTCCCGCAGCGCTCGGCCGGCTGTCACTTTCTCTCCTCCCCGCTGGGACACAGAGCAGCGCCCAGCGGGGAGGAAATAAATCACGGATGCGCCGATGTATCGGCAGGAAAATGGCACTTTTGTCATTAACCAAAAGTGCAATTTTCGGCCGCCGATATGTTTCGGCAGCCGATATATGGGTGCATCACTACTAATCAGTAAAAAGTTAGTGCTTCCAATAGAAACCTCTTTATAAAATTTGTGTAACCCTGCGTAGGAACAGCCAAATTTGACAATTACATATGCAAGCTTAGCAGTGTTGCATAATGTGCTCTAATGCTTTCTTCCTTCACAAGTCTATGGGTTGGGTTTGAGCAGACTGAAAATTATGCTGCGCATAAGAATCCTGTGCTAAGAAAAAAACCTGCAAACCAGAAAAATATCTGGTGTTCATGCTATAAATCTAGTGAACTCTTGACTTTCCATGGTAACCAGATAATTCTAATTTTGCTGCACTGAAATCCCAAGGAATGGTATTAGCCCAGCCAGAGTTCTGTCCTGCTGGATGACAGGACACATCACATTTACATTATGGAGATGAGGAGAATAGAAGGCATTCTGTAGTCCAGCAGAGAGCTTAGGCAGAATGGATAGCACTGCTTGGGATTTCAGACAGCTCACTGCAAGAAGTTACAAGGTCACTGGATTTCTGGCAGGAACAGCAGGTATCTTTCTGTACGTGCAGTGTTTTGGAGAAGTATTGCAGAGATGTACTGAACATGTTTTCCTTATATTGCTCAAACATAAACTTATGTCTTGTCAGTTGACTTGACAGTTGGTGAGGAATTGTTACACTGAATTGCCTTTTTCTGTCCACCAGGTGTCTCTGTAAGCTGTGCAATAATGAACAACAAGGCAACGTTCACCGCTAGAATGAGTACGTAACCACACAATAAGCAAAGCCCTAAAACCTTTTCAAAACCTGATATCCATGTAAAAGACATAAGGAATAACACAGAACTGTAATCATTGTGTATTGTGACAGAAAACACCGGTGAAGGCAGAGCAGATGTCTGCAGAAGAAACACTTCAGTAGTGAATCCCCACTGGACCTCACCTTGGACTTTCCACCTTTGTTCAGGGAAGTTCTGCTCTGCTGTCCTGTGAGCTTCTCAGCACCGAGCTTGGGCTGAACCTTGGCTGAGACCCCACTTGAAGGCTTTGTACTCCTCAGTGCACCCCTTGCTGGGGCTTTGATCTCCCGATCTTTATTATTCTTTATGTCTTTGGCGCTTCCTGTCTTCTGTCTAAGTGAAGGCTCCTGAACTCTGTCTTCGGGTTTCTTTTTCTTAATATCCTCTCTTGCCAGTTCATCCTGGAGAACAAAGCAAGTTGATGTCTCTGACAAAGCACCTTTTATAACAAACAGCTGAATTCATACTAGCACATGTACAGCTTGATAAATGTTAAAGATGAACTCCCGGCAAACAGCTAAATACACAGATGAAATACATGTATGGGAGATGTTTTACCTGCCAAAGCATTTGTAGTTCTGTCCATCCAATGCAAAGATTTACACAACTTTGCCACACAGCATATTCCTGTCTGGCTGAGTAGGAGACCTGATATTCTCTGCTGCAGTTAACTAAAGCCTATCGCTGGGGAAACAAAAACCTTGTTGCGAACCGGTGTAAACCAGCTCTACTTACCTATCCCCCACTCTCAGACCTATAGCCCTGCATTATATATAATGAAGCCGAAGGAGAGTCCACAAGGTGGAGGAGAGGAGAAGGCGAGTCCAAACTGCCAGAGGAGCGGGGATCAGGTAAGTAAAAGTGCTTAAAGTGACATTAAAGTCACAAATGTCATCCGTCTCTCTCCCGCCCCCAATGCTGGAAGGACTTGCTTAAATGATGCCTCTTAATCCAATCATTTTTTTCCTTCCACTTATATTCAGCAATCCCTCCAGCGCTGGTGCTGGTCTCTGATTCAGCGCAGACTCCTCGGGTCCCACAGTGTCTGTCCAACGTGCGCGCTCCTGGCTGTGTGCATGCACCTCCACTGTGTCACTGCGTCTATCATCTTCTCCCTGCTGAAGATCTCTGCTGTGCATGCGCCCGCCTCATCATCCTACACAGCCGCTCGAGAAGCTTCAGATCTTCGGACGGGAGCGAGCGGCGGAGACACGGGTAAGTAATTACCTTTTTGGTAACTTTTTATTTTTCTTAATGTTTTTGCATATATCTACTGCTTGCTAGCAAAAAAAAGGAGAGTTTAATTGCACTTTAACACAATCCCCTAGACATAAACGGAAAGTTAACCCTTGCAAGGTACAGCAGATGGATTTTTTTTTGTTTCCCTGTTTTCCCTGGAGACAAGCTTAACACTTGCAGGTCTTGTCCCCAGCCTGTGATTGGACAGTGAAAGGAGAAGCAGCAGCTGGTTTACCTTTCCTTTTTACCCTTTGGAGTATACAGCAAGTTCTTGTATAATGCTATCCAGACTTATACAAAAATGACAGTATATCTAATATTCACCACACAGGTCATGAAAAGTGAAACATATTAAGGGTATAAAGCATCAAATAAGCAAAACACCTAAACCAATTAACACATGGTTATAGATAGATTATTCTTAGTTTTATTTATTCTAACTTATTATTAGTTCTCATGAGCCAGGCCCTCCCAACCCACTTGTCTTAAAAATTGTATTGTAACTGTTAGGGATGCACAGATATATTGGCCGCCGAAACATATCGGCCGAAAATGTCACTTTTGGCTAAATGCCGAAATTGCAATTTTTCTGCCAATATAGCGGTGCATCCGTGATTTCTCTCCTCCCCGCTGACGCTGCTCTGTGTCCCAGCGGGGAGGAGAGAAACTGTCACCGCGTATCTCCTCCCACACCATAGACTCGTAATATTTCCCGAAGCCCCTATAAGTAAAGTAAAAAATATTTAATAAAATATAATACAAATTTTTAAAAAGTTTATAAAAAATAAATAACATAATTGAAAAAATTGAAAAAGTTAAAATAAAAAACATTTTCGGTTTTGGCCTGACATTTCATTTCATTTTTGAAATTTTCATTTTGGTGCACCTCTAGTAACTGTACTGTATGCCTTTATTTTGTAAAGTGCTGCAGAAACTGTATTCTGTATAATAGTTATCAATTTTTGCTGTGGCTGAGAACACCCTTAGTGCTCAACCTGCAGCCCAAGGGCAACATGCGGTTCTTTGGTACTTGTTCTGCGGTTCTCAGACCATAGAAGTCTGTAGGGTTAGTGGGAGCATTGATTGGTAAAGGGGTATTAGCAAGATCTCCACTATCTTCATGCAATATGTCCCCGTCACTGTCTGTCTTCTGAGGTACGTCCCCAGTCTCCAACTATCATTTTCTCTAGTATATCTGCAGTCTCTGACAATACTTTTTAGCATTACATATGCTGAACATTATGTGTGGCCTTTTGGCGATGTCAAGGGCCACATTTGAGGCCTGTTGTACTTTGTGATTTGAAAACCATGCGTGTACACATTCAAAACAGGTAACATGGGGAAGAATCATTTACTTTTCTGTTAACAGATAATATATGTATGATTTCACAGAGCTCTGTACATTACTGACCTGAATTTCAGAGGTAATTGTAGCAATCAAAGAATCCACAGATCTCTGAATTCGAATTCTCTCGGCACCGTTACTGGAAAAAGTAGAAGCTATGAGTGTCAGGTCAGATTACATATACACCTTTTCATATGTTTTTCCTTTAACCACTTGCAGACCAGCTATAGTTAATAAACTTTAACCCCCAAGTCACACCTATGCTTGTGTTAATGAACAATCGACGGTGTGGGGCAAACCATCTTTGCGTTTTGGTGCGGTGCAATGAAAAGAAAAGTGCAAGTCTAGGTTTTACTTGCTTTTGTTGGTGGCCCATTGACATGCAGTAACACAAAACATTGCATAAGTGTGACGGTGCCATAAAGGAGATTTATTCCCACTTCCTGTCCCTGTAACCACAATTAATGAGTAGAGAATTCTCCAAAGGGACCACAGACAGCAATAAAAATCAAACAAAGCTTTTAATTCTAAGCATAATTGAGAACAATGTTACCATTACCTGTCTGTGGTCAAAGCACTGATGGTGGAGTAACAGGCAGCGCTATCCTTGGCCCGGATAATGGCTTCCAAGTTGTCATCAAAGACTTTCCTCCTATTCTGCACTTCGCTCAAGATGCGCTTTGCATCCTTAAACATTGACTCTGGTGGATTCACTGCTGATCGCTGATAGGAAAGGGGTGCAATTACAGGTGCAGAGGTCCTGATGGATGATACTCTTGGCTGAAGGCAAAACAGATTATTGATTTATATATATTTATTAACGTAGTTATAAACAACCAAGACTCAATATGTGGAAAGGCAATACAGTACATTGGACAGCGAAAAAGACAGCTAAATGCACCTATTTTTTCACTACATTTCAACATTTTACAACAGCCAAAAGGACAGATAAATAAAATCTGGGTCTCCCATTATGCAAGAAGTACAAATGTCCACACATCACCACAGTTTGAGAGAGTAGAGGGAAATAATGTTACTTCCCACACAAGGGAGCGTAACATACAGGGGTACAGGTACTCTTAAAAACTAAGACGACACAGGGACTCATACACACACACACACACACACACACACACACACACACAGACACAAACATAAAAGTTGAACCCGATGGACCAGTGTCGTTATTCACCTCAAATACTATGTAACTATGTATAACGTAGATTACCCATATCCCAAAATGCACTATTAAAAAGGTCAGATTATGCACACTTGTCTAAAATTCTTGCAATGGATACAGTTCACCTTAACAATAGTGGAGTTAATCTTTTATCCAAAGTTCTAAACCAAACGCATAGGATAATTTGTTGCCTCGTCCCAGTTCTCAGATGTGGCACTGCTTTTTTTCCCTTTATGTTCACATGGTGATCCTGCCAGCAACACACTTCCTATCCTAAGAACAATTCTCACACACTTCACTGTATCTATGGAGGAGCACCGTTGTCACCGTAGGCTGCTCTCCTGATTCAGACTACATGCACATCCAGCTGGCCTCCATTATATAGCAGGTAATGTGTTCTGCAGTTCACTTAAGATAGATGAGAAACATAACATTGTTTAGGATTTCAGTTCAGTGCACAGGAACGTTTCAAGGACTGCATTTCCAACAGGATCAACAGTTTCTGTACTTCTAGAAAATGTACTTGGCTTAAAAAAGGTAAACTAATGCAGCCTCCACATCTAAGGACTGGGAAGGTGCAATCTATTAACTTTTTAGTCTTGGTTTTAAGTATGCTTTAAGACCACTGTAGTGTGGCCAGTTAAAACCATTAGATGTTTGTTCCTGTCCCTATAATTGTGCCATGACAACTAACACACATAAGGTAGAAAGGTCCCATTGCTGCATGGGAAGATCATTTTTGTTCCCAACTCAAAATTCTGAGGAGGAGCCATCCACAGCTCCTATTTTAGTTAAAGTAGATCTGAACTCAAGTCACGGAAATCTCATGCACTGCAAGCTTTAAAGTGGAAGTAAAGGGGAAAAATATAAAAAGAAATTAATAAATAAAAAAAATTGCTGGAAGGTAGGGATATTGGCATAAGAGACTTGCAAAGCTGGGTATATAAAAACAGTACTGCATGCGCTGTACAGTGCATGCACTCAACCCATTCACAGCATCTCTGAGATGCTGTGAATTGGCCAGGTGCCAATGCAACTCCAAGGTACCAATGCAAATTGGCCATGATGCAACTCCTGTGCGCATTCCAAGGAGTTACATCATCAATGGTCACCCAATGGCCAAAGAGGACTTTTGAAAACCTGATGTGTTAGCGGCAGAGATGGTTGTGGCAGGAGGACACTGCTGAGAACCGAAGATGGATCCAACAACGCTGAGTAGAGCACACTTTTAAGGCAAGTGTGCCCTAATGTGTGAGTATGCTTTGCATATATGCACATTAGGGTAAAAACATAAAAAATGCAAAGCAGTTTACTTCCGCTTTAACATGATAATTTAATTTGAACAGCAGTTTACAACACCTTTGTTTTTTAAATCTGCAGCTTTTGTTAAAAAAATACTCTGTGCTCCTGCCATGAAGGTCCTTGTTTAGGCACTTTCTGTTATGGGGTGACAACTGTCTCCCAGTTGTGTTCCTGCATTGTCACCTCTCACACTTGCCCCTGGTGGAGACTACAAGTGGTCATCCTAACACCCATTGGACAGACACGATCCACTGTTGTCCCTATCAGGAAGCCGGTCCAAAGCAATGATTTCCAGCCAATGGTGGAGAGTACAAGTAGACAGGAAGTGTCTGAAGGGGCTGGAGGAGATCAGCAACACTAACATGCAACACAGGATTTAAAAAACAAAAAAAACAAAAAGTGTAGTAATTTATTAGTAAAAACAAGCCAAATGTATCAAATACTTCGGGCTTTAGGGAAATAAATGCAATACAGATTTTAGATCTACTTTAATTATTCAATAAGTATATGGTTGTAGGAACGTATTATAGATTATGAAGCCAATACAGAGATTTATAAAAACATGGCCAGCACCAAAATCAATGAAAACGAATGCACATCAGACATACCTGGAAATCTTCAGCTTGTGACTTCCATTGCTTTGCATCCTTAATAAATAAAATAAAAAAGATTTTTTACATGTTAAAGTCAAAGATGTTTTTCAATTCAGTGAACAGTACTATATGGTGACACTCACACTAAGTTCTCTTCCTTTTATAAGCCTACCTAAACCTTTTCTTCCTTTATAAGCCTTACCACTTCCACCCATCAGCTTTCAGAACAGGCCTTACTATTGTAGGCCTCATATCAATGTTCAGCTTGTTTGCATCAACTAAGTAAAAAGAAAGTTTAGCAACCAAAAATGCTTTTTTGGCCATAGTTCTCTTTAGGGTCACAGGAGAACATTTACTATGACCTCCTGTGACCCAAAACTCAACATATAGCAGGCTATTGCTTGCTATTTGCTGGTAGCACAGAGCCACGCTGTGGCCTGGAAAGTACCCAACAACATTGTCGGGATCCACCCCACCACCTGATTGACAGCTGGCCCACCCCCTCCCATGTCCGTCCCTCCAGTCAGCACCGGAGGAATAGCGAGGGGAGGGGAGGATCCCTGTGGGTCAGCGGTGACCGCCAGTCACACGTCGGCTCTAATTATGGGGATGAGTGTATTTTACTTTCCCCATAATTCTTCTTTAGACTGATTTAAGGGAATACATCATTGACATAAAGGTTGTTGGTGTAATGTGTAGCTTTGGCATAATTGTTGGCAAGAATTGACTAGAACAACCTACAAACACTTTCCAGAGCCCAATATTTGACATATGGTATGAGAGTATAGGACCAGATTGGGCTGCGATTACTAATTGCTCGGAGAGTAACAATACTGAAAAAGACCGGACCTGCAATACCTTACCTTTACCAAGTTCTGCATCTCCTGCTTCAGTGTATTCAGATCCTGCAATACATCATCAGCTTTCTGCACTGCAACTCTAGAGGCAACATTGGTTGTCTTGCGGAATCCATCACTCTGGAGAAAGCTGGAATAGAAGACATTGGCATTACTAGGTGAAGAGAGGTTCTTGTTAATTCTTCAAATGTGTGCCATTCAATAGGCATTTGGGTACATAAGTGTGTACATTGCTATAAAGTCCACTGTGAGATAGTACTGAGGAAGAGAGAGGTATGCTTTATGGAGATATTAGAAATATGTTGGGCCTTTAATGTGTGCTCTGCAACCAGACTATATGGATCAGGGACAGTACCAGATTTGCAACTCATACGGGCATGCCGTAATGAAAGCTTGTGAACCTGGAAGTTCTTAGAGCCAAGTGCTTCCAGGATTATTTATTACAAGGGTGATCAGTGAACAGTATTTAACCTAATTCCTAACAGCCTCTATCCCATACCCTCCGCCAGTGGTCCCAGGTAACAAGGGGGGTGATATATGATGGCTTTTCAAACTTCTACATCTACACATACTGTATATCACTTAGAAAAGAGGGTTCAGACATTTAAAACAACACAACAACAGAGATGTATTGGTATATAGGCAAACTCCAGCTGTTATGGAACTACAAGTCACAATGAGGTATTCAGGGGTGTGGAAATGTAAAAAAAAAAAAAAAACTACTTGTTCAAGAACTTGGACCCGATTCACATCTGAGTGATCAGAGATCGCGTGGCGATGCGTTTGGTTTCCTACGCTATTGCCATGCGATCGCGCACAAATGCAAATCATGCTTGCGGTGCCATTCATTTCTAATGCCACCCCAAAGGCGGCCAGCAATCCCCGCAAAAAAACGCGCGTCACTCGTCGCACAAAAAGGTGCACGAGCCTTTTTGCCGCACGGATATTGCCCCATTGAAATCAACAGGGCCGCACCGCAACTGCGGCACACAAACGTATGAGTAGTCCCGGGACGCCCATATGTAAACCAGGCCCAATCTACTTGTCCCTCATGACAATCTACTTGTCATGATACAACAAATTATTTTAACCAAAACCATATTTACCTGTGCTAAGAAGCACTTATGCTGTTCAACACCTTCATACCTGCACACACAGCTCAAGAGCAGGGATAAGCTCAGGTTCGGACCAAACCGGAGATCTTCTGGAGCCAGAAATAAAGCTTCTTCCGTTGCCACCCAATCAGCTGCAGCCAGGGAATTCCCCACTAGCAGCTGTGCTTAATCAATAGGGCAGGTACATGACCCAATATGAACACGTGGACATAGAAAGGCAGTGATGTCAGGACAAGCATACTGCTCCTTAGTTTATGTGTAGCTGCAGGGTGGGAAAATGACCCAGTCCACAGCGGATTGGGCCGGTGGCCCCAAGTCCCCTTCCGGTTCTGAAGAGGGGGTGACTAGGGATAAGCTCATGTTTAGACCAAGTAAAGATGAGCCCAGTCCAAACCTGTGCTCATCCCTAGTCAAGGGCAGTTGAATTGAACAAAAATCACAACTCTGCATGCCAGCAGCTGATCTCTACACCTGTTCTAACAAAGCTGCGTGGACTACATGATTTGTATAGAAGGAATACTTCTACATTGCGTTGTATCTGATTACAAAGAATGGCCTCTTCTAGCTCCTGCCTCAGTCTTGGAAGCATTCCAGTAGGAAGCAGGCACAAGGCAATCTAAGTAGACACTATAAACAGTAAGCAGTCCAGACAACTTTTAAAACATGCCAATAACTCTGCGTTTCCTGTGAAACCGGCTTGGAGCATTGCCAGCTACTCGCATCTCTCATTAACTCACTAGAGCAGAGCGGATTGTAGCGCTGGTTGTCATGGATACAAAAGTGGCAGAACTAATTGCATTTATAACCTTGAACACCTTCTTTTCTTAATGAAAAATAAGTGGTATTTTAATCACATTTGTAAGAGGCAGCTGGAGAAGTGGCAGACATGCAGACAGAGACAGCTTGCATCATGCTACCGGGATTTCAGCATATACTGTACATCTAAATAGTAATGTGTGACAACTGTAGTAACCGTCACCTGCATTCTTAGATTTCTTTTTTACAGTACATAAAGACAGCAGGTAAGCATTATCATGCATGCCAACCCTCAGAGGAAGTCTAGTGACAAAACGCATCAAGACGTGGCATACCATCGCTTCCTGCTGGATACATGCGGTTGCGAGGAGAGTGAGGAGACTGATTTTGACTGTGTTGTTTGATATTTATATATATATATATATATACACAATACTATCTTGTCTTGATTTGTATTGTAATGTCTTCCTTATATTGTAAAGCGCTGCGCAAACTGTTGGCGCTATATAAATCCTCTATATATAATAATACTGGTGGATTGGATTCTCATCCGCATTGATCGAGCTGGTAAGTGAAAGGAGGAGGAGAGGGATGGAATGGCCCTAATGATTTGTGAATCCAAGTCCATCTGGAGAGGCGAATGGAAAAAGGCTGTGGTCCTTAATGATATCACCACATAAGGCTCATCTCCTGTATCGAGTATCCATAACCGTTTGGTGAGTTTGTTTGGAGGAAGTAAGGAGCACGGTGGTTTTAGGAGGATTCACTACACAGCTACTTTGGAAGATCGAATCACTGTTTTTTAATGTGTGTTTCACAATGGACACATGGGACTTTAATCACCAAAAAATGTGATACACAAGGATTACATATGTGGGTGATTCTTTAGAAAAGTTATTAGATTTGTTGTGTGTAATATATCTATAGATATATTATTGGTAAAACGCAGTACAGGACATATTGTAGACTTAGGTACGCATTATCTACAATGTGTGTGATGTTTCATGTCTATAGGTAACCTTTCAAAGTCTAAAAGAGTAGTGTTCTCTTCCAATGTGGATGGTATATAAGCCCAATGAGGGACTGAATTCACAAGCACCTGCTCTTGTACCTAGTGCATACTGACTGCTTCTATGCTTGTTATTTGAGGTGATGGCTTTCACCTTTATACCCAATACCTTGACTGAACCCTATATCCATAGCTCTAAAGCTAAGAAAAAGAAGTGGAAGCTGGCAATACATGTCTAGAATTTCAGACAATTCCTGCTGACTTGGACACAATTTGAGCAGTGTGTGGCCCTGCTGGTACCCCTCCATTCAACAAAAGGCTATTTTCCAATTGCCTTTTGTCTAATGAGCCAGGCCAAAAATTGTTGGCTAAACAGTGTCTGCAGCTAATCAGATGCAGTCACTGTTCAGGTATTCTGGCAGCAATGGGCAATGTTAGAATAAAATAGCCCAGAACGGAAGGTTCCTCCCTGCTGCATAGCGTGGATGAGGAAATCAAGTGCAGAGTGTGTGGCAAGCTTTACTACCAAGGCTCTCCACGGCTGTAGAGCTTGAAGGCCAAGTTTACCTTTCTGACTATGTTTCATGTTATGTCCATGTTTAGGGTATAACATGAAACATGGTCATATCGCAAAGCGAGATGAGTCTAAATATGACTGTGAAGTTCAATAGGCATCCAAGCTAAACCTTGTACACTTTGTAATGTAACAGACCTTGCCAGGCATCCCTTAGTAAAAGTCTGCCTGAGGACTCTAACACTGAAGGCTTTAGCTGTTACTCAGCTCTGCTTGCATAAAGCACTGCAGCGTGAAGCAGGAAGCAGCATTTCCACCAATAGATAGTGATAAAGGTGTGAGACCTTCATTGGGCTTTTATCTCGTGTGCATACACAAATCTACTGCTCCAGGATCTGCTGCGCTGAAGACCAGTGCCTCTACCTTGGTGATTAAATCTACCTATTCAGTCCAAAGTCTTCTATTCATTCTACAAGAGAGCCGGAGAAACTGTAATATGCGGTAAACATCTGATTACCTGTCACTAAATGACTGTCCATCAACCTTTGACAGGTTTAAGGGATTGTGTGCTCTGTATGACAATTTAGACATGGGTGTGCCATCATGTCCAAGAATCTGCTGCAGGAAGTGAACTTTGCCTGTTAAAAAAAAAAATATAATTTAAAGTTTTCTTTTACTAAGAATTGTATTGCCAAAATGGAAGCACACCACAGTATGATAAAGCACTATAAAAAGTAATCAAATCGAACAGAATAATAACAACAATCGTAATCCCCGAGTGCAAATCAAAAGTGCAACAGTAGAATGCATATAAAACAAACAGCCAAATAGTGCCGTTGGATAAAGAGGTAAAAACCCTGAGGTATAATGCGGTGTGCTTGTGGAAACAACAACAACCACATTAAATGTAGTCAAAAGTTCCCCTCCCAAAAAATAAGCAGAGGGAAAGGCAGTAATAGGAAGAGAGAAAATAAGCGAAAAAAGAAAAAGAATGGGGCAAAAGAGGAGTGAAAAGGAGGAAGAAGGAAAGGAAGAGCAAGGAAAAAGAAAGAGAAGAGACAGAGAAGGCCCTGGGGAAGGGTCAAGATATGAAAAAAACTATAAAGTTAGCAAAGGAGGGTAAAATCTAGGTGAATGTACATAAGAAATCCATGGTCTCCAAATCTTGAGAAATCTAGCATGTCTGCCAGCCAAAATAGCTATAAGATTCTCATTGATCATAATCACTGAAAGCATATTTTTAACCGCTTCGAACCTCTGCGTCGGAGACCTCCAGGCCCTAGCCTGGTAGCTAGGAATAAATGATTAACTAATCATTTAAAGTAGAGGTGCACCGAAATTAAAATTTTAGACTGAAACAAAAAATGTTTTTACAAAGTTTACATAAAAATAATGTAAAAAAATGTAAAAAGGTTAGAAAAATAAATTAGGTTCAGTTTCGGCCTGAAATTCTATTTTTTTTTTAGAGTTTATGTTAATTTTATTTATTTTTATTAAATGTTTTTATTTTTTAACTTTACTGCTGGGGCTTCGGTGAAATATTAGGAGCCTAAACAGACCCTTGATATTTCACTTTTAAAACAGAAGAGATTGAGGACACAAAGTCCACAATCTCTTTTTCTGCAGCCCCTGTTATAAATGAACAGGAATCCTCTATGCTGAGTGCTCCTGTTCATTCATAACTTGTGGAGATAGTATGTTTGCCATGCACACAATTTTGAATGAACAGGAAGTGATGTAGATCACTTCCTATTCATTCATAACTGGTACAAAGTAACTCATACTATGTCCAGTTATTACAAGTAGTCAACAATCACTGATCACTGACTGATTGTACTCGCTCTCGCTCCTGACTCGCTGCCACGGGAGGGTGAGACGGCAGTGCGGGAAAGAGAGCTTGGTCTATTTTGACAGCCATCTCCTCCCCCTCACTGCCGACTCGGGCTTCTGTGACAGTGCACGGCTGTCTCCACCCTCACACCGCTCTCCATCCTGATCGGTCAGAGGAGGCTGAGGGGTGGTGGTGGTGCGGGAGGAGAGCTCAGGTTCCTGTGACATCGTGGCTCACAGGCAGCGCTCTCCTTCCCAGTTTTTCAATATAGGATGCTGAAAAAAATTCTACATATAACAGAGACAAGCTGAATAATCCAATAGCACAGGAAACAACAGAAGAAGTTGTGCAATGATCAAAAACCCTTTTGTATGTGGTCACCATAGAAGATTGTGCATCACTCATATGATATACAAACAGAGTTTGATTACAAAGTTGTTATCACTCATAATCAGCAAAGTGTAGGCCTTCGTATAGACCTTATCAGCATTATTTCTTTTCTTAGGTGTAGTCTAGCTATTTTCAAGAACATGGATGCTAGGCAATCCCCCCAAGACCGTCTACGGACATCAGAAGCTTTGGAAATTTATATGGTGGAATGAGTGTGCCTATGGAGAGGGAAGAGTAGCGGGTGCAAGCTCTTGTAGGAAGCAACTATGGCTAGCATTAATCAACTTAAAGCTTGCCATACATGGCTAAAATCAGTCGATTCCCCCATCCATGCTAAACAGTGTAGATGGAGGTTGGTGGTAATCAATACAGTGGTGCTTCCGAACAGTGATTGCATCTGATAAGATGCATTCATTGCTTGGCCGATAATTGTCCACCCAGCTCAGTCAATTTTTAAATCTACTTGTGTTGAGCTGGGTGGTATTTTCATGACCACAGCTTGGATTTTGTCCAGATTCAGCAAGTATTCTGTAATATCTGCCATAAAAACACATGGAATATCACCTGCACTTGTGGGATTTTTGGAGTCCTCCACATTTTCCTTCCCCAGTACTGCTTTTGATGGAGGCTGCACATCCATAGATATTGGCTGTGGAGCAAACCTGCGGGGAGCTGGAGTCTCTAGGGGGGACTTCCGCGAATCACTGGTCTCTGTCACAGGGAGGAGGACATGAAAAAAAACACAGAAAATTAAAGTGAATATTTTGCCAACAAACTTCTTTTACATATTTATCATTTTCAGAAGTGAAAAAAAGCACATTTTGAATATTCTAAAAGCCTTTCTGTTGCTTGCAGATGATAAGGACAAATCCGGTATTGTAAGGTGTCAGATAGTTGGTATACTGCTGAACTATCACTAGAGACACAATAGCAAGATCTTGGGTTACAGCCAAAAGGAGAAATGACTCCTAAATCCTCAGTCTGCAGGAGCAAAAAACAAGTCCAGTGCTAGTGCTGGGCTTTCTTATGCACTGAAGCATAGAAGCTTCCTGTAATAAAAGTCTATGCATAAAATATACATAAATAATGAAATGTATTAGTTCATAAAAATGTTAAAATAATCAAAAAGTACTAAAGTTTTCCCTTAAAGGAAACCTGTACTGAGAGAAATATGAGAGTTTCATTTGTGGACTTTTCACCAACACAGAACAATCATGCATCCATAAGGGTACTCATAACTCTTGTTCTATATACTTGTTTCCCAAGTCATAGGGGGCTATTCACAAAGTGAATTACCGAGCCGTAGTGAAGTGAGCCGAACAACCTTCAGATATTCACTATGGCTCAGTACGGCTGATTTCAGCCATACATCAGCTGCACTTAGGTCAGCTGAACATGCTCTGCATGAACCGACTGAACCGAAGGGCTCCCGCAACCGAAGGATCAGCCGGAGCTATGGCTGGATCCTTCGGAAGCTTTGTGAATAGACCCTATAGACTACGAAAGCCAGAGAGACAGTGGGAGAGCCAGGCAACATAATCAGAAAAAAAAAAGGTCAGTAGTGGCTGGCCACATATTTGTCTCGGTACAAGTTGTCTTTAAAGCTGAGAGTTCATGGAACCTTTACGGGAGTTAATATTTCGGCTTTGCTACGCGTTATCTGAAAATGTACTTGCAAGGACCACGTGTCTCCGATGTGTTCACAAAGTCACAGAGTAGTAACAATTATGCTGATCAGGAACTCTGTCATCAATCTAACATCACATGCTTGCACTGTATCAGTGAATCAGAAAGAAATGAAGCCAGAGACAGCCAGGTAACTAGCATTATCAGGAGTCAGTCAGCAATAACAGCCCCATATTTATTTTGTGACAAGCTACCTTACAACTGCTTACTTTCATTTCTGCAAACATAGGGCTGCTTTTGTGTCATGTTTATAATTGACGCACCAAGCAAGTGATACAGAAATAGAAAGTGATACTGAACCGTACTAGCATCTGAAGGTAGCCATGCACTGGTAGTTTTTGCTCGTTCAGCTTGCAGGCTAACCACCCTCCCCATAAAAAACAAACAAACAGCCACACTAAACAGCTTGGGTACATGGATAGGGGAATTTCCCCTGTAAGACTATGGTACTTTGACAGCTAGAATCTGCAGCTCTCAGAATAGTCGACCAGTGACTGCAGATTTCAAGCCCAGCTCTGTTGACAAAAAAGTCCAGGGAAACCCACAGGATGAATTTTTACCTAGTCAGCAGGACTTGACCTACTCGACTGAAATTAAAGCAGTGTATGGCCAGATTACAATCCAATCCATCAAACAGTTTAACAATAGAAGAATGACATCTGACCTCTGTCGCTGTTCCTGGGAGGTGCTGTGTTCAATGGCTGGTGGAGGGATTGCGGTTTAAGGACTGCACTGGGAACATGAGTCCATCCAGAAGCAGGTTCAGGACGGTTTACATTGGCCTTGACTGCAGACCTAATAAAATGGGACTGATAAGAGAGCAGAGCGTTAGACTGACAAAAAAATATATATACACTTTACCATGAACTGAAGACCAACAATTATTAAAGCAGACCACATGTTAACATTGAAAACGACCTTTTGGCAAGTTAAATAACAAATCATTAAAAACAGGTCTTAAATAATTTTGATATAAAACTACCTGAACCCATAACAACTTGTCATAATCCTTTGCACGGCAGATATTTATTTATTACAGGTATTTCTATAGCGCTGACAATTTACGCAGCGCTTTACATAGTTGCACATTCACATCAATCCTTACCCTCAAGGAGCTTACAATCTAAGGTCCCTATCTCACATGCATACATACTAGGGCCAACTTAGAGAGCAGCCAATTAACCTACCAGCATGTCTTTGGAGTGAAATCTATTGCTCCCCATCATGGTATTCTCTTAAAGAACTCGAGGATTTAACTAAGTTACCCTTGCAGTGGGGCTACCACCACACTGCAAGGGTTAACTGCAGTATTCTAACCCCTAGAGAAAAAGGAGAAGATATACTCACCTCATCCTTGGTCCTGCGGTGGTCAGCACTCGCCTATCTAACCATCTGCTCTGGTTGTGTTGTGTCCTAGTTGTCCTCACATCTAATGCAGTAATGCAGGTGAACAGACATGCATTAGACGTGATGATGTCAGCAGGGCTTAGAGAGGAGAAAAGGCTGCAAGCACCGGTCTAGCATCCAGGCGGGATCGTGGATCAGGTGAGTATACCTTCTTTAATTCAAGCCCCAGAACAAAATGAGCAGTTAACCATTGCAGTGCCCCACTGCATGGGTACACTTTGTGAATTCCTGGAGTTCTACTTTAAAAGTATATGTCTTGGTAAAAAAATTTTTTTTTTTTAAATGTCAGTATGACTAGTTTTAATAACTCGGCCCCACTGAAAACCTGATGCACCACCTTAAGTGTGGAAGATGCAAACAAAATCCTATTATCCCCCTAGAAATCGTAGAATAAAAGAACGCAGAGCAAAAAATCCTGCAGTGGAAAGACTGGAATGGCACCAACTGACAGCCTGGGAGAGAAGGAATGCAATGCTTGTGCCAGGTCAAGACAACCTGACAGCTATCTGGCGCATGGTGAAAGGATTCAGACGGGAAGAGGAAGGTTGGACATTAAGAATGATTGTTTCTGGAAGACCGCACAAGCCAAGAAAAACAAGCACTCCCTGAGACCCTCAGCCCATTACACCGATAAGTCACCAAATGGGTATTGTCTTACTGCAATGACCTTATACAGCAACACTCAGACTTGTCATTAAGCTGAAAATAGCTTTATCATAGGAGTGTAAACATTTGATATTGGAAAGAGACGGACTGGACACTGGTTTATATTTCTGAGGTGACAGAATGCCCCAGCTCATCGGAAAAGGAAGAAAGAGGGTGCCAACCAAGAGATCTATTACTTTATCCTGGACAGAACAACAAACTTATATTCGGGACTTGGAAGGAATATTTTCCCATTTCTATCAATCTGAACATTATCAACGCTATCATAAATCTTACACTAGACTTGTTGAATCATAACATGTTAGGGAGATGAGGAAAAGCAGAGAGGAGGTCCACAACTAAGAAGTAGATACGGCTAACGACATTGCTGGGGATTCTAGCGCAGCCGAGGCAGTGTTGTTCGCACACAACAGGAAGTCACAAGCTCACGGAAGTGAGAGAATAGCAGAAGCGGTTTGCTTGCAGACTGCTTTTAAGAACAGTTTGCTTTCAGATAAAGATAAGTGTTTTGCTCAATTGCTTGCCCCCAGTATGGAGACCGACAGCTCCGGGTCTCAAACTAACGATTGGAAGAGAGTAGGAGGAGTTCCTGATCACATGATCACTAGGATTCCCTGCAGCTTTGCCCAACATGTGAACAAGTGCACACCAGCAGGCATGTGTTATTCAGCGTACATCAAGCATATGTTGGTGTGAATGGGCCTTTAAGCAGCAGCAGTATGGATACAAGCAAGGGGACAGAAAGAGGAGGTGAGGTTTACATAGCAGGAGCAGTTTCAATGAGAAATTAAAGCAGAGCTCTTTTTCCACTGTCCATAATATTACTCCTTCCCCCCTCCAATCACACAATGTGAATGTTATATATAAAATTGTGAAGGATTATTTTCACAATCCTCCTAGCTTGTATAGACCTTCTGCATCTGCACACTCTTTACTGGCTTTAGAAAGGAGCAGTTCCTCCAAAAAGCATTTGTCATGGATAAAGACACCTGCAAGTTGATGTTTCTTCCACTCTGCGAGGTTGCTAACCTGCAACAAGGACGCAGACTGTACCACCTGGAAGTGGTTCCTACGCTATACTCCATCCCCACTGCTGGCCACAGAACAGAGGAGGACTATTAACATCTCTCTGAACTAAGTGATATGTTTTTTATGGAAGTCTGTGAGTGAGCTCTAGGAGGAGAAATTAAAGACTATTCTGATAAGCAGTTACCATGATGCAAAAACGACTTGTTATTATGTCTACCATCATTTTTTGGAGATAGCAACTAAAAGTCTCCAATTAAAAGCCTGTACAAAGCCAAGCAGACAGGGAGGAGGTGGGAGAGAGATGTATCTCATACAGCCGTTTGTGTATTGTGAACTTGGGCTCTGTAAATCACAAGATTTTTCCTGGGAAGCAGTTCAGATTAGCCTGGCAAATGTGTGAAATTGAGCCTGTGGGCTCCATCTGCTGCCTGGAATTAGGGAGGTTTGAAATACTCATATGAAACATTTCATATTTTACTAATAAATGGAAATATATTTGTTTTTAGTTCTAAATATATTAAAGGAAAAGCATGAAAAACTATAAATGTTTTTTTAAATCAAGACATCAACGGGCAACTATAAAGAGTCATGAGATATGTTGCTCCACTGACACCAACAGAGATGGTTCAGAAAATGCAGACACCAGCAGTATGTTTTTAGAGACCTGGAAGTCCAGGCTATAAAAGATTCTTCTAGCCCCATGTGAATTTTTGGTTTGTCTACTGGGCAGGATGCCAATACATTTTACTCAATGACTTGACAGGCCCCTAGAAGACCCAGGCTGTGTGCAGAATTCCTAAAGGGAAGGACTGTATCAGGGAGGGGGGAGTCCCGGCGGAAGGTATCTGGAAGTGGCCCTTTTATCAGCCTTTTCTTATAAAGCACAAGCAGAATCCTCAAGGTACATACCTGCATCTCCAGCTGCTGCTGTTGGAGTTTCTCCAGATGCTGAAGGCGCTGCTCTGTCAGTTGGGCCAGCTGCCTCTCCAGCTCGCTCACTCTTTCCTGATGATACAATCTTTCTGGTGGTTGACTTTGGATCTTGATCTGCTGCTCTGTAAGCTTTTGCAGCTGCCTGTCTGCCTCTTGGAGTTTGTTGAGCAGTTGTGAAACAGAGTTCACCTGGACTTCCAGATCACTCTGAGCCTGCGGAAACAAGAATGACAGATGACCTCAACGTTCACACTAACTCTCAGCTAAAACCCCAGATCTGTTATCCCAGAACGGACAAGCTGCTATATCCCTATCACATTTTTGCGCTCCATTACCTCTTCTGCCATGCGTTACACTGCACAGCTCTGCTGCTATTATACTGGTTTCCCAAATGACTTCCACTCAGTATATCTTCTGGTCCTTCTGTTTCTAAACACAGACTGGAATATTCTAAATCCCAGATAACCTTTCTGCAGTAAAGTTTCCATTTTCAGATGGGAGGATTAATTACACTCACCACTAAAATCTATACAGCACCAACAAAGGCAACAGGGTTTGGCATGCAAATAAAATGCAGACATGTACATGGTCAGTCCAACAAAATCATAATTTCATGAAAGGGTGGACAGAATTAAGCCGATTAACAAACTGGCTTCTTACACCTTTCAGAGGCCTGAAAGACAAAATGCATTCTCAGCAAAAAATATCACGGCTGGATTGCTCCTGATACATACATAGCCAATAGGTGATTATACCCACAGATTTACACAAAACATGGAGTATTGGGCAATGGGAGCCTCTAAATTATTACTATCAGAAAAAGTAATCCCATTCCAGCATCATTAAGTTTGTGGAGCAGATCTGATCGTTAGAGCAAAGTGCAGTATGCAGGTGATTGGGGGAGAGAGCAGGACAGGGATCACTTAAAAGGAAAGTAAAAATAATAAATGCACACTTCTTCATAAAAGAAAACATGTGCACTCATTCTTTTTGCATTGCAACCATGATCAGTAGATCCTAGGTGCAATGCTCTGGCTTCTGCAGACAGTTCCTCCCATCCATGCCCATACGAAGGACTGGAGGAACAGTTTGCACTGATAGCATGAGGGGCGCTTAAGCTTAATGCTAAATTCTACGAGGGACAATGTTACCAGAGGGATCATTTTGGATCCCACGAGGTGAGCCCTCTAAGTAGGGGGTGTAGATTTAGTAAGGTGACAAGAAAAATATTTACAGTAACTGGAGCGGGGGGTGCTGAGGTTGCCAAGGAGGTATATACTATGGGCAGGGGTGAGGTGGCAGGGGAGAGATGGCCTGTAAGCAGAGGAGGTGGAAATATCCACTGTGACTGGGATGTGTGGTGACTAAAAGGGTGCATAGGTGACTGGGGAGTGATGGACTATGACTGGGGGATGAGAAACAATGCACTGTGAGCAGGGGATGATATGGTAGAGGGATGCAGTGTAAACAGGAGTGGATGGGGAGGGGTACAGTACAAGTGGGATGTGAGGTGGGAAGGGATGAAGTGTAAGTGGGATGAGAAGTGGCTGGGAAGAGCGGAATTGGGAGTAGGATGTGAGGTGGGAAGGGATGAAGTGTAAGTGGGATGTAAGGCGGCTGTGAAGGGATGAAAGGGCTAGGAAGGGATGAAGTGGGAGAGAGATGACAGGTGGCTGGGAAGGCATGAAGTATGAGTGGGATTTGAGGTGGCTAGAAAGGGATGAAGTGTAAGTGGTATGTGAAGCGGCTAGGAAGGGATGAAATGTGGCTAGGAAGTGTGAGTGGGATGTGAGGTGGGAAGGGATGAAGTGTGGGTGGGATGTGAGGCGGCTGGGAAGGGATGAAAGGTGGCTAGGAAAGGATGAAGCTTGAGTGGGGTGTGAGGTAGCTAGGAAGGGATGAAGCTTGAGTGGGATGTGAGGTGGCTAGAAAGGGATGCACTGTGAGGGGTGAGGATGTGATGTACTTTAATTGGAAATAATATACTCCCTGAGTGGCTTATACTGTATTTGATTTTCTCAGACCAATCATTCAGCAAAGATACAGATTGCTGATATAACATACAGATGGCCACTGAAAGGAAATACCTGCAAATCTGCACATAGAATATCAGCATGACAATATGACAAAACAACGAAGTAAAAATGTTAAATGATATCGGTGCTTATTCCAAGTAATCATTACAATAATTACTCAAAAGCACACTGAGTGAGGGGGATTTTTAAAGACGGGAGCAGACAATCTGCAGCAGCTGTCCATGGCAACCAATCAGCTTTTATTATCAAAGCTTAACCGAACAAGTTGCAAATGGCAGCTGATTGGTTATTGTGCACAGCTGCTCCAGATTCAGCCTGCTCCGGTTTAAGTTAATTCCCCCCACTGAGATTAGGTAATAAAGTTTATGTTTACAATAAGTTCTAATGTATCTATTGTTTCACACAACACACTGGTCATAACTAGAATGTACAGTTTAAATGCAGTGATATGCATGTGTTACCTTCATGACTGGGGCAGTGGCAGCGATAGCAGCAGCAGTGACAGCAGCAATAGTGGCTGACTGCACGTCATTGTGGCCTGCCTTCTCATCTGCTGAGCCTGTAGACTTCCTACTGCTGGTGGCAACATCCTGAAGCAACTGAACACGAACTTCTTTAGTCCCTGTGCCGCTCTGTACTCTGTAGTATAATAACATATATTCAACACAGACATTGGTACATATGAAATATAAATCGCACAGTTAAAGAAATGGCCGAGATAAATCAAAAGCCAACATCCTCAGGAGGTAGCTTTCTACAAAAGCAGCTTCTTGTAGTGCAGTACAGCATTGCCTGGAGCCCCTGCTTTTCTTTCAGTTCCAGGTGGAGATTAGGCACCAGGGCTAGGCCGAGGGGTAGGCAGAAGAGGTGGCCATCTTAGATGCTTCAGTAGGAGGAGGGCCCGAAGGGGCAAGGTCTACATCCTATGCTGCTGAAGTATTTGACAGCTCATGGAGGGGGCACACTTTGGCCTTTCCATTTTGGGTGCTAAAAGACCTTGTCCCAGCACTGTTAGGTACACCCCTCTACTCTGATCCCACAATGCAATGTCTGGTGCTAGAATAATCCCCAGCCATTGTCATTTGGGGGCAGGGCACATGCCTATTTTTATGCAAATAGCAGCTTTGAGAAAGTCGCTATTTACATATTGAAGTAGGAAGGCTGTAGGCAGTGTTGGACTGCACCAATTCTGCAACACGACATACGTACGTCCTGACAGCTCATGCCGTGGGCCATCTCCTGCTCATGTTAGTTTGTCACTTTTAATTTAAATGGTCCCATCCACTTTATGCCCATTTTAAACTAGTATTTAAGTTTTTGGTATATGCCGGGGAGTTAAAGAAAACTATACTTAAGGTGCCCATACACTGGCTGATTTTCGGGCGGCTTTTAAATGTACCGGACGAAATTTGCACACTGTGTGGGGCTGTTGGCTACCTTTCAGCCGGCATTCCTCAATCAACTGATCGAAGGAGCCGGCTGGAAAAAATTTTAATCAATCAGAGTCGGCAGCCAGTGAGCTGCCCACTCTGATTGGGTATTCTGACAGGTGCCAGAGGCACCTGTCAGAATACAACGTCAACAGCGGGATTCCTCGATCAACATACGGTTTGTGTTGATGGAGGAATTGGGTCAATCTTTTTCGTTCAGCCCACGGGTTGAAGAAAAAAAATAAAATTGATCAGTGTATGGCCAGCCTTAGAAGTATGGAGGCTACCTTTGCTAAAAATACTATTTATCTGGACGTCATGCTGATCCAATAGCTTCAGCACTTCCTGAGTCACTAACTAAATTAGAGGAAACTCAGTAGGGGAAATGTATCAAAACTGGAGCAGAGAGAATTTGGAGCAGTTGTGAATGGCAACCAATCAGCTTCTCTCTTCAGTATGTTCAGTTAAGCTTTAAAAATGAAAGAGAGAAGCTGATTGGTTGACATGGGCAACTGCTCCAGTTTTGATAAATTCCCGTGTGTCCCCAGTCTTTCTATGGGGACAGGACAGCCATGTGCTTCCCGTCACTTGAAAATTGTACAGAGAAGCATGCAGTCTGTCTACATAAATATCTAAAAGGTAAGAAGTTTTTTTTTTTTGTTTAATCATTTTTAGGTATGCCGTGTGACTGGGAAGCCAAAACAAACATATAGTGGGGTTTTCTCAAAGTCGATTGCAAAAGTGGAAATACGCTTTAAATCTCTCAGAGACTCTGCCCGTGAGAGCTCTGCACTTGAGTGACCGGGTCAGCTTACCTGCAGCAACCATTTCGAGGGGTTCCCACTGTCGCTGCTGCATTCTTCATTTATTTTACAGTATGATAAATTGGATGGGAGTATGATAAAGGTGAATGGAAACATCCTAAACTACATGGTGGGCAGGAAGAGAGCCACAAAAAAGAAATAAAAATGGGGAAAACTCATCATTGAAAAGAATGATTGCAGAAACTTAAGTGCAGAAATACATCTGAAAACATCTGCCAATTTGAATAAAGCCTTAAAAACCGCCCTGTTTCAGCTGTGCGTTTATCCACTTTTTTTTAGTGACCATAGTGTGGTCTGCTTAACCCTGCAGAGAACGCCATGATTGGAGGAGAGGTCAGTCACATGACTGACGGAAAACTCTTTTCCCCCTTTCATAAAATATATATAACAACTTGATGTAGAACAAAACTGCAGGAGTTTTGAAAGGTTAGAATGACCAGATATGATTCCTTTTTCAGCCTATTTAATGAGGTAACTTCACAAGGAGCGTCATTCATACAACGGTGACGTAGGCTATAAGAACAATACTAGGAATGCAATGCTTACCTTTTATTTAAAGCTGCCAACACAGATTCTTTTTGACCAGTGGTAAACTGTGAAATTTGGACTTCTTTGTCTTAAAAAGCAAAAAAAAAAAAAAGACAATTATAACTCCCAAAAAAGAAAGAAATAGAAACAGCTCAATTATCTCAAACTGGAATACGGGATGTGCAATGGAAGTAGGACAACCGAAGTGCAGTTACCCAGAACTCATTTCTACTAACCAGCAAAGATGCCCTGTAAAGAGTGTATCCAATTTACAATATAAACAGTGGTCTCGGGAGCATATACTGCATTAGTGTAAACTGACAGCCTTATCATGAGGGCTACTGCCCACTATATGCCGACAGTTCAGCCGTGCTGCAGCCAGGAAAGATCACAATAATATTGTCGGGATCCACCAGACTACCTGATTGACAACTGGCACTGGCTCTGCCTCTCTAGAGCCAGCTGTGCCCGCCCCCTCCCCTTTCTGTGCTTCCCATAAGCACTGGAGGAACAGAGAGGGCAATCTCTGCATGGAGCAGTGACTGACAGTCTCCACCCTCGGCAGGTAGAAGCTGTGAGCTCAGAGATCGGCGGTTTGTGAGCTCTCGGTATATAGAGACCGTGTGGCACAGCTGCAGTGTCCCACACCTGTTTAGTTTTAAGTAAGAATATATTTTACTCTCTCAATACATCTCCTTTAACCCATTAAGCCAAAACAATTAAAGAAGAAACATTTTTATTAACCCTTGCAGTGGGGCTACCCCCACACTCCAACGGTTGAGTGCTCGTTTTTGTCTAGGTTGCAAAAAAATAAGTAATACCCACTCGATGCTATGAGCCAGCTTGTTCTTAGACCGGTCCTTCCATCATCTCCCCGTTTACTCTGCGGCAGTGTAAGGCCCTGTAAATCATCACATTCTATACACTGAAGGGAATTTATCAACACTGGAGCAGACAAAATATGGAGCAGCTGTGCATGGCAACCAATCAGCTTCTCTCTTTCATTTTCAAAGTTTAACTGAAGAGAGAAGTTGATTGGTTGCAGTGCACAGCTGCTCCAGATTTTGATAAATTCCCCCCACTGTGTATAGACATGAGGACACTGCAGGGATCACTGTGACAGCTGGATGGCTTGGATGATCGGGTGAGTATAACTTGGTTATTTTATCACCTAGACAAAACTGAGCACTTAACCCGCAGGGGTACCCTCACTGCAAGGGTTAAGAAAAAAAGTTTCCCTTTAAATAAAATCTTACATCAGACTCTAGTTTAATCTAGCCTTAAAGTGACATTAAAGGCAACTTTTTTTTCCCTCACCCCAACGTTAATTAAAGCACTTACCTTAAATGATGTCTCTTAATCTGATCTTCTATTTATTTCCTGTCGTTTTCAGCCTTCTCTCCAGCGCTGCGGCGGGTGTCCGATCCAGCGCTGACTCCTCTAGACTTGCATGCGGGTGCACGCGTCCATAGACTTACTTTGCGTCCCTCTCGAAAATGTGAACTGCGCATGCGCGCGCCCCAAGATCCTTTGCGGCCGCCCGAGAACTTTCACATTTTCGGGCGCTCAGCTGATTTGAAAAATGTTCCGGAGGGCTTGGCAGCGAAAGGGTTAAAGCGGGGGGGGGGTTTTACTTTTTGCATAGATCTACTGCTTGCTGGCAATAGATATAGGCAAAAAAAGATGAGGGTTTAGAAACCCTTTAAGTATATACATCAAAGTGACATTTAGCAAGGGTGACTTACTTTTTTGCCCGATTTCCTCCAGTGTTTTCCTCTTGGTCACAACTTCATCTGTACCATCTTGAAAATGTTTTGTCACCAGAGACTTTTAAAACAAGAAACATAATGATCAAGCATGAAAGCACTTTTAAAGTTCTCCATTTTTGTTTTGCTTCAGAAATGCCATTTTGAGAAGAAATAAACCTATACATATATTTTAAGCAAATTGACTCATCATCTCTGCTAAAAGGCTCCAATTTCTATCTTGGCATTCATTTCCTCTACCTGGCAAAAAAAGATGCAATGTCTTCATCTACTGTATGGACCCACAAATGCAACTTACAGTATGAATAAAACACAGGCTCCCACGGTTACTGCACTACCCTCTGGAAGACTACTCCAGTCCCAAATCACATACACTGGAGCATCAGAGGCACGTCGCACATCACAGAATCATGTCATATGCCAAGGATATCTGTTATAGAGAAGAAAAAACCCCAGACTAAAGTGAAACTTAAAGTGATCTTAAAAGGATAAATCCCCCCATGTTAGTGTAATGATGCCTCTTGATCCAATCATCTTCTTTCCTGTAGTTTTCAGCTGTCCCTCCAGTGCTGGTGCCGGTCTCCGATCCAGCGCTGACTCCTCTGTGCTAGCTGGCACTTCCTGTCCCAAGGGGTCTGTGCGGGTGCACACTGCTCCATAGACGTACCTTGTGTCTCTCCTCATCTCCCGGCCGAAGATCTGAACTGAGCAGGCGCCCCCCCCCCCAGGATCCTTTGCGGCTGCTCAAAAATCTTCAGATGTTCGGACTGGAGTGCGCGGCGAAGACACAGGTATGTTTAAACCCATTTCAAATGGTTTTTTTTTAGGTTTTTGCATATATCTACTGCTTGCTAGCAGTAGATATATGCAAAAACACGCTGAGGGTTTATTAACCCTTTAAGCTTTTTTTTCAGGTTTTTATTGCTGTCTATGTCTCCAGTGTGGAGATGCACACTCTCTATATATGCTGGTGGCCATAGTCACCAGGACAGAAATTGTGGAGAAATCCAAAATTCTAAAGCTGTCACCAGAACAGGAGTAAAGGGGAAATCTTTCAGGGGGGGCAACTGTTCTGATGACAATTAGGAGGGGACTTTGAAAGCATTTCCTCTCATTTACACAGACTAAAAGTCTCTGGCAACGGATGTATGATGGTGAGTGCAGAGTTTAAGGAGCTATAGATCCAAAAGACTGGTAAATTGTGGTTTACATGTGCAGAAGTGATTCTATTTAAACCCTTTCTATCAAAAACAATCCACATCAGCACCACAGGACCTGGTTTGTAGCCCAGAAACACTTGTAAAGGTACCACTAATGGAGGCAACCCCATTACAGGTCAGGGAGACTGAATATACCTATAAAAACAAAAGCCAGATAATCAGCTGTGAGGAAAGGGGCGTGGCCCCGGAAACACGTCATCATCTAGCAGTGGGGTTTAAAGACATGAAGACAGAGTCTGTCATTATCCCGATGTGATCACTTGTACCCCTCAACTAATACAGTGCTTGTTGCTGTCGAATGCAGGTTACAAGGCTTTATCAACATCCTCCTTTGGGAGTATAATCAATGGTATTTTATTTATGTTCCATAATAAAGGTCTTACAATAGGGAAGGTGCCCTGTCTGGCTTTTGCCTTTGTGGAATTTACTTTAAACATGAGCACCTAGGAGGTGCCTACCCAGTGTTTTTTCTAGATCTCCCCATGATGCCAAAAATCCAAGGAATTCTGATGTGCAAATAATGACTTTATATAGGAAGTCGGTCATGCCTCCCACACTTCATTATGCATTGGTGACTGCAAATGTTTCGCTAGGTGGCCAATCTTAGAAAGTGGAAGCCAGTAAAGGGAAAGGGGGGAGTAGGGATAGCATTGTACATTAGAAGATCATGGGTTTCAAAGCTCCCACGGGTCTCTGGAAATAAAATGAATATGCATAGAAGACAAATTAGGCTGGAGGTTAGTGCTTGTCTAGACTGCGCAGCTTAACTGTATTGCAGAGTAGGGACCTAGCTGTGATGTCTGTATCCCAAGACTGGCTGGACAGGATTTCAAAGCTTCTGGTGGGTCAACCAATTCACATATATGTCATTCAACTATTTCTTTAGCCTTTGCATGGAGTTCAGCTTTCAAGAAAATCATATAGTTGGCAATCTGTTGTTCACATATTATAAAATATTTTCTTTATTTGTAACATTGATGTAACAGGCATAAATCCCCCGGGCCTTTCCAGAGAACATGGCACAAGTTACATCACAGTCCCTGACTGTGAAGAAGCTTACAGTTTTCCCTACCACAACCATTAATGCAGTAGGACCAGTTGGCCAGAAGCTGATTAACTTACCCCTATGCAACTCCGGCCCTCCAGCTGTGCTTTAACTACAAATCCCAACATGCCTCTGGGAGTGATGCTTGTAACTGTCAAGTCTTGCATTGCCTCATGGAACTTTTAGTTTCACAGCAGCTGGAGGGCCGGAGTTTCCCACCTGTCCAAACACACACACACACACACACATTCTTATCCCAAGAGTTAATCCTTCTTACCTTTGGGGATTTGGAGTTCTTGGATATTACATTTTTCTGTACTGTTGAACCAATAACAGCATCTGAAAAAACAATGATTGCGTAAAGATTTTAAGTCATGCATAAATACATGCAAATACAGTATATTCATACTTACGTGTCTCTGCTTGTGGGGTAATTAAAGTATCATTTTCTTCTCCTCCATTGTTATAAGCCAAGCGAGAGAAAAAGCAAGAGGTAGATTCCTTACCTTGGTTTTAGTTATACTCTACACCCTTTAAAGAGAATGGGCTGTTCTAAAACTGGGATGGTCTTTAAGGACCATGCTGCCATTGGATGATCTGGGTTAAGGGTTACTTCCAAAAATGAGCTGATGGTCCAGAAAAACAATCAAAAAGGTAAGCAAATCCAGTAATGTAGCAACTTTCAGTCGCCAAACAAAGGAGCTTGGGGACGTGTCACTGAACAAAACTAAAGCTAGCTCTTGTCAGTTTATATGTCAATAGAGCATGCACAAGCCAGCGGAAGGAACCAGAGCATGTGGGTGTAGAAGCAGGTATCCAACCCACAAAGTGTAGACACTGGGGAGAAGCAAATCAACAGCATTTCAACACCAGGCCACCAGCATCCCAGCAACCAATTATGCACCCCCCGTCCCATTCAGCTGCTGACCAGGAAGATTGCCCTGCCGGCAGCTGAATGTAAACAAAGAGGCCGGGGATGCTGTCATTCAACCCAAAAGAGGAGCAGCGCCACATTGCCAGTTCACCTGAGTTTACCCAAGCCCGTTCAAAACTGACTGCCACCCCCTCCTGCAGACCCACCCAATAAGTTGCAAAGAGGCACATTCCCTGCAGCTACACATCACAAAGGAGCAGGAGATCCACAAATGAGAAGCCCAACACTAAATGTAGTTCAGATGTGTGCAGGCAGCGCAGCAGCATTACTTAACTTTTGTAATTGAACATTTTTCACAATTATGTACTCAGCCTGACTCTGTAAATGTTTACCAACCTGTCGATTAATCGAACGTAATAATCGGCTAACTAATCGATTTTGAAAATAATCGTTAGCTGCAGCTCTAGTAGCATCATCACCCTGTTAGTGCTATGCTATGTCTCAGCTTGGTCACTAGATGGCACTGTTCTATCACTTTTAGGCCAAGCAAAAAAAAAAATACAAATAAATAAAAAAAATCACTGCACATTCATTCGATGAAAAACAACAACAAACTGTATATAACTGTACACTAACAACACATTATAACAAATAGCAGTGTGTATATTTGTAGGCATGACCCACTTTAAAACGGTGACACATCAGAAATGATCAGGTTATACTTCAAGGATTATTCTTACATATTAGAACAAGGATACCACTGCCTCTATGTAGAGCTGTGGAGAGCATTTCTGCTTTCACCTTGTGGTTTTCTAGAATGCATGCTACAGTCAAAATGGCAGCTCCCATCACTGACACTAAAGTGCTTGGAGTGGCATCACATACAATCAAAATGCACAGCAGACTCAATGGCACCGTAGCCTCACCCTCCTGCCGCAATGCAATCTGCCACACGGGAACGCAAGGCACATCAATGCCTGCGGTCTGGTCAGAAAAAATGCGACAAGCACTATTTCTTCTGACCAGATCGGACTGGAACACAGGCATTGATGTGCCCTGCTTTCCCGTGCGGCCGATCGCATTGCAGCCGGAGGGCGTAGCTCGGAGCCATTGAGTTTAACGCACCACCACGCCCCCTTCATGCCCCACAACAGACTGAGCCGGCTGCAATGCGATCCAGTGCGTTCCGGCCAGAACGCACTGTGACTAGTGTGAACTAGCCCTTAGAAAGAAAATTGCATATTTAGATGAACTTATAATTAAGTTTCATTTTAGTTTTACTTTAATTCTACTCTTTAATTCCACTCTAAAATAGTGTTGCATGACCGAGCAATTGTCATTCACACCATGAAAACTAAAATAATGGCCTGGTAATGTAGCGGGTGTCACATAATGGTACTGAAGTGGTTAAATCTGTACACCGGGATGAACAAATATTGTCTAAATGCATCATATGTATTCTTACTTATATTATATTAAGTCAAAATGTTTGTTACCGGTATTTCAAATGCTAATTAAATCACTTACAATGGACGCTGCCCTTTGATGTTTAAAAGTTTTAGTTTCCTGCAGAATTAGCTGGTCCCCTGAGCACTGGCCCTGATATCCTGTTTTAAGTCGGCTCCTTTCCCTTGCAGGGTCCTATAGAGACACACTTGTGTGTGCTAGTAAACTGTGTGTGTCTCCACAAACATACAGGCACAGCAAGGCAAGTCACTCCCTTCCCCCTACTCCTCCTTCTCCTTCCTTCTGAAGTCTGTTCTGTTCCTTGTGATCTTGAACTGGACAGGAAGTTCAGGGAAGCAGAGTTGGGAGAGTTGGAGCTGTTCAGAAACATGATAACTAAGTCTTCGGGTAAAAATGTAAAGAAATCAGTTGCTGGGCAATGTATATGTGATAGATCTGGATTCATTATAAAAAAAAAAAAAGGTTTGACAGTTTAATACTACTTTAAATCTTGGTGTGCTTTGTGTACGTCTTCCAAATCTGTGCAGTAATATAGTGTATATATTTACCTCTGTGCAGGAGCTACCTGTCATAAAGACCAGTCACTACTGCTTCATCCTTGAGCAGGGTGACTGGTCTTGTATCCACCCCCTCCTGTAGTGGGTGTGGCCTGCTGGGTCCCTCCCACTGCTCTGTTCTCTACACAGGTTATGTACCGCACAGTGATGATGTCACTGATACCATTACATGGTAATATCTGGATTGGAAAAGGCATTTGGTGCACACAAACTAAATTTCCATCATTTATGGCAACGGAGTAAAATATTTAGATAAAAAAATGTTTTGCTCGCAGTTTAGATGTAAGCACTTGTTTTAAAAAACAGCCTTTACTTAAATACATTTGTGTGTAAGATTTAGTTTTTACCTGATGTCCCCTCCATGAAGGTAAATCTGACAGCGGGATACTTGTTAGCAGGAAGTGCTGGAGGGACAGATGTCGGATCTCTCTTCTTCATGGTAAAATCTGGTAATGGAGCAGGAATCTCCCGCAGCCTCTTCACCGAGATGTGGACTGTGCTCCTGTCATTGTCCTGGGAACATACTGTCTCTCCATGGCTGCCCTTTCTCAGTGATCCATGGAGGACACCCCTTTGACTTGGGACTTCAGACACATGGAGGGCTTCCTGACCTTCTCCATCAGGAACATCCATCATCACCTGGCCATTCTTCCTTTTGGAGCCATGCGAGAGATCAGGATGTTTGTGCTTGAGTTCTGAATATTGGGAAGACTCCTGGCTTGCGCTCATCTCCATCCCTCTATCGGTTACTTCCTTTCTCATGGATGCTGCAGAGGTATCCCTGTGTCTGTGCTCTCTTCTCCCACTGTAGAGCCCAGACAGAGCAGAACTGTCTTGACCTCTTGCAGCCACCATCCCAAAATCCAGAAGATCCATCAGCCCTTGGCTGGTATCTGCTGCATCAAACCTTCTACTTATCCCAGCTGTTTCCTTCTTCAGTGAGCCAGACCTGTGGACACTGGTAGAACGAATCAACACATCACTGGCTGTAGTGCTGGCCACCGAATCCAAGCTGATGTCTGATGTTTCTTCCTGCATCCTACGATGGCTCTACACCCAGAGACACCCTGCCCCCCTATAAGTGCAGCTATTTGTCCAGTTCCCGCTGCTAAGGTGCACCAGCAACACCTGAAAGGAAGCTGACACCAGAGCACAGGGCTGCTATGTTTACTAAAGGTGCATGGCTTTCCTCACAAGAGAAAAGGTCGATTGATAAAACATTCAAAAAATGACGCCGGAGACCGTACACTGCACGTCATGCTTCTGCCATGTTCCCGAAGACCAAGGCGTCTTTGGAAAATAAAAAGTATCACACGCAAAATGGATCCGAAGCAGAGTCATAGTGGGGTCAAACCTCGACCTCTTGCGGATAGAACGCTGGTTGCTAGCCGCTAGGAATCAATGACGGTTAGCTGGTCCGACTGCCATTCCATTCCGTGCGGAAATAGCAACTTCACTCACCTGTCTAAACAAGCAGTTCTTTTTATCAACGTTATTTTTTTTCTAGTGTTGTTTTCCCGTTATTAGTGTTTAATAATGTCAACTGTTAATTTAAAAAGATTTCTCAAGGAAATAGAATTTGATGGAAAAGGAAAAACGTGTTTCAAGGACTATAGTCCTATAATATTTTCACGGTGTGGTCGTGAAAACGTTTCACCGCTCTGCTTTACTTTGAAAGAAATCCCTTCTGTGACTCCTGCAAATTGTAGAGTAAAAAGAATCCGGAACTACACAAAAAAATGTACTATTTCCGTGGGGTGGTGTACAGTGTAGCACACGAGTCGCCTGGAAACTGTAAGTAAATGTATCTGCTTATTCCTGCACTGTGATTTAATGGAAAGCAAAAATAATTCGTAAATAGCATATGAAGAATGAATCAACGTGTTTTGAATTTTAACTTCAATTGTAGTTTACATTCTACTTGTTGGTCAAGCTGTGAAGGTGACATTTTTGACGAATGTGCAGTAGCGAACTGTGTTCGCTCCGCTCACGTGTTCCTGCAGCAAGGAGAGTAGAGGGCTGTAAAAGCAGGTCAGTGTGTATTGGGGTGATCTGATCTCTCATATGACTGGGGGGAGGGGAGTGATATCAGTAGGTTGGAGATCAGCTGGTTTTATATTCATTTAGAGATAAATATGAGTACAGAATAATTGGATCAAGTACAGTCAGCTCAGCATTTAGCTTATAACCTTCATATAGATGAAGGTTAGACATCAACTGGCATTTAGTCGAGCGGAACTACAGATCACATCATTCCCAGATTTGCAAACATGGCTAGGACATGTTTGGCTATGTAGCTCTACAACAGCCAAACTTAATGATGAAATAAATTATAATGGATCACTGTAAAGCTGACCATCAACCTCCCTACCCACTTTTCCTTATTGCCCCCCTGCTTTCTCCTAATCGGATTTTGTTTCCCCCAACAAATACATTTTTTCTTTGGAACCCCTCCTAGCACTTATGGGATTCCCAAGCTAGATGAGAATGACGTCCATTCGCATACAATCATTTTGGAGTACTGATGTCATGCATCCCAGGAGGCCTTGGGGTGCTCTACTGCACATGCACTGCTGTGCATCATCAGGGGGCCAGCTGTCCCCCCTGAAGACGTGCTGCGGCGCATGTGCGTCATCAAGGCGGTGGCTGCAAGAACCTGGAAGAGACAGCTGACTCCCTGATGAAGTAAGATGGCAGCACAGGGCTAGTGTGCAGCAGTGGATTGTAGCAGGACAACGCTGGAATAGCTGGACGTGCGAGTATGTCATTTCACGATCACCCAGCGAACAAGGTAAGTGGAGATAAAAAAAACATGAGCTGAAGGTTGACATTAAGATAAAAGTGTCATATTATACTGAATACATATATGTAAGAAGAACTCTAGGCAAAAAAACTTACCCTTGAAGTGGGGCTTCTCCTGAACGGCAAGAGTTAAGCACTCATTTTGTCTAGGGGACTCGGATAATGCTGTTTATTTACCTGATCTGGGCTCCAATGGCAATTAGCGCTCACCTCATTCCCCCTATGCTACTGATTTTGGAATGTCCTTCAGCGTCCTTACGTCTAATGCAGGTCAGTAAACCCCTTATAAGATGTGATGGTGTCAACGGTCCTTAGACCGCCAGAGCGAAGGGGAGAAAAGACTGCCGAGAACAGTTTAGCAGCCTGGATAAAACCAGGCTGGTAGAATTGTATTACTAAAATGTGGATTTCCTCAGCAGCAATGTTCACAGGACAAAATACATTGCTGCCCTTGGAAGGTCATCATCAATTGTCTATTTTAGATATACATGTACATATAAAAGAGCTCAATATGATGAACAGTGAATATTATTTTCATTTTGTGTTTGGACCCATTCATTCTTTTCTGTTTTCTTGCAGTAAAGTTCAAGAATTTTACTGCATAAATCTCTGAATGACTAAACCTGTGCCAGCTAAGACAGTTCACATATGTGGACTTCAGCTGTGTATGTAGCTGCTTGCTTGGAATTCAGCTTTAGATAGTGATGCAAATGTCATCTAAATTATTCTTATGTTTTCAATAGGTCATTGGCTGTAAACCTTAGCGATAATGGCTGCTCAGATTTCAGAGTCGGATCAAATTAAACAGGTAATATCATTTTGTGAAGATATTCAAGGGAATAACAACATTTTCAGAAGATGGTAAAAGTCAGCTGCAGGTTTAAATGAGGTCTAACAGTCATTTAGGGGAATATCAAAACTGGAGCAGTTGTCCATAGTAACCAATCAGCTTCTCTCTTTAGTTTGTTCAGTTAAGCTTTGAGAGAAAAGCAGATTGGTTGCCATGAGAAACTGCCCCAGATACTGTCTGCCCCCATATTTTATAAATTCCCTCGGTTGATTTTTGAACGTAATTTAAATTATTCTAGCACTGCATAGGGTAACAAACATGTTTATTGGCTAATGCCTGATCAATAACAAGTGTGCCCAAGTGTCAGAAGTTATTGCTCCCAGAGATTTTACAACATGTCAGAAATATCAGTTCATGGTATTTATTTTCTTAAAGGAGAACTATGGGGTTAAGGCTTTTCCCCATAGTTCTCGTTAGGGTAACGGGAGGACACAAGCTAGCGTCCTCCCGTCACCCTAAGCTCAGTATAGCTCGCGGTATACTGAGACGCCACAGTATACGGCAAGCTACTGCTCGCCGTATACTGAGACGTCGCAGCTGAAGCGGATCCCGACAATTATGCCGGGATCCGCCCAGCTGCGTGAGTTACAGCTGGCTCTGCCTATCCAGCCGGTACAGCCAGCCAGCTGTACCTGCCCCCTTCCCCGTCCGACCCGCCAGTCAGCGCTGTGACAGGATCGAGAGGTGAGCGAACGCCGGTATGTGTTTGGTCACCTCCCGATCTACTGAGCCGACCTGTGACAGTTTCATTGTCACAGGTCGGCTAGAACTATGAGGTGAGTGAAAAGCACTCACCTCATAGTTCTCCTTTAATAAAAATGGGAATGGTTGCTTCACGGTCTCTTGGTTTATAGAGGAAGGTTGCAGCAGCTCTGTTCTATGTAAAAGTTTTCTGCTGTGTGCAGCTGACAGCGGCAGTAGACATGAGCGATGTAACCCTCCCAGGATGCAATGCTTTGGCACATTACATCATTTGTGCCAGAACTGGACCAAGAAGTAGATTAACTATTCATAAGTAAATGAAAAACGTGTGCTTAACTAATGAATGTAAGGTGATTTTAAATCAGTAGCAGAGCTGCAAACTGATGTGATTTGTAGTAAATGGGGGGTAAAGGTCCACTTTAAAGCAAAATTCTGGGTAATTTTTTTATCAACCCTTGCAGTGGGGCTACCCCCCGCACTGCAAGGATTAAGTGCCTCTTTTGGTCTGACCGTATGACCCGGCCGGCTGTGACAGCGCTCCCTCCATCCTGTCTGCCCCTCCCTGCAGCAATGGTATGTCCCTCAGCGTCCTCGCATTCTATTCACTGTGTATAGAACGTGATGACTCAGTGACCTTAGACCTCTGCAGCGGAGGGGGAGAGAGGATCCAATCCAGGGACTGGTCTAACAGCAAGCCGGGTGTGAGGATCAGGTGAGTATAACTTTATTTTCCTCCGTAGACCAAAACAAGCACTTAACACTTGCAGTGCGGGGTTAGCCCCACTGCAAGGGTTAATAAAAAACCTTTCCTGGACTTCATTAAAGGGATTGTATAGTTTGGGCAAAGATTTAAACTGATATTATTGGAAAACCTTATTGTGATTGGATCTGGTACTTTAGTTTTTGAAATATGTTGTCTCTCCTCAATGAACAAGTCATGAATTACAGTGCAGCGGGTCTCAGTGGTTTTTAGGATGGGCTGGGTGACCACACTGCCAGTTTTTAATTAGACATCTGCCTGGCTATGGTCACACATAGACTGAAGAATTTGGAGAACGGGTTAAGAGGAGACCGTCTCAACCTTGTATGTGCTATCGTAGACCATGTACAAGGCTAATGACTGGTCACTTCAACACACATGTATGTACGCAGTGCAATGTTTTGAGGTTATATATGTTATCCGCTGAAGTGTTTGTTGATGTATTTGTGTTCAGTGCATCTCGCTGTCCAAGCTGTTAGAAATGAATGAAGTCAATGCTTTTGTTCACAGTTCAAAGAGTTTCTTGGGACGTATAATTCATTGACGGAGAACTGCTTCCTGCATTGTGTGAAGGACTTTACAACACGAGAGGTGAACCCCGAGGAGGTATCTGTGTATTTTGTATCCACTGATGAGAGACTAAATTAATACTGGAGATTCATGCCACTGGAAAACCTGAATGATTTGCTGGAATTTATTTTTGGTATTTATATAGCGCCGACAATTTACGCAGCACTTTACACAGTGCACATTCACATCAGTCCCTTCCCTTTAAGGTTCCCCTAAAGTCTCTATCTCACATGCATACGTACGAGGGGCCAATTTAAACATTTCGGCCGCCAAAATGTATCGGACAAAAATGGCCCTTTTGGCAAAATAGCGAAAGTGCCATTTTGTGGCTGAAATAGCGGTGCATCCGTGCTTTCTCTCCTCCTGCTGGGCTCTGCGTCCCAGCGGGGAGGAGAGAAACTGTCACAGGAGGCCGAGCGGTGCGGGAAGAGAGCACTGTGAGCGGCCGGCGTCTCTCCTCCCCGCACCGCTCAGCCTCCTATAACAGATCAGGAGAACGGCGGTGTGGGTGGAGACGGCTCTCATTTCTTTCACAGGAGGCTGGCTTGCGGTGTGGGGGGGAGGAGTCAGCTGTCAGATTGAGATCTCCTTCTCGTAGCCGATCTAGGGTGGAGAGCGGTTACAAGCAGTCAGTGATCGCTGAGTGTTTGTAAATAATTGAGGACAGGGTATGTTTACTGTGTCCTCAATTATCAATGAATGAATGGGAAGGGATCTACATCACTTCCTGTTCATTCATGATTGTAGTTATAGTAAACACACTCTGTCCTCATGTTATGAATGAACAGGAAAACTCAGTATAGAGGATTCCTGTTCATTTATAACAGGGGCTGCAGAGAAAGAGATTGAGGACTCTTTGTCCTCAATCTCTTTTTCTATTTTAAAAGGGAATTATCATGGGTGTGTTTAGACCCCTAATATTTCACAGAAGCCCCTAAAAGTAAAGTTAAAAAAATGTTAAAAGTTTATAAAAAAATTATGAAATATTTAAAAAAGTTAGTTTTTCAGTCTCGACCTGACATATTTTTTTTTCGTTTCGGTTTTTATTTTTTTTTATTTCGGTGCACCTCTACTTATTACAGCACTGCTCAGGTGGTTATAATAAAGACAGACACTTCTGCTTAGCAGTACGTTTGATATAAGAGTTGACAAGGCTTCAGGACACTCGGAGATGTACCTCTGCAATACAGTTTAATAGCGTTGTGTGTATATTGTACGTTTGTAGAGTGTGTTTTCTTGTATGAACCTGACATGCTCTGACTCTTCATTCTCAGATTTCCTGCTCCGAGCACTGTCTGCAGAAGTATTTGAAGATGACACAGAGGATATCTATGAGATTTCAGGAGTACCATATACAACAGAACGAGGCTCTGGCATCTAAAGCAGGACTTATGGGCCAACCTCGATAACGGTGGGAAGAATCTGCTGATCAGAATTCTACCGTCCTAGCAAAGAGCGATATGTGGTGCTCATGAAAGCTGCACGGGAGAGGTAATAGTGCTCCGATCTACTCCCCAACCGTGCAGAAAATCTGAGAATTAAAATGCAGACGAAGATTAGAAAACGGCAGAGACTTGTCTTTTCTTTGCGGGAGATTATATGAACTGCAGTCCCAAATATGACATTACCAATTCTTTTCTAATAAAATATTATTTCATGTGACAGATAAAAAAAATCAATGTATGTGTATGTATGAGTAAAATAAAGCCAAATGCAGTACATCTCTCCAATACATGCACACTGCGCCATGTCTTGTCTCTTTAAAAACGCTGCAAGTATGGAAAAATAACTAGTGATTGTGCCAGAGCTCTGAACTTCCTGTATTGAGCTGACAACATTGCACCCAAGTCTCAAGCATTTCTATCATCCTTGGCCAGTTCATCACTGAGAACTACAGAGCACCCCCAACCCCTTTGATATGGAGATGAGAAGAAGAGGAGGTGTTCTTTAGTCCTGACATTCTTTCTGTCCTAATGTGACTGCTGCTTCTCCATAGATACGGTACAGTGAATGTTGTCACCCTAGTACAGGAAGTGTGTTACTGGCAGAATCACCAGTGGAAAATAATGAAAAATAAAACTAATGTAGCCACCACATCTGAGGACTATGAATGTGAATATATTACATTTTTGTATTGGGTTTAGATGCACTTCAAATTGTATCATCTTTACTACCTATTTTGGCAGTTCAGTGTTGCATTAAGCTGTTCTTGAGCCCCCATTCCAGTTTCCCTAAGTCCAAGTTGTCCTGTACCTTCCCCCTGCTTTGGACTGGACAGTGAAAGAGAAACCAGCACAGTGATGAGCTCATCTGTCATTCTGCTCTGTCTTGCTGTCAGCTTGCTTCTTGTCAGGAGATGAGGTGATTGGCTCCTTGAACTGCTTCTTCCTCTTACACTGAAGCCCTGCTGCCCAGGGGACTGTGAAAGGCTGATACCAGGTTAAATTCAGGCACTTTTGCAAAATGTGCAGCTACTCGGAATGTACCGTTACTAATAGTCGCCCAAATTCTCCCTATGCATATCCAGATATCCAAACTTCCGGTATCAGAGAGCCGGGCAGCGAGTCATTACCCACCCCCCAGCTTCCTGATTGGCCAGAAAGCCGGCTCCATGCTTCCTCGTCACATGGAGATGGCTTCCCGGCTAATCAGGAAGCTGAGTGGCGAGTCATTACATGCCGCCCGGCTAATCCGGAAGCCAGGCGGCATGTAATGACTGCCCCCTCCCCCGGCTAATCAGGAAGCTGGGCAGCGACTCGTTACACGCCACTCGGCTTCTTTAATGGGACTTCTTGATCGGTATTCGGTGAGTACTGAAAAAACGGTATCGGTGCATCCCTTGCAGTTACTATTTTATTTTTCCATAGGTCATCATTCAGACAATATGTCATATTTGAGAGGTTTTAAAGTTCAAATCCGGACTAAACAAATATAATAATCAGCTTGGACTGATGTCATGTGGGTGTTTTTTGAGGAAGGGTTAGATCTGCCACTTTTGTTGCAGCCCCTGTTGGGTAGATTTGTCCCCACTACTTGTCTGGTGACATGTTGACAAAGCACAAACCTGGACACAAACTGCAATAAACACTTTACTACAGTTATTAGAATAGTGCTTTCGTTGATTCAGGGAAAATAAAATTCCCATCAGGTTTCTATTGATGGCTGTATCCTTAGTGCAGATTTGCACTCACTGTGTTACTGGGATGACAATGTTGTCACTGGAACAGGAAGTATGAGGGGGATATCTTCAGCAATTAAACCTGAAAGATATTCCTTCTTACCCTATACAAAACAGTTTTGGCTGGAGTTGGGCTTTCAGTGCAAGAAGTAAAGGTAACGCACAATTCTGAATCTGTATTTAATTTTGAACTACACTTCCCAGTGTGCTTTTCGCGCTGCCGGAAGAGACGTCCTATAGGGGTGACCATGTATAATGCCTGTACAGCAATATTATCAAAACATAACAACGCCACCGTTTTACAGCTGTCCGTTACTTGACAATCTGTATCTATAGAAACAACATTGACATTGAATGCGATCCAACGCAGGAGAAGTACATTTCGGACAGGCAGGTTGTAGGACAGCCCGTGTGCCCGGAAGGACCTCTGTTTCTCCGGAGCCTCCCCTGTCAGTGCGCCGCACACAACACCAGCCGGAGAAGATGCCGCTGTACGAGGGGCTGGGCAGTGGGGGAGAGAAGACTGCGGTGGTCATGGACCTGGGAGAGGCATTTACTAAGTGAGTGTCCGGGCAGAGTCATGTGCTGGGCCTGTCTGGGGTACATGAGGTCGCTAGCTGGGGGTACATAGGACCAGTTATTGGGGTGCACAGTCCCTGCCATCTAAAGATACATGCGAACTGACATTGGGGAGGCCAGTGCCTGTCAGCTGGGGATACATGTCATCTGGCATTGGGGTGCATGTGACCTGCCAGCTGGGGATACATGCCATCTGGCATTGGGGTGCATGTGACCTGCCAGCTGGGGATACATGCGATCTGGCATTGGGGTACTTGGAGCCTTCTAAAGACACATAGGACCTGCCATTGGAGTACATTGGGCCACCAGCTGAGGATACATAGGATGTGTAATTGGGGTGCATGAAGCCCGTCGTTGGAGTACATGGGACCTATCATAATTAGTTACTTAGGATCTGTCATTGGGGCCTGGCAGCTGGGGATACATGTGATCTTGCAATAGGGTGCATGGGACCTGACACCCGGGGCTACATGGGGGCTGGTAATTTGGGTACATGGAGCCTTCCACCTAAGGATACATGAGATGTGCCATTGGAGTGCATTAGACTACCAGCTGAGGATACGTAGGGTCTGTCATTGGGGTGCAAGTGACCTGCCCGCTGGGGATACATGGGGGCTTGTCATTGGGGTACACTGAGCCTTCTATCTAAGGATACATGGACCTGCCATTGGAGTGCATTAGGCCACCAGATATATAGGATCTGTCATTGGGGTATATGGGGCCTGCCAGCCTGACTAGGACAGGGGCTTTATAGATACATATTTCCATAGTGCCCAACCACATGTAAGTGTCCATTGCATGGTAAACTCCAGCACCAGACTCGTGCACTGTGAGCAAACGTGTACTGATCTCATTGTTTCATTAGATGACATTCTATCAATATTCAAGGAAACAAATACATTCACTGGTGGGCAATCATTTTGGAGAAACCCTGACTGAGGGTGATGGTAAATGGGATAATTGTCTAACTGATTCCTCAACTCATTGCTTTACCGTCAGTCTGTTCTAACCTGTAAGATCATTCAGAGTTTGCCGGGTAATCAGTCTTAATAATGACAGGTTGTCTTAGTTCTGCTTTAACAATAGCTGATTGAAAGTGTCTGAATTTTCCTGAAAGTCGATGTGAGTCAGGGAGGAGCATTAGAGAAATGAGTAGAAAGGCTTTTGTTTATTGAACTGAATGCTGAACTTTGTTGAACTTTGTTGCCTACAATCCACATGGGTCTCAACAGGCTTTCTGTGCTCAACAAAACGCAGAGCAGGTCAAAGATTATTTCTTCGGAACCACATCATTAAAGTGTATCTAAAGCCAAAACCTTCCGTTTTTAAGTTTAGGATAGAGTGGTGTCAGGTAAAGTAGAATTCATCTCCTCTTCCTCTTTCCGTGGGGGTCCCCCAAGGGTCTGTCCTTGGGCCCCTTCTATTCTCTATCTACACTTCTTCCTTGGGTCAATTGATAGCCTCCCATGGCTTCCAATACCATCTTTATGCTGATGACACCCAAATCTATCTCTCCACTCCTCAACTCACCCCCTCTGTCTCTTCACGTATCTCAAATCTACTCAGTGACATCTCAGCATGGATGTCACACCACTTCCTCAAAGTCAATCTGTCAAAAACTGAGCTTATAATTTTTTCTCCTCTTTTTCTCCTACGATCAACCCTGAGCACTCCTTTCAGTCCCACATCCAATCACTATCCAAATCTTGCCGACTCAACCTCCGTAACATTTCCAAAATACGCCCCTTTTTGACAAACGAAACCACAAAGCTTCTAATTCACTCCTTTGTAATCTCTCGTCTCGACTACTGTAACTCCCTCCTTGTTGGCCTACCACTAAGCAGGCTATCCCCTTTTCAGTCTATCATGAATGCTGCTGCCAGACTCATCCATCTTACCAACCGTTCAGTGTCTGCCACCCCCCTCTGCCAATCCCTCCACTGGCTCCCACTTGCCCAACAAATACAATTCAAAATACTAACAACAACATACAAAGCCATCTACAACTCCGCCCCAACCTACATCACTGATTTCATCTCAAAATATCACCCAAACCGTCCTCTCCGTTCCTCTCAAGACCTCCTGCTCTCTCATTACCTCCTCCCATGCTCGCTTCCGGGACTTCTCCAGAGTCTCCCCCATCCTCTGGAACTCCTTACACCAATCTGTCCGCCTATCTCCTACGCTGCCCACCTTCAGGCGATCCCTAAAAACCCATCTCTTCAGAGAAGCCTACCTCATCTCAACATAACTGGCTTTTACTTCCTCCAATAACTCAATCCAAACAATTATTACCTTTTGTATCACTTGCCCCTCCTACTAGAAGGTAAGCTCTCACGAGCAAGGCCCTCCCAACCTTATTGTTCTGAAACTGTATTGTACTGTAAATTGTATTGTAACTGTACTGTCTCCACTATTTTGTAAAGCGCTGAGCAAATTGTTGGCACTATATGAATTTGTATAATAGTAGTAATAATAATCTCTGCTGTCCTACGCTTCAGTCCAACGCTCACAAGCTTCCGAGCTGGCAATGACATGTTTGCCCAGGCTTCTCTAAGGTTCAGCGTCTTGGGCCATGTTGATTAGATGGCACAGTATGAAGCAACTCCTGGGAATGCACGGGGGAACTAATTTATCCTGGCACATGCACAGCTCAGTGTAAGCTCTCAAGAAGACAGCAGACAGGAAGTTGAGCAGACTTTATTGCAGAAGAGACGTGGTATGCATTGTCACCCTAGGCTGCCCTTCTGACTTGGACTACAAGTGTGTCCTCTCTTCAATTCCATTACATGAAGGATGGATGGATTTGTTGTTTACAGGAGAGAGCTTGGAAAGAAGATAACATTGTTTAAGTATTTTTTAAGCTCACAGGAAGTGACGAGGATTCTGCGTTTCTGGCAAAGTCAGCAGATATTTTCTGAACTTGCAGAAAACGTGATTAGCCTGAAAAAAAAAAACCGAATGCAGCTACCAAGCTGCATTACATAACAGTTTACATATACTTTAACATGAAAAGATATATCTGATGCTAAGTAGATTAGGCTATAGACTTGCATCTAATTTGTTATTTTTTTTTAGATGTGGATTTGCTGGCGAAACAGGACCAAGATGCATTATTCGGAGCGAAATCCGAAAACCTGGCCTTGCAAAGGTAATCAGAGGAGATCAGCTGCAAGCAGATGCAGTATGGCTTTTATTAATCTAGTTGGTTAAAGGGTTTCTAAACCCTGCGTTTTTGTTTTTTTGCCTATATCTAGTGCTAGCAAGCAGTAGATATAGGCAAAAGGTTAAGAAAAAAAAAACGCTCTAACAGCGGTTTAAACTTACCCTGTTTTCGCCGCGTGCTCCCACCTGAGAATCCGAAACTGCTCGGGCGGCCGCAAAGCATTCTGGGGTGGGGGCATGCGCACTTCGGATTTTCGCCAGGGAGGCGAGCAGAGACGCAAGGTAAGTCTATGGACGCGTGCACCCGCATGCAGGCACCGCGGGATCGGAAGTGCCAGCAAGCAGAGAGGAGTCAGCGCTGGATCGGAGAGCCGCCGCACCGCTGGAGGGACAGATGAAAACATCAGGAAAGGATAGGAAGATCGGATTAAGAGACATCATTTAAGGTGCTAACATTGACATTGGGGGGGAGGGGAAATGTTTTTTTACTTTAATGTCACTTTAAGGGATGCGCTGTTGCTTCACCTTAAAGTGACAATAAACTCAGGAGTTATCTGTTAAAAATACATGGAAGTGCCTTAACTATAAACAAAAATGTATCTTACTTGTGTATCACTTGGCTGTAGATCCTCAAATCATCTCTGAATCGGTGCGGAAACTGTCCTTCCTTCTGGAGGGTGGCTACTTTTGTTCCCCATGGTCCCTGTGTGTGTTGTAAGGTAGCCATCGCTCCAAGCTCCCTCCCCTAATGGACTACAATCTCAATACAAACTAGTAAACTAAACATAAGATTGTAGCTCATCACAGGAGTGAGTCTGGAGCGGTGGATACTTTGCAACACATATCGGGGCCAGTGTCAGCATGAATGCAGAGATGATTTAAGGATCTACAGCCGAGTGATACACAAATAAGATACATTTCTGTTGATAGTTAAGGTACTTAAATGCATTTTTAAGATTTAACCCCTGAGTTTACTGTCACTTTAATTGAAACCTATACTGTGGTCTTTCCTAGTACCCTGGCTGTCATGCTAAACTAGTGGCTTCAGTTGTTTTTGCAATGCTGCCCTGGAACCTGTGTGCACATCAGGAGCCTGGTACTTCTCCGATGCCACTTGCTGCATGCTTGTTCTGGGTCAGTTTCTCAAAGAAATTCGCAAAAATGATTGCACAGGTTGTTATGCTTTTTTTAAAAAAATGTAAGCTGACCAGCATTATTTGTGAGGCTCTTTGTGGTTTCTGTTGAGGAGAGCCAAGATTGGAGCAATTTAAGGTGGAGATAAAATAATGATTTTCTGTTATACAGATTCATGAGGAACAAATGCTTGCAGTTAAAGTAAGCCTGTCACAGACCTGGTCAATTTTATTCACATAGGATGATAGAGAGGTTACCTTGGAGGAATCTTCATTTGATAACAATCAGTAAATCAAGAGATATTGGCATCTGAAGGTTTATGGCTTCTCCTAAAAATAAGAAAACATTCAGTGGTGACTTACTTGTTCCTTTTTATTACAAGATGTCTGCTGAGTGCTAACGTTGAAATCTCCTTTATTTATTACAGCCTATCAAAGTCGTCCAGTACAATATTAACACAGAAGAACTCTATTCGTATCTCATAGAGTTCATTCACATGCTATATTTCAGGTAAGGCATTCTCATTATTTCTATAATGTTTGTGACTCTGTGCAAGGTCTGGGCTTTTCCTTCTGTCTGTTTGGGTCATATGTAGAATTCAGCTGTAAATATGTGACATCAGCAACAGCAGAGTGTCATGACCTGGGTCCCGAATAGATTTCCCTGAATGTTGTAAGATAGCAACAGATTCTGCCAGTGAGCTTTCCGCTTTAGATGTATTTGCACTTTGACCTGAACTCAAGGCAGATCTAAAAAACACAAAGAGGAACTTTACTCATATCTTTGAAATTATAACAAAGACACCTTTTAGAAATGTTTAGTAATGAAATTCTACAAGCACATACTTCTAGATAATTGCCGGCTTTTTGTTCTCTACATACCTTTTCTTTTGCTCCCCATGGCATCTCAGAGTGGCCATTTTTACTGAGGCATGATTCATATATCTTACTTGCTTGCTGGAACTTTGGCCCATGTGATTAGGACATGTGACCATGCACATCATCTCAGGGGAGGAAAATGCCTTTCCCTGAGATCTCATGAGATTTCCCAGCAATGCTGTGCTGTTGTAACCTTCCCAGGATGTAACGCAGCACAAAACTCAGTTAGTTGTGCTTATGTGTTAACAAGGAACATGCTGATAGAAGGAGAGAGAAGAGACAGAGTCTGCTGCTTCTCCATCCCATCCAGTTACAAGTTAGGGGTGTGTGGAAGAAGACATGTGATACTTAACTGCAGCAGAGTAAAAGCAAGTCTCTTGTGTGTCAGAGCTGTGTATGTATTTAAATTGTTTGCCTGTCACTAGCTGTAACAAGGTAAGGGTGCTGCGATGTCAAACTACTTCATTCTTCATGCTTACATTACTTGGTCTCTTTTCTTGCACTTACATTTTTCTGTTTTATTTTCTAGGCACCTTCTGGTGAATCCTCGGGACCGCCGGGTTGTGATTATAGAATCTGTACTCTCGCCCTCTCATTTTAGGGAAACTCTCACCCGGGTTCTCTTCAAATATTTTGAGGTAGATAATTTACACCTCAGCGGACACCAAATGTGTCATTTTATTTTGGCAGAGAAAGTTCCTGTGGTCGACTGTAGACTGAAAAGGAAATTTACTTTTAAGGGCCGGTTCACACCACAAACAGTGCGTTCCAGAGCGGCCAGGCACTGGAACACCCTGAGTTGCATTCTGGCCGCCTCCCTTCATTCAGGGGCGGGGCTGAATGTGTGGCACATTAGTGCCTGTGTTCTGGTCCACTGCGATCTGCAAAATTAGTTCTTGCAAAATGTTTGCAGATTGCACTGGACTGGAACGCAGGCACTGATGTGCTGGGCGATCGCACTGCGGGGGGCGTGGCTGCGGTGTCATTGACCTTAATGCACCTCCATGCCCCTTCCCGCCTCTAAATGCAGGGAGCCAGCCGGAATGCGATTTAGTGCATGCCAGAACCTGACTGCTCTAGAACGTACTGTTTGTGGTGTTAACCGGCTCTTCAGGTCACAAAATGGCTTGTACTGCAATTTATGATTGACAATTGCAGCGAAAGGGTTAAACAATATCAGAAGATAGTAGTTGTTTTTTTTTTTTTTTAAGCCTTAAGTTAACTTTAGGCCACCAAGCCTGCACATAACTTACATGACTCCTTCAGCGCTGGTGGTGTCCCAAATCCCAACTTGCACTCTCACCCGTTTTCCTATTGACCCTTCAATATGATGGGTTGCTTTACTGGCCAATAGGGATATACAGGAGAGAACAGTCCAGCCCTGTACATTTTCAGTATGTAAAAAAAAAAAAAAAAAAGGTGCAAGATGACTATTGATTCTTATTCCCTTAATTTTCACATTTATACAGAACCAGTATGCTTTACAATATGCAATGGTGCAGCACCTCAGAGAATCTGTCCCTACCACAGCCATACCTTTACACACATTAGATACAATTTGGCCTAAAGTCATTTACCTTAGCTGTAAATGCAGAAAGTTCCTTAGGGGGAATTGAATTCAGGGTGCCAGGGCTACAAGGCAAGAATACTGAATGCCTTTTATCTGCTGTGCTGTAGAACGAACTTGTTTACGGCAGGGTTCTGTGTACTGAGAAGGTGCTGTTATAGGAGCCAGGATTTCACATTCACTTATAATGGATTGCAGGTTGGCTCAGGTTCTTGTTTTTGTCTTCACAGGTTCCCTCTGTTCTGTTTGCTCCGGGTCACCTGATGTCTCTTCTGACACTTGGCATCAACTCTGCCATAGTGCTGGATTGTGGATATGCAGAAAGCCTAGTCCTGCCTGTATCCTTTTCTCTTACACTGTCATTGGTTATGGATAAGGTGACATTTTGTTCCCCATGGTCCCTGTGTGTGTTGTAAAGTAGTCACAGCTCCAAGCTAGCTTGCGTGATGAACTACAATCTCATGTATAATTTACTAATTTGTATTGAAGTTATAGTCTATCACTGGAGTGAGCTTGGAGCGGTGAGTACTTTACAACACACACAGGGAACACGGAGTATCCACCCTGCAGATGGAAGGACAGTGTCAGCACCAATTCAGAGATGATTTGAGGATCTACAGCCGAGTGATAACAAAACATTTTTTTGAAAATCTTATTTGTGTAATAGTTGAGGTACTATAATGTATTTTTTAAGATTTAACTCCTGAGTTTAGTGTTACTTTAAGTTTTGACTAGAGGTTAAAATTAATTTCTTCCATCGCAAACTAGAGAGGGTACAGTATTATGTCAAGCCAAAAACTTTTTTTTTTAGCTTTTAATACAGTGGGGACAGATTAGACCCCATATCATTAGCACGATTTTGCCTCATTTTCTGTCCCAGCAGGCAGAGATAAAAATCCATCAGTGGTTGTGCCCTTTTTCTGCCCTGATTAAAAATAATAATAAATAATTAATTTTAAGGGCCCGTTCACACCAGACACGGCTGGAACGCACTGGATTGTATTGACCTCAATGGCACCATAGCCACGCCCTCCGGCCGCAATGGGATCTGCCGCACGGGAACGCAAGCACTATTTTTTTCTGACCGGACCGCAGGCATTGATGTGCCTTGCGTTCCCGTGCGGCCGATTGCATTGCGGCCTGAGGGCATGGCTGCGGTCACATTCACTTTAATGCACTGCCATGCCCCTTCCCGCCCCACAACAAACTGAGCCGGCTGCAATGCGTTCCAGTGCATTCCGACCACATGCGGGCCGGAAAGCACTGAGTATGTTGTGAACAAGACCTTATTGTTGGAGAGTTTCTCTCGCATCCTGTTTGGTAAAAGGTTGTCTAAAAATAAAGTTTTGGCTTGACATGCACATTAAATGTGCTGTTTACCTATTTTATTATTATTAATTTCTTAACATGTAACAGGTATATGAAGGTATTCCAATTCTCAGCTGCTGGGGAGCGCTTCCTCTGGGTGGAAAAGCCATTCACAAGTATGTGTTCAATCATTGTGCTGGTAAAGATTTTATGTCCGTGTTGCTCAGGTGAGGGGTAGGGAATCCAATAACATAAATAAACCTTTCAGATAATTTGTTCTAATTTTCCTAATTAAAAAGGGCAAATACATAGGGAGTAAAGGGGCCGTCATCTAATGTCTTGTATGAGAGCAATATTTGTGTTCTCAAACCATAATTGAAACAGCTTTGTAGCACTTCAAATCATGATATGTATCTTATTATTTGTGACATCTGTGACAGTATCGGATTGGACGCTGCTTTGAGCTGCTTATTTAAACTTCAGGACATGTCTTCTCAGATGTGATGAGATGATATAAAACAGGACACTGCAGATTAATTTATGGCATTTACAGCCATCTGTTTGTGTGCTTAAAGGAGAACTATGAGGCGAGTGCTTTTCACTCACCTCATAGTTCTAGCCGACCTGTGACAATGACACTGTCACAGGTCGGCTCAGTAGATCGAGAGGTGAGCGAACACATACCGGCGTTCGCTCACCTCTCGATCCTGTCACAGCTCTGTGCCGTGACAGCGGAGGGGCTGGATTCCCCCCTCCCCGCTCCGATCTGCCAGCGCTAACTGGCGGAACGGACGGGGGAGGGGGCGGGTACAGCTGGCTCTGCCTCTATATAGGCAGAGCCAGCTGTCAGTCATGCAGCTGGGCGGATCCCGGCACAATTGTCGGGATCCGCTTCAGCTGAGGCGTCTCAGTATACAAGCTACAGCTCGCGGTATACTGAGCTTAGGGTGACGGTAGGACGCTAGTTTGTGTCCTCCCGTTACACTAAGGAGAACTATGGGGAAAAGCCTTAACCCCATAGTTTTCCTTTTAAAGTTTATCTAATTAAAAAAAAAAAAAATACTTTTTATTCATTTATTTTTATTTTGTACAGGGAGCTGGAATCGCAGTTGTTGGAGCAATGCACAGCAGACACAGGGACAGCCAAGGACCAGAGCCTCCCTTCTGTATTGAGTAAGATCTTTTTCCTTTTTGTAGGAGAACTTCTCTATTTTGGTAATGTTTTGTGTTATTGATGAAGAACTTATGTTTTATGTTTGCAGGCAATGTACCAGAAGAAATAGTGGAGGAGATTAAAGGTATTGTTATGCTATCAGCTCTTAAATGGGATTCTCAGTTTAACTGACAACATCTTGTCTGGTTTGGACCCCTTTGTATACTAATTCACAGGGGTAACTACTACTACTGTCCATTAGTTTTGCCTGCTACATCAGATGTCCTTGTTCTCTAGTCTTGTTTGGACACATGTTAAAACAAGGTTTCGGTTTTCAGAATGCCGATGTTGCTTATTTGGACTGATTGTCAGGGAGTAGACGCTGTATCCTGCAGCTGGAATTGAAGGATAGTAACAGACCATCCATGGGTTGCATTAGCCCTGGCTTAGTCCTACCTGGTGATGAAAACCTTTGACCCTTCCTTACCAGTATTATGCTTGTGGCATTGTGCACATGCATGGCAGCTGTTCAATGCAGCTAGTGTCTTACCAGGCCATGTGCTGTGTTGAATCCCTTGGGTTTAACTACCTCCATATACACTACCAGAACCAACTACCAGTACAGAACTAGCAAGGATCCCAGATTAAAAGACACAGGTGAAGGATCACCAGTATTAGACCACAGCACATTCTAATAAAGTAATATCTATTTCATAGCTGTGATTTCATCTATTTTGTTGCAGTGCGTGTTTGCTTTGTAAGTGACCTGCAGAGAGGCCTCAAACTCCAGGCTGCCAAGTTTAACATTGACGGCAGCTCAGAGGTAGGGCATACACTGTGTGTTTATTAGTAATGATGAATTGTAAATGTCTGTGTTACTGATTGCTTGCTTGAATTTTTTCCAGCGCCCTGCTCCACCCCCTGATGTTGATTACCCACTAGATGGACAAAAGATTTTGCACGTCAAGGGAGCAATCAGGTTTGGCTTACTTTGTTTCCCGAAATTGAAGCTCTCCTCAATAGTTCATTATATGTAATGCATTGTAAATGTTTGTATACTGAATTTGAATCAGTGGAGTTTGTGTCCAGCCAGGACTTTAAACGTTTTAATTTTTTTAGTTTAAAGAGTTGAAAAATAAAACCTCTGTCTATTTTACACTTCAATCCAGTGCTCCAAATCTCACCTCCCTTATTATCCCATTGACCTTGGTTTCACCAGACAGGAAGTGTGGGAAAATCTCCAACACAGAAAAGTAAAATATCGGTTTTTTTAAATTGAGTTAAAGTGAATCTTCTACATCAAAGTGATGTCACTGTTCCTTATTGTTGCCTTTCAGGAAAGTTGGACACTCCAAATCTCCTGAGAATGCACCTGTGCAATGAGCTGGAGCACATTCTCGCTGGATATTTGGCCCCCAGCTTTCCCAGGAGGATGGTATGAGGCATGTTGATGTTGCTCCTGGAAGCGTTAGAAGCCAGAACAAGTTTTCTTCTTTCTTGTGATAGTTGTTTTTTTTTTGTAAATGCCTTTGTAGATGATTTTTCTTTTTTTTTTTTACTTTGCGAGGTGAGGGACTTTCATTATTGTGGACCTTGTATTTATGTGGAAGGTCAATTTTAAGAAGGGTAGGGGAACACTAGAACCCCAGTTAGTTGTATTTTTATTTCTGTCTGTGTCCCTGTTCCTGACTTTCCCTCACTTCCTGTCTGGTGAAACAGTTGCCACGGTGACTGGAAGTAAGATGAAATCTCTCTAACAAAGCCCCGGATAGCAGTATATACCTGACAGAGCTTCTAATCCTTTCCTACTCTATAAAAAAAAAAAAAAAATTGTTTTGCCTGGACATACTGTACGTATATTTCAGGATTTGTATGGTGTAGGTAAAACAGTGTGCTTTTATTATGTATTCATGTGTTCAGAGGTGTGTGAACTCTGGGTATTGCTTTTCATAGGGACTCTGTTGTGGAGCTGCTTTTCGAGCAGGATAATGAAGAGAAGTCTGTTGCCACATTGATCCTAGATTCACTCGTTCAGGTAACAGCTGAAGAATTCAATTGTTTTATACATAATTTGTCTTCAGTGGTGTAACCACTAAGGGGGTCTAAAGGCAGTGTCCCCATAATTAGCCAAAAATTAGAACCCCTTGAATGTTTTTTAAAGGACAACACCGCAGTGTGGCTGGTAGTGGGAAGTCTTGAAGTAAAATCTAAAGCTAAGACTCTGATTTAAACCTTTCATATTAGAAATAAACGGGCTGACATTGCTGTTTTTGGTCAAATTCTATATTAAACAAAACACAGAGAGCGCCTCCATTGCCTAAAAACTTTTATTAAAACTAGATAAAAACAAGTGCAATGGTACTCAGAAAAGTCGAGTTTAAACAGGCATGAAAAGGATCTTTACACGAGGGACTTAGCCAGCCGGCTGTACGCCCTCCCTGATGGTTTTACGCGTTTCTGAGGACACGCCTCCTTCATCATCAATTCTATGTCATGTTGACCTATTGGCTTTATTTATATTTTGAGTTGCTGAACTGCAACAAGTATGAATAAGGAAAGTTGCAGAAAAATCCTTGTTTGCATATGTATCCCAGGTCAGTGACTCCACAGTATTCCGCTTCAGCTGCGGCGTCTCAGTATACCGCGAGCTACGGTACACTGAGCCTAGGGTGACGGGAGGACGCTAGTTTGTGTCCTCCCGTTACTCTAAGGAGAACTATGGGGAAAAGACTTAACCCCATAGTTCTCCTTTAAAGTCAGAGGGTCAGCATGATAACCAGACAATTAGAATTTTCAGAAAAAGAGGCTTTACATTTGTTAGGACCACACCAGTCTTTTCTTCAGAACGGCATCTCTGTGAGAGTGTACAGTAGCCTGAAGCAGGTCAGTAGGAGGTGAACAGTAACTGCAGTGAATTCTGAATAATCTCCTAAGCACCTCAAACTGATGTCAAAAGCATACTGCATTTGACCATTGAATCCCATTGACACAGGCCCTTACTTATGTTGTTACCTTCAGCTTATGTTCCACAAAAGTAACTTTTGCAGCCTGGTTGTTTAATCCTGACACAGTTACTGAGCTTGCAGACTGCAAATGTGATTGGCAGAGGACCATCAGAATATTGGTCTTCAGGAAGGACGGAATGAAGAGTGGTATTACCTTTTTAAGTATAGAATCTTTTATATATGGCTGTTTGGTGCAGCTGTCATAGGGCATATGTGCCAGGGCAATATGGCTACTCGCAGACATTTGTATAAGTAGCAGTACTGGTATTTTGATGTTGGTTTGTTTTCAGTGTGCTGGCCACTAGAATATTATTTTTGATCCCGATCGCATACGATTATCGTACGATAATCGTGCAGTGTATGGGCACCTTAACAGGGAGGCCCAAGTGATACATGAGGAGGTAGCAGGATGATACATGATGGTTGAGTGGTTAGAATAGGTTTCAGTTTAATCAATGGCATCTTAAGAAGGGGCCCTGCCTCTGTTTATTCTTAGAGAACAAGTGAACAGCCCTCATGAAATCATCTGTTGGGTTTAATGGGAAATCTAGTTGAGTAACAACTGCAGCTGCCCTTTGTTTTTGTTTTTTCCATTAATAGATATCTACTGTATGAGATTACATGGAGAATGATATGAACTCCTGTTTAGATCCCCCTCATTTACCACTGAGTTCTGTTTGTTCTCTCTGTTTAAACAGTGTCCAATAGACACCAGGAAACAACTGGCAGAAAACATTGTTGTTATCGGTGGCACGGCCATGCTGCCAGGATTTCTTCACCGGTTAATGGCAGAGATTCGTTACTTGGTGGAAAAACCTAAATATAAGGAGTCTCTGGCATCTAAGTCCTTCAAGATTCACACTCCTCCTGCAAAACCAAACTGCGTGTCCTGGCTTGGAGGTAATGTCTATGGAGTAATGTAAACCTAAAGTGTATGTAGAGACATTTTTTTTATTTTTCGATTGAGGGAAAAGTGAGAACCTCTGGCAAATTTTTATTGCTTTTTGTCTTCGCTCGGGGAATTTGCTCCTCTTTTTTTGTTCCGGCTGATGGCTCAAGTTTAGGTTCCGCCAGGACGCTATCTGCACGGCGTTTGCCTGTCCTCCCTGTGCTTCTCCTGGGTATTCAGGTTTCCTCCCATACTCCAAAGACATGCTGGTGGGTTAACCGGCTCATGTCTAAATTGGCCATAGTATGTGTGTACTTAAATGTAAACATGTGAGATAGGGACCTTAGATTGTAAGCTCCTTGAGGGCAGGGGCTGATGTGAATGAATAGTATGTATAGTGCTCCGTAAATTGGATGGCACTATATAAATACCTGTAATAAATAAATTTACAGAAGTGGCGGATATTTCACTTTACTCCTGGCAACCAGTGCAGTGGGGTAGTGCGTAAAGTTGAGTACATACTGCTGCAGAGAGGAGGAGTAAAGTGGCCATTTTCCATTTCCATTCATGGTTAAAGAAAAAGGTACATTTATTTCTACCAACACATATGCTATGAATTTAGAACGGCATTTACCACAATGTATCTTGGTGCACCTTTTCTGGTCACAGTGTTAGGTGGCACTCCTTTTTAATCTCTCGCTAGGCAGTAGAGCTATGCAAAAACATTTTTGAAAAATAAAAAAAGTTACCAAAAAGGGTTTTACTTACCTGTGTCTCCGCCACTCGCTTCCGTCCGAAGAGCTGAAGATTCTCGAGCGGCCGAGCAGCATGATGGGGCAGGCGCATGGACAAAAGAGATCTTCGGCCGGGAAAAGAGGAGAGACACAGTGTAAGTCAATGCAGGCAGCGTGCACACGGACAGACTCCGTGGGACACAGAAGACACAGCAGTCAGTGCTGGATAAGAGACCGGCACCAACGCTGGAGGGACTACTGAAAAACTATTGGAAAAAAGATGATGATCAGATCAAAAGGCATAATTTAAGGCAAGTCCTTACAGCAGCATTGGGGGGAGGGGGGTGTTTTAAAGTGACATTGTCTAATGTCACTAAGCCAAGCACATTTTTCTGGGATTTGTTGATAAAGTGCAATGCGTATGATGATGGTGCAAACTATATGAATGCTCTTTTAATTAATAATTTTTTGTCCTTTCCATAGGAGCAATATTTGGTGCTTTACAAGATATCCTCGGCAGTCGTTCTGTATCTAAAGAATATTATAACCAGACTGGCCGTATACCCGATTGGTGCTGTTTAAACAACCCTCCTCTTGAAATTATGTTCGATGTTGGAAAGTCTGCGCCCCCCTTGATGAAAAGAGCTTTTTCCACTGAGAAGTGATGTTGCCACCCTGGAAATTTCATTGTATTGGAAGCTTGCCCTGGTCAAAGACTATATATGCGAGGAAGAAACACTATTTATTGTACCCTTCACTGCTAGGGAGACTGTGGAGTGTGGAGTATTTTGCCTAGTTACACAGCGGATACTGCATTTTGTTGTGTTACAGTAAAGAGCTACCTAACAGCAAACAAGTATTCAGGATACTATTAGAGTTTTTTCTTTGGTCAGTGTAGAGGTAATTTACCACTCTGGTGATGAGATTATCATGAACAACCCTGAATGTCCTTATGGGCTGTGCTCACCCCAAGACAAACTGTGTGGTGTATATAAAAATACAGCCCTTGAACATATAATACCTTAAACTATGTTACCTTAATAAAACCAAGCCCATATAAAACTATCATATATGTGCCCAGATAATAAATTGTGTGCAAGTGATATATATTGCAAAAGAAATCTTAGTGTTCATTTATAGCCAAAGTCCATTATTTCTTATAATGTCCATAAGGTGAACAAAACTTGTGCTACAAAAACAATCCAATAATAACATAACTGTGCACTTCATCCTAAATGTGTGGCTTGTGTGTCCCACAGATAGAAAAATGGACACCGGCACTCCAATGGCAAATCAAGTACGTCTATTTATTGACATACATGCTGCATAGCAAAATACACGTGCAACGTTTTGGGGTCTCACAGGATCCCCTTCATCAGGCAAACACCTATGAGAAGCCCAAACGTTGCACTAAGTGTATTTTGTTTTGCAGCATGCACGTCCATAAATAGACGCACTTGATTTGCCATTAGGGTGCCGGTGTCAGGGGCATCCTGAGGCACAGTGCCGGTGTCAGGGGCATCCTGAGGCTGGGTGTCACCCGGTCTTCAGACCGGGTGACACCTCACCATGACGCGTGGTCACACCTGTGACCTCATCGTGCATGCGCGGCTATCTGACGCCTACTGGTGGCCATCTTGGTGATGGACGCCGGCAGAGAGAGGAGGGAACATTCACCCATTGGATGAGGTATGACGCCGGGTCCCCTCCTGACACTGTCAGGCTCTCGGTCCATGACCGAGTGCCCAACTTTTTAGAGGGGGTGACACCAAAATGACAAAGTCATTTTGGTGTCACCCGGGTGCGGGCTGCACCCCCTTGTGACGCCACTGGCCGGTGTCCATTCTTCTATCTGTATACAGAGGCGGTAGCCATCCGTCTACAACAGTTGCACCCACTTCTTATTGATGGAACAGCGGTTCTAAATGTGATGGGTATATGGACTGTATCTTGTGTGTGCCACAATCTCAGAGGTCCCTTAAATGGAAATAAACTCACCAATTTATATTGACCCCTTACGTATACTAAGCAGGTCAGATGGTGCTTGCTGTATCACAATGGACTGATCCCGTTTTTCCTCCCTAATCCACCTAGAAAACTTCCCATCCTACAAATAAACGCAGAAGAAAGATTCAAATTCCCTTTATTGAAATTGCTAAAAATAAAAACACATACAAGAAAACCTTATAGAATCCAAGGGCTCAGCCCAACAATAGAGAACTACAGCAGATTCCTTATACAGAGTGCACCACCAGCAGTAATGTGAGTGCGTGCGCCTGATCGTAATGACATCACTTCGCTGCGCTCTGCCCTGGGTACAGTGTAGTGTATCTCAGCATTCATGGTTACTAAAGTACTGAATTATCCGGTAGCCAAACATTGACTGTGCAGACGCTACCTGGCGAAGTGGGAAGCCAGTTTTATGTGGATAGTGCAATTGATCTTTTGAGCAGCGCCATCCGTGCAAGCATAGGCTGTCCAAATCAACTTGAGTATTGTGGAATATTGAATATTTAAATCACTGAGTTTTATTATTCCTTCCAAATAGGATAAGAGTAGATTATCAGCAAAAGCAAAGTATGTGCAACGTGGACCAATATGCTTCAATACAAACCTAACAATTCACTAACAACCACACGTGTCCTGAGGCATGAAAACGGCGGCATTATGAATCGCTCTTTGAATGTTCTTTGGACTTTGTATTTGCATAGATTGCTTATGGTTTAAATCTTGAATAGCTAGAAAATGCAGCGGTGCTCCAGTGTGACCCCTGCCTTTGTCTGGGGATGGATGCAGTATAGGTTTGTATTAATATTTGTTAGATTTAAGTAACTTCAGTCGTGTCTTTGCACTGTTTTCCTGTTTAACTTTTTTTTTTTAAACAATCCTGTTCCTTTAACACTGTATATGCTTGTGTGTCCTGGACAATAAACAGTCTATATGGCAATGCAGAATTTTCTGGAAGTGCTTCTGAAATGACATGTGACAAAGCCATTGCAGCCCAGCCTGCTACACATCATAGGATCTCCTCTAAAAAGGGGTTGTGATGGGTTTGTCGGGCTATGTGACAGGTCCCCCGCACAAGGGTTGGATATAGGTATAGAAACATAGTTGGTGGTAGTTTTGCTTTAATAACATATACATTAGTAGCACTGACACTTGAGGCTGGGTTCACACCTAGGCGTATCGAATATGTGCGTTTGCCGCGCGATTCGAGGTAAAAAAACGCGCGTTTCCGAGGGCTACTTGGCTGTATCCCAATGGATACTCGCGACAAAAACGCCCCAAAGAAGCTCCTGTACTTCTTTGGGCGTAGGACGTTTTGTAGCGCGTTCATACGGCCTGTAATACGCCCAGGTGTGAACCATACCCATAGGAGATAATGGGATTTCGGTGTTTGAGCGTTTTGCAGAGCGTAGGAACGCGCTACAAAACGCCCAGGTGTGAACCGGGCCTTACCCTGAAATTCCCCTTTAACACGTTAGCCATGAATCTAATGTATCGAAGTGAAATAAAAACTGTCTTTGTTGCCCAAATCAATCGAAAAAAAGGGCCATCTCTTTGCTTTTAGCAGCTACCGCTCTGCAACGCACCAGAATATGAGGAATCCAAAGCGGTGAATCTAAAGGACAGCACAAACAGTTCTTGCTTTAGAGCAGGGTGGGAAAACTCTCATAAGGCATTGCAAGATTGCCAGCCACAGGTATGACTCCCAGAGAGAGTTGCATGATGAAATTTGTAGTTTCACCAGAGCCGAAGGGCCAGAGTTTTCCCACCCCTTCTTTAGGTTTTCTAATCATCCTTCGCTGTAAAGAGCTGATATTGGTTACACAACAGCTCACAAAGTACACCTTTAGAAATGTTTAGTAATGACAATCTACACACACATACTTCTAGATAATTGCCGGTGTTCTGTCATTCCATCAGACCCGTGACTTTATCGGACTTTCGGGGTCGTGTGAAGGCTTCCGGCTTCGTGGGGTGTGGCAAGGGCTCTGTCGCCCACGCAAGCGCATTGCGGCACCAGGTCCATACATCTCATGGACCAACGCAGCTTATCAGCGGCTCCAAGACCAGAACGCTTACGGACTACCACGCATGCGCCAGTCCAGACATCTGGTCTTGGAGCCGCCTATAAGCTGCGTTGGTCGTGAGATTTATGGACCTGGTGCCACAGTGTGCTTGTGTGCATGACAGACCTCCCCCCCCCCCCAAGTCTGATAAAGTCACGGGTCGGATAGAAGCTGTGGTGGTCCGTGAGATTGGTAAACCTGGTGCCGCAGTGCGCTTGGGTGCACGGCCGAGCCCTTCACACGCCCCCACACACACCCCTGGAAGTCTGATAAAGTCACGGTTCCGATGGAATGATAGAACGCCGGCTTTTTATTCTTTGCATATCTTATTTTCTTTTCTTCCTCAGTCTTCTGACAGTGGCCATTTTAACTAAGGACAGATGACTAGATCTCCCTTTACTTCCTGGAACTCTGGCACTAGGACATTCGACCATGCATATCATCTCAAGGGAGGAAAATGCCTTTCATTGAGATCTCATGAGATTACAGATGAAATTTCCCAGCAATGCTCTGCTGATGTAACCTTCCCAGGATGCAGCACTTGGGCATAGTTACATCATGTGTGCCAAAGTGGACCAGGAAGTGGAAAAAAAAATTGTAAGTAAAATAATATGTTTGTTTAGTTAATGAATGTAAGATGAGTTCACATTAACATGCAGAGCTGTATGCTGATGTGAATTTTAGTCAAAGGGGGTAAAGGGCCACTTTAAGTTGGCCATTCAATAGTCGTTTTTTCATGTTCAGCCCCGCAGGCTAAACAAGAAAAAAACACTTGATTCCCCCATACACAGCCGTCCGAATACACGGTGACTGGAGCTGATTGGCCGCAGTAACTGTTCAGCCAAGAATTGGAAAATCTTCTGGCGACTACCAGTGTGGACCAACCAGTGTGGACCAATATTTTCCAGTTTTTTTATTATAAACACTCCCCTTACTGCTGTTGCTTTCGGGTGTGGGTGTTGCAAATTGCTCCTCTGACACGGTTCCTGTGCGTGATTACTTCCGCCTGGGCTGAGGGTAATATTGGTCCCTTTCCATCTGTGCGTAGTGGTGTCGACTGACGATCCCGATGAACTTCTCCATGTAAGCCTGCAAACATCTATGGATATGACAACTTATACATACATATGTATATTTATTTTGTACAAAAGTGCAGCCTCTGATCTGCTCTCCGTGTTCTCTTTTCCTTTTTCCCATTTAGGATATATAAATCCCCCTGAAAAAGCCCGGTAGGGTGCAACATGTCGGGGCTACTTGAATGAGTCATCTATTAAGTATCATTATTCATTATATTGTCAATTTTATATGATACTACCATTGTATGTGCAATAGACCAATCATGTTTTACTAAGTTTTTAATCATTTGCCTAACATTATATGATATTAATAAATGAATTTCTCATTTTTTTATATATCAAGAGAGCTACAGTAATTCTTTAAAGCCCCTTCCCTTTTTGGTATATGCACACCTTAAAGTGGAAACTATCCAACACAGTCTTCATTATAAATTGGGGTGTGGAATCTTACTCTCTATGTTCAAATACACGCCTACTAATATCAATTTACATTTAAAGTAAATGTTTTCCCCATTTGTCTGCAAAAGTGGGAACACACTATAAAGCTAAAGCAGTTAGTCACCAGCACACCAGTGGTTAAATGTTCAAAATGTGCTTTATTTTATTAGCATAGACTCATCTTGTCCATAGTAAAAATTCGGGGCCACGCAGGGTCCCTTCACCAGGCATTCCTGATGAAGGGACCCTGCGTGGCCCCGAAAAGGTTGCTATGGACAAGATGAGCCTATGCAAATAAAATAAAGCACATTTTGAACATTTAACCACTGGTGTGCTGGTGACTAACTCCTTTAGCTTCAAGTACAGCGGCACCATCCGCAGTCACTGCAGCACCCACCCTCTTGGGACATAACGGTCAGGAGTGCGGAGAGAACTTTGTTGACACATTATAAAGCAATCACACGCAGCACCTGTCCTGCCCGGCAGCTGCCCGATACGGCCCTGCACGCTGTACGTGCGGGCCGTTTCTAGTGTAAATGAGGCCTTAGGGCGGCTCCTTTCTATTGCAGGGTCCTATAGAGCCACCCTTGTGTGTGCTAGTAAGCTGTGTGTGTCTCCACAAACACACAGACACAGCAAGGCAAGACACTCCTGCTCCTTCCTTCTCCGAGCTGGTAGATGGATGGCTGCTGGAGATTGCTCTGTGCTTTGTGATCTTGTGCTGGACAGGAAGTTCAGGGAAGCTGAGCTGAGTTGGAGCTGTTTGGAAATGTAAAGAAATACTTTGCTGGACAATGTGTATATTTGTATATATTTGATTGATCTGGATTCATTATTGAAATACAGTTTGAGAGTTTAATACTACTTTAAGGGGAACAAAAGGCCTAAAAAAACCTATTATTTTGGGGTTCACATACACTTTAAAGTTAATTCCACCATAGAGCCCCCCCGCCTCCCCCTTTGCTGTGTGTGGCTCCACCCACATTGTCACATCCTTAATTCACAGATCCATAGACCTATCCTGTACTGACCATGTCATGTGTGCCATCATGGGACTTATAGCTCTTAAAGGAGAACAAATGCGGTGACGTCACCACCATTGTAGTCCACTCATAACTTAATTAAGCTCCATAATCAAAGTTCTGTACCTGGAGCTGAGAGAACAGTCTCCAGAAGTCAGAGCATTGCACCCATGACCCACTGATAGCAGTTACAATGCTCTGAAGGCTGCAATGCAAAATAAATAATACATTCACATGTTTCTTAATGTATATTTTTTTTATAAAGGGGAATATTCCTTTAAGGAATGGATACCGGAAGTGACTAAGTACATGTCATCTGCAAGTAAGAATTGTCAGCGTTTGTCCAATAGGAGTGTACCCGCACACGTGACGTCCCGCCCCCATCCTCTGCGCAGGAGACGCACGCTCTCATTGTCTCATGACTCTGCGCTTTCTGTTCAGCCACTCAGGATTGCTCAGTACTGCGCATGCGCCCGGGAAGGAGCTCGGTGATTGGCCTGCTGCGGCGCAATCAGATTGCTTGATACTGGCCGGTGAAAGTCAGGAGCAAGACCGGAGTAAAAGTGCCGTCTCACCGCCAAAGAACAGTGTACGCCGTCAGCTATGAGCTCCATCGGTACCGGGGTGAGTGTGGCGGCCGGGCCTATAGCCTTTAGTGCGAGCTTTTCCGGCCTTGACAGGGCCCTTTGTGTGTAGACGAGCCCTGTCCGAGAGAGGAGCTGAGCAGTGTGCTGACTGAAAGTGAAACTGTGTGTGTGTGTATGGCGGGGAGCCTATGGCGCTGACTGAGGGGAACGTACCGAAGTGTGGCCTGTACGTAGAGATAGGATCGCTGTATACAGGCTGAGGAGTATGGCCTGTCTGTGGGATAGGACTGTATACAGCATGAGGGGGAGAGTATACAGCTGGAACACACGCACTATATCCCGGGATACTGCGTCTAGGACAGCGTGAGACATACCATCTCTGCCGCGTAAGAGGGCACAGACTGGGGGGAGCGCTATAACAGTCGGCTAGTTCCGCGGATCGGCTCATTTTTTATCTTGTAATATTTGGCTGTAGTTCTGATTTAAAGGGGAAGTATTGGAGGATGTAAAATGTACTCTTCCCAATACATAGAGCTGGTGAGGGATGCTGTGGCTCTATAGATCTGGAGCTGAATGATCACATACTGCCGTCACTCAGCTGGGGTCTTCTCCCTGCAGAGAGCAGTAACTGTCAGTCATCACTCTCTGCAGGGATTCCCCTCCTCTCCAATACTCCAGTGTTTATTGGAGGGACAGATGGGAGGGGGCGGGCTCTAGAGAGGTAGATCCAGCTGTCAATCAACCAGGAAAGTGGATCATGACAATATTGTCGGATCTATTCTGGCTGTGGAGCTCTGTGCTTTCAGCATGTAACGTGCAGTAGCCCACTAGATTCTGACTTTGGGTCACAGGAGGACATTAGTAAATGTGTTCCTGTGACCCAAAAGAGGACTAAAGCCCCCCCAAAAATCTTGGCTTTAGTTCTTGAAGTTGTAGGTAGAATAGGGAATGGTAATAGCCTGTCAGGTTTTTTTCTTCTTTGCCGTTTGTGTCCCTTTCAAGAGATTTATTTGTCACTTCCTTTGTACAGTTTTGGATTTCCCATCATTTTATGTCCTGGTGCCAGTGGTCACCAGGGCTAAGAAGGGGACACTCTCCAGCATGGACATACAGCAATAAAAGGCTCAGCCCTAAGGCCTCATTCACACCAGATGCAGTGCGTTCCGGCCCGATTCTGGACAGAATGCACTACATCACATTGCGGCCGGCTCACTATGTTGTGGGGCAGGAGGAGGCGGTCTATTGAAGTGAATGGCACCAAAGCCACGCCCCCTGGCCGCACGGGAATACAAGGCACATTATGCCGGCCAGTCCAGTTTGTTCACAATAGTGCTTGCAGCATTTTGTTCGGACCGGACCGCAGGCATAATGTGCCTTGCATTCCCGTGCGGCCAGAGGGCGTGGCTTTGGTGCCATTCACTTCAATGGACCGCCTCCTCCTGCCCCACAACATAGTGAGCCGGACGCAATCCGGTGTAGTGCGTTTTGGCCTGAATTGGGGCGGAACGCACTGCATCTGGTGTGAACGAGGCCTAATGGGGCTTTAAAACCTAAAACATCTACATTAAATCATTGGCTGTCAGCACTGCCTCTGCTTCTCTCTCTCCTCAGTGTGATCTGAGGTTACAGAAGTAGATCGGTGCTACTTAGTGTCCCAAAAGTAAGAATAATAATTAAAAAACTTTATTTAACCACTTGCCGACCGTGGTGTTACACCCCCTTCCTGTCCCGGGCATTTTTCAGTATTCAGCGCTGCGGTACTTTGACTGACGTTTATTCCGTCATGCAGCGCTGTACTGAAATGAATTTTATACCATTTTTTGGGGACAGATAGAGCTTTCTTTTGGTGGTATTTAAGCACCACTGGGGGGTTTATTTTTTTTTCTATATTAAGGAAAAAAATGTTAGAATTTTTTAAACAATTTTTTACATTATGTTAGGAAACAATTTTTACCCATTTTTTTTGGTAAAATATAAAGGACGGGGTCACGTCGGGTAAGTAGACACCAAACATGTCAAGCCATAAAATTGCGTGCACCCGCTAAATCGCAAAAAACTACCACACCCAAGATTGGCCATAGGCGACGCTTTAAAAGCTTTTACCGCTCATCAGTTTAGTGTCATCAGTGGTTGATGGGCCTAGAATTATTCCTCTCACTGCAACGTTCGGGGTGATGTGTAACATGTGTGGTGTAAGGGCTTGTTCACACCAAAAGCGTGTGCGTTCCAGAGCGGTAGCTGTTGGAACACACCGCGATCGCTGAGAAACTTCCCCCCGCATTTTGGGGTGGGAGGGGGAGATCGCAATGCGTTCCAACAGCTGCCGCTCTGGAACGCACACGCTTTCGGTGTGAACAAGCCCTTATTGGGGAGATTTTATAAGCAGAATCTTCTAATGTGAAAAGAACCCAGTAATATGAATGTCCGGACAGACATTGACATCTTCATTAAGGCCTTGTGTAAGTGTGGAGCAGAAACACTAGTTGGCAGCTGATACAACCTTTCAGTACGCACCCAACAATGAAATCAATTGGCTCTGAACTCGAGCTGAGGGATCTTCTGTATTTGTGCTGTGTGTGGGAAACCCCTTGTGATTCATACTGTGTGTTGATCCTTTGTGTGCCGTGATGCAATCTGGTTTACAGCACTTGTGTAGTGTACAGATTGTGGAATAAAATGTTATCATCTATTCCTGGTTAAAGGAAGCCCATCATGAAAGAAACAACTGAAAATGTCAGTTGCCTGGTTGTCATGCTGATCCTGTGGCTTCGATACCTTCCAAAACACCGATCGAAAAGAAAATATTTAGGCAGTGAAGGAAAAACTGGTCAGCTTGTTAGAGGTCATTAGTTCAAATGATTACAGCTATTGGATTAATACACAATGACAACCAGGGAGGTGGCATTTGCTAAAGGAACAGCCAGCAATGGCAGCCTCCATATTTCTCTTAAGGTGCCCATACACTTTACAACCCTCACAAGACTTTTTTTGCCTTGCAAGGGTTGTAAAGTACTTTAAAAAAACGTACGATCTGCACATCTTGGACAGGCAGATCGTACTTGCGATGACTGCAATGAGGGGCGGGCTTCTGATGATTGCAAACGGGCAGTGTGCGCGTGCGCACACCGGTCCGTTCGGCAGTTGTCGAACAAGCAGGCCACTAACCCGCCGAGAATCGTACGATTCCCGGCAGGTTTTCAAGCCTGCTTGTTCGAC